AAAACAGGCAAACATTCTGGCCTTAAGGTAGTGGCAGTCAGCAGCTTAAGAACACTCTGTAAACGAGGAAACCATCAACAGGTGTGTGAGGAGGCAGACCAGAACCAGGCGCCTCCTGGTGGAGGAAGGGAGACAAACACAGAAACACAGACACACAGACAGGAGTCCTGACAATTATAGATTAATTTATCCTGCTTACTTACTATAAAAGTTTTCTCTCAGTCTGTTTCACTTTCAAGGCCACACCATTCCCTGCAGGATGGTGTTTGTAGACCAGACATAGCTTATTCAATAACAAACCAGATTCTTTCTCATGGTTTATTCATAACATGTTACTGTCAATGATGGAACTAACGGCGTTGAAAGTAACGGCGTTACTAACGCATGCTTACGTTGAGTTACAATAATTGTAAAACTCTCTGCAGGTTCTTGTCTTTGTCGTCCGCTCTATTCAGCTGGCTTTTGAAACACACGGCGAGAAGGTGGGGGCCGGGCGGTGAGGGTTACAGGGGGCGAGAAACGCAAAGGTAACGCAATAGTTACTTTTACTAATAACTAGTTACTTTTATTGTGGAGTAACTCAGTTAGTAACTCAGATACTTTTTGGGAGAAGTAACTAGTAACTATAACTATAAATAATTACTTTTTCAAAGTAACATGCCCAACACTGGTTACTGTTTAACCAAAGTGTCTGTAATTTGTTTTGACCCTGATTACTTTTCTATTGTTGTTAGTAAGGTGGAACAAACGCTGCTCATGCAGAACAGGGCAGAAGGCTATGCCATAAGGGCTTTATGATGAACTGTTCTCCCTTTGAAAAACATGAATAATTGTGCCGAATGAGTGAAATCCATTGATCTCCGTTTATTTAACTAGGATGAATAGTTGAATACTTTTTTCCCACTACAAGATGTAACTCCAAATATTTGCACAACCGTTTTGTACCCCTGAAGTTCTTTGCTCCAGTCTCCATCTGGCCACCAGAGGAACCTTAACATGTCAGAGTCTTCCTCTGTTACTCTTACTTGATGAAACATCCCCCTCGATGCTCCAGGAAGTCTGTTTTTCACTTACTGTTGCATTATTTCATAGAGCTTGACAATAAAAATTCTACAAGCCATACCAATCTGTTTTTTTTCCAACCCAATGTGGTTTTAACAGCATATGGTCCATCTTTTTTGCTGCTTATAACTTTGCATGGCTCCACTGTCTTTAGGACATTGCTGCCAATCAGCAGACCAATATCAGCAATCAATTTGAGGGAGTTTATCCTTTCAGATATGGCCATTGTTCCAGATACTTTTCTGAAGGAATATTTATCTTTATTTAATCTTCTCACCATTACCCAGTTTGGGTATCCGCAGGCTTAAAGACCATCCTTGTTTCTGTTCTTTGTGCTTCCCTTCTGTTTTTGTAGGGACATACTCAGTGTGATGTTGTAAGGTTTTGATGACTGAAAGTTTGTGTTCCAGTGGGTGGTGGAGTCAAAAAGAAGGTTGGTCCGTGTGAGTGGATTTCCAATAGACTTCAATGTTGAGGTTTTCATTTCCTTCCATGCTCACTAAACAGTCCAGAAAAGGTAGCTTTTTGTTGATGGTATCGTCTCTGGTAAATTTGATGTGGTCCACCGAGTTAATGTGTCTTGTAAAAGCTTCCACCTCTTTTAGCTGGATTTTGACGAATGTGTCATTCACATATTTATACCAATGGCTTGGTGGTGTTCCTGAAGGTGTCTAAAGCTCTCTTTTTCATTTCTTCCATAAAAAAAAAAAATTGTAAAAAAAATATTCCTAATTTAAAACAGGTTGTGAAAAGACAAAGTTACATTAGGGTGCAGATCTGGTCCGCAGTGAAATTAGTCCTGTTGTTTAGGTCACTGTCTTGTTGAAGATGTTTCCTGACTGTTTCCACTGCCTCTGATATAGGTATGAGTGTGAAAAGAGGAGTAACATCAAAACACACCAGGGTTTCTTCTGACGCCATCTTTAAATGTTTGACTTTGTTTCCAAAGTCTTTGGAGTTTTTTCTTTCTTCTCCTTTCACGTGCATACCAACAAGACAAAAACAAGGCTTTCAGAATAAAAACAAGTCTTTGCTAGGCTATTGTATAAAACCTTGAAATCAGTGCTATTTCTGACATTTTGAATTGAAAAACCTTCCTGGATGAGAAGCAAAACATCTTCAAACTTGGAAAGAAAGTCCAGTGGATTGTTTTAAATCGTCTTTTTCTGTTATGACTATGACCTGGATGACTTAGAATCTTCACTAACAGACCACTTATGACAGACTTTTCTTCCTTGTCTTTGTAAGCTGTTATTGCCTCACTCTTGGTATATGCGATGCAGTTGGGTGTTTGAGTAAACACTCTTGAAAAGTTAGCCTTTTAGAACACCCTTTGCTCATGTGTCTAGCCTGTGGATACTCTAAACACACCCGTTTTTTCATCAGGAACTCCAGCATTTCGTTTTGAGCTTCTTCATAAATTGGGAGCAAGAGCAAAGTTTGTGAAACCCCTCATAAAATAAACAAAGCTTGCCAGATTTTAACAGCAGATGCGGCATGAGAAATGTTGCCCTCTGATGTGGGCACTGTGACTGCTTTTACACTAGTGACAAAACCATTTTGGCTTCTATTTTCCCTGCCATTCGTGCATTTGTGCATATTTGAGCTACCTCTTGTAGTTGGAAATATGTCCTTTAAATCCAAAATTACTGGGGGAGATGCAATTTGAGCCTGCTTATCCACAAACTGCACCAAATCAGCAAAGCTAGCTCTTCTTCCATTCTGATCCTGTTGTTCAGAGGCTTTTAACCTCCATTTCTCTTTTTGTTTGAAATTACGCTTTGAGATAATGGTTTTCATGATGATCCAATTCTTCCAAATAATCCGCAGTAGTCATAGTATTGAGGCAGACATTTAGAAATACTGAAAAACTTTTAACGCTACCATCTTCCACTTTGAATACTCTATCCATGTAGGCGGTTGCAACTATTTCGCATAGTGGTCTCCAATGTGTTTTCTTAGCAGTCTTTTTGGTGCTACATATCCTCTGCTTGATGGCATTTAGTGGCAGCTGTGCACCAGCTCTTGTGGTTGATCAGCTGTTCACTCCTTAATTCTGTGCTCAAAAGCTGCCATTAAAAATTTATATTCCAGTGGCTCAACTTTGAACACCGGTATGGTGAGCAATGGTAACGATGACCTATTTTGTTCTTTTACAAGAACTTCTGTTATTTTGTTATGTTTTTCCATGATCTCTGACAAGTTGTGTAAGTTTTTTCTAGCCACAGAATCTGATTTTTCAACTATGGCAGGTGTGTGCTGCTGCACAGTCTTTGTGCACAATTACATGTCTTGTCTCCATGAGTCCTGCATGTCTTCAGCCCTGACAGTTTTTTGTGTGTCATTTTTAGTCTCATTTCTTATGGCTGTTACACTTTCAATTTAATTCAGTTCAGTTTATTTCTATAGCGCCAATTCACAACACATGTCATCTGAAGGCACTTTACAGATAAAATTCAACCAGATCATACAGTCAACTCAATTCCAAGTTTTCTATCTTAAGAAAAAATGTTGATTGCATCGGATCATTGACTCCAAGGCAATCTTGGATCTCTTGTAGCAACAGTAGAGAGAAAAACTCCCTTTTAACAGGAAGAAACCTCCAGCAGAACCAGGCTCAGTGTGAGCAGTCATCTGCTGAGGCCAACCGGGGTTCAAGGAAACAGAAGCAGACATACAGCAATAATCAGAGATACAAAGGAACTTGCCAGCCAGCTACACAGGCGGCCCCGTCCAGGAAACACACAGCCAGTCAGACAAGCTCCAGCCCTCATGTCAGAGGACAAAGAGAGCACATACGGTTATTCACAGTCAGAGAAAAAGGACTACACTGAAAAATAGGCCAATCTCAAACATCTGTAAACAAGGGTGTTGATGGAAGCAGCACAGCTGATATTTCTCTCCAGGATGGAGTCACAGCCAAACAGGAATAGACCAGATGAAGCTATTATGAAAAAAAGCAGAGAGAGCAGAACGTTAGAGATTGAACTAACAGATTCTGCAGAGTGGGAGAATAGAGATACTGTAGAATGATGAAATGGGGGTCCCTATGTCCTCCAGCAGTCTAAGCCTATAGCTAATAAACTTGCAGATTGAAAGCGAAGTGCTCTGTTAGGAACATAAGGAACAATCAGATCTCTGATATCAGATGGAGCTTGGCCATTTAAGGCTTTATATGTGAGAAGGAGGATTTTAAATTCTATTCTTGATTTAACAGGAAGCCAATGAAGAGAAGCCAGGATAGGAGAGATATGATCTCTGTTTTTCATTTTCATCAGAACTCTGGCTGCAGCATTTTGGATCAGCTGAAGGCTTTTAACTACAGTTTGTGGACTTCCTGATAGTAAAGAATTACAATAGTCCAGCCTTGAAGTAACAAATGCATGGACTAGTTTCTCAGCATCACCCCTGCACAGGAGATTGCTCATTTTTGCAATATTCCTCAGATGAAAGAAGGAAATTCTAGAAACCTCTTTGATATGGGATTTAAATGACAGGTCCTGATAAAAAATAAGACCAAGATCTTTTACTTTATTATCAGAAATCAGTTTAATCCCATCCAAATGAAGTGACTGACTAATCAGCTTATTTTTCAAAGACTATAACTTCTGTTTTGTCTGCATTTAGAAGGAAAAAGCTAAAAGACATCCAGGTTTTTATGTCTTCAAGACATGCCTGTAATCTATGTAATAGATTAGCTTAATCAGAATTTATAGACAGATATACATCAGCATAAGAGAGAAAATTAATACCATGCTGTCTAATAATTCTACCGATTGGGAGCATATATATAATAGAGACTTGGCCAAGAGGAAGGATCATTTATTACTATTCTGATGTGTTGTAGAGAGAACTGAGTCAACAGGTGACAATTAGATATACAGCCCTGTATGATAATGAATATTGACCAAATATATTTCTTTACTTTGTTCTCACAGGCTTAACAAGACGGAGATATAGCTACGATTTCCTGCCACCTAACAGTGAGTTTCAGTAAATAGTCTTTGAATTTAAATGCGCTACAGGAAAAAGGAAATAAACAACCTTGGACATATTTTTATTTTAGCCAGTTAGCCATTGAAGATAAATAAATGGAGGGATTTTGATGAATCTTTAACTGTCCATTTAGCAGGATGGAACAATAATATTATGCATGACTAAATGACTTTGAAATGCAAAAATTATGTGCATTGAAGCCTATTGTTAATTTAAGCCAGTCCACAAAAGATCATGAACATTACCTAAATATCAGGGGCGTAGCCAGAATATTTTTACTGGGGTGGCCAACACGGGGCACAAAGCTAGCAAGGGGTGGCCAATAGAAAATCCTTTACAAACTATATACAGTAAACAACCCAACCATTCTTTAATAACAGTTAACAGGAATGAGCAGGTTTAGAAAATAGCTGATGTTGATATACCTATATACATAAAATAATCAAGTCAAATACTTGATCACACCAATGTACTTTAAAGGGGAACGCCGTTTTTTTTTTTTTTTTTTACATTGGCCCCTTGATTTTACGTTATTACATCATGTTCTACTCACCCATATGAGTTTTGTGTAATTTGGAGCCGTTCTGAAGATATTCCGTGAGGTTATATCTAAGTATGTCGTCCTATGGGCAACGACTTGAAGGCACAAACTGAACTGTTAATAATTTATTCGTTATCGTATGCCAGCATTCCTAACATTTAGGCGAATCACTGTCCCCCAGACATCTGCGGTTATATTTTTTATATTTATATCTTTTAAAAACGAAGCGGCGCGTGTATGATGTCATCCATGCGCGCCGGCTACCGTTCATTCTCGCTGTCCACTGAACTGCTGCTAATTTTACTTACATGCCTGGAAGAGGTCTACAGTAAGTGCTACTACCACAGATGATCTCGCTCTCCAAATGGAATTGAACGATTCAGATTAGCTAACCGAATGAATAGAAGGGGTAGAGCGTAGCCACCTAGTGGCCCGGGCTGCCTGTCACAACTCCAATCCGGCACACGGATGACGACATTTTTATGATCATATTTTATCGATACATTTAAAAGCATTCATTGCAATCATTTAGTCTTATCTCCCTAGACCAAAAATATAGCGTCTGTGGTAATTAAATGTTTTATGTTTTTAATAAATTTGTAAAAATTTGAACAAGAAGTTTTGCAGAAAGACCAACGCGACACTCACACTAACCGGGGGGTCTCGCGGTGTGGGATATGCAACCCACAAATCTCAAAAGGAATTGTAGCTGAACAGAAATCAGGTCTGTTCGTTTTAATTGTACTGTTACGTTGACTTCTCTTAACCTCTATCTGATCCTAGATCTGCATCACATGTGATTGACAGTTACAATATACGTGTAATGATTCAAAAATAAGGAGACAACCTATCAGATCAAGGGTCACTCAGATTCCAGAGGTGGCGCTGGCCACGCCCTGGAACAATTCGTATTCTGTGTTTAATTTCTATACTGGGGTGCCACTGCCCAGAATTGCTCATGCTAAATATTTACATACAGATACATGCGGTACCTACCATGAAATATGTTTGTTTCTTTTCATGGTTGAAACCTTTATTAGCTATATTTTAGGCAATGATTTTAGGCAAAACCTGTGCACAAAATTCGTCTTTCTAAAAGTTATTTAAGCTGCATCTCTTATTAGCATTCATCATGCATTTTTATGTTTTTTTATATTCAGTATTGCTTAATCTGCACAACAAAACATGTTATATTTATTCTTCACAGTGTCTGAAGTGAGGCTCATTCTCCTGGGAGACAGCTGGTCAGAAAAGCGTTTGGTCGGAAACTTAATCCTGGGAGAGACTAATTTCAACTCAAGGGAAGAGCCAGGCTCATCAATCAGAATTCAAAAAATAATTCACGAAAAGAAGCTTGTTGTCATTAATACACCAGATCTGCTTTATCATAGGATTTCTGAAGAAAAACTCAAAGGACAAGTAGAAATCTGTTTGCGATTTTGTGCTTCAGTTCCTCATCTGTTTCTATTGGTTGTACAGCCTGATCGCTTCACAGAAGAACAGAAAAAGAAGTTCTACAAAATTCTTGAACTCTTTGGTGGTCAGTCATATGAACTTGCAATAGTTACAATAATATCTAATGAAATGGATATAAATTTAAATCAAGACTTACAGGACTTGATCAGAAGATGCAGAGGCAACTCGTTCATTCTGAAGGACAATGATCGCAAGGAGTTGCTTAGAAAAATTGGAGACTTTCTAGATAAGAGAAATGAAATTTACCCCGTCCATCAGTCTTCAAGTATAAAACATGGAAAAGAAACTTGTACTGGTAGGTGTTGGAAAAGATGCATTGCACACAAATTACACATTATTTTTGCACCATGTCATGTGCAGATATTTCTGAGCCATGTAATTTCTGCTTTACAAGTTATCAGAAATAAACAGGGTTAATCATATATAGGCAAAAAATTACAAAGTACTTAGATATCATCACAAACTATTTCGGTTTAAAACACTGATCGCCTAGGGAAAAAAAGCTGTTTGATCTGTTAGTTCAGGTTTTCACAATCTCTATGATCTGAAGTCAGAACTCAGAACAGAGGAGGAAGAAGCCAATGAAAAGAACCTGGGATAGGAAAGATATGATCTTTCTTTTTAATTTTCTTCAGAACTCTGGCTGCAGCATTTTCAGTACAGTTTGTTGACTTCCTGATAGTAAAGAATTACAATAGTCCAGCCTTAGACTTAGACTCAGACCTAGACAACTTTTATTGCCATTTTGTATACACAGAGTGTATACAAAACAAAATTTCGTGTGAGGGGTCATTAATGATGTTACGGGCTCAGGACACACAGCGCTGTGATGAAATGTCTTTAATGGAGGGAAGAGGAGCCCCCATGATCCTCTATGCTGTTGTCACCTTCTTCCAGTCTGAGGCGCTGCAGCCTCCACACCACACAGTGAGACAGCTGGTCAGAACACTCTCTATGGTGCTTCTGGAGAAGATGGGGAGGATGGGGGAGGGCAGGTGGGCTCTCCTTATCCTCCACCGGAAATACAATAGCTTTTGTGCCCTTTTGAACAGAGAGGTGGTGTTTACAGTCTCGGTGAGGGTGTCTGTGATGTGCATCCCCAGGAATTTGGTGCTGCTGACCACCTTTATAGCTGAGCTGTTGATGAGCAGTGGAGCCTGGTTAGGCCGGTTCTTATTGAAGTCAAAAATCATCTCCTTTGTTTTCTCAACATTCGGGATCCGGCTGCATCAACCCACCAGCTGCCCCACCTCTTCTCTGTAGTCCTGGTCTTTGTCGTCTCTGATGAGTTCCACCACCGTGGTGTCGTCTGCAAACTTCACATTGTGACGGGGGGTGAACCAGGGGACACAGACAGATGCCATCACTGTTAACAGCAGGGGGCTCAGGACGCAGCACTAAGTAGAGCCTGTGCTCAGGGTGATGACATCAGAGATTTTGTGTTCTGACTAAGGTCTCTTTGGGACGAAGTCTAGCAGCCAATTGCACAGGGGCGTATTGAAGCCCAGCTGATCCAGTTTTCCTATCAGATGCTGTAGAATGATTTTGTTGACAGCTGAACTGAAGTCCAGGAACAGCATCCGCACGTGGGTGTTTTTCTCCTCCAGGTGAGCCAGGCTCAGGTGGAAAGCAGCAGAGATGGCGTCCTCAACGGGTCGAATGTTGGGGGAAACTGGAGACAATGTGTTCTTTAACCAGTTTTTTTAAACATTTCATTGTGATAGGAGTCAGGCCGATAGTCATTGAGTGAGGTGATCTGAGGCTTGTTTGGACTGGAATGTGGTGAAAGACTTAAAGCATGCTGGCTCTTTGGATTCATCCAGCAAGGTGTTAAAAATATCTGTGAGGACACCAGCCAGCTGACCTTATGTTTTCGCTAACATCTGGTATGTTATCAGGGCCTGGGGCCTTTCTTTGGTTGACTCACCTTAGATTTTTCTGACATCAGCTGTGTCAAGGCAGGTGCCTTCTCTCCCTGTTGTGGAATGGCTTTCACTGTTGGAGGGCTGTTTAGTGCCTCAAACCTTCCAAGGAGGTTGCTTAGTTAATATAGCATCAGCTGCATCTACCAGTGGGAGGGTGTGTTGTAGTCTATGATCATCCATTTGCCCTGCCACATCCTGCTGGTGTTGCTTGCGTCACGGTAGAGATCCTGGATCTTCCGGCTGTGCTTTTGCTCCACTGATTTGATGGTAAGATTTAAGTTTGCATGCCTCAGTGCCTCTTTGTCACCACACTTGAAAACTAAGTTCTGTGCTTCTGGCGATTTCCGAACCTCTTCATCCAGTGTCGTTGGTTTGCCTGGGTGCTGATGTTCTTTTTGTCATAGGCTGCTGGAGCTTTGAACATGTTCCGGTCAGAGCATTCAAAACAGTCCTGGAGTCTATCCATGGCCCCCTCTGTCCACACTCTGACCTCCTTCAGTATTGGTTTAACCCTGATTAGCTGGGGCCTGTATGCAGGAATTAGCATGACAGATAGGTGATTTGATGACCCAAGGTGAGGGTGGGGAGCTGCTCGGAATGCATCTGTGATGTTAGATTAGGCTAAATCTAAAGTTTTATAACCCTAAATTTTAAAATTGAACGTGACAAAATGGGAGAGCACAGTCTTTAAGTTAGCCTGGTACAACCCCAGCAATGATGAAAACACCCTCTGTGTATGCAGAAAGGAGCTCAGAGATAGCCTGCATAGAATCTTCGTGGCCTCTTTTGTATTAATTTACTGCCAGGCCGGAGAGAATGTCCTGCAGTTAACATGTCTGGAGAGCAGAAGCCAGTCACCGATTTAGCATTTTTACACCAGCTGTTGTTGATGTAAACACAGTCCCAACCACCTAGTCTTACCACTTAGTTCTTCGTTTCTATCGGTGCGGTATATTGTGAGCCCCTCTAGGTTAACAGTATTGTCTGGTGTCGATGAATGAAGCCAAGACTCAGTCAGGAAGATCGGATGAGCACTGAACTGCTGCTAATTCTAATTCAGGATGAGCAGCAGTTACTAATTTTCTTTTTTGATGAGAGTTTGAGTCGGAGATTATCCATTTTTTTTATCCAGTGAGTGGATGTTGGAGAGCAGGATTTATTGGATGGATGTTCTGTGGTAATTCCTTCTTAGCTTAGCCATTAACCCACCTCTGCTGCCCCTCTTACGTAACCTTACACACCGCCTCCCCCTGCGCTCACTCTGGCGTGCCCTGCTCCATTAGCCTGTTGCTCTGTGCACATCCATCCAAAGCTCTGGGCAGTGTGGGTGGCTCTAGACTCACCCAAGAGGGCCCAGAATCAATAAAGAGTCAATGCAAGCCCTAGATATCCAAGATCCAGATTGCTGGGACACAAGGAAAGCAGACATAAGATGGCTGCACCCACCAGTGAAGGGCAGATGAGAGCCCCGAGAGCTCATCCCCCGAGGGTCCAAATCCTGAAGTGGCCCAGCCCCAGAGAGTAACGACACAAGAGGCCATAGTGCTGAGATGCCATGGAGCTAGAGCAGAGAGCCCATGGGCTCCCCCTGCGGCCTTTCATGCCCAAGGTGGACCTGAGTGAGGGCCCAGGGGTCTGTCTAATACAGCAATTATACAGTGCCCACCAAAGAACCAAACCCCACACCATCAGCGCGTTAGGTACCTGAATAAAACAAATAAACAAAGACAAATAAAACTTCATATTCATCCAGTCACATTCACATAATCCTACCGTTACACACATATGGACATATACAAAAACTCGACAGAGACACACACAGGGGCAGACAATAAACATATTCTTACACTCAGGACAAAAGTAAGATTAATTATACCATTTTTGATTAGAGAGGTTTAGCTTCCTATTGTGTTAAAAACTAAAATATTTTTTTATGATGTTTTTCATGCTATTTCTTCACAGGCCGAGATCTCAGGATTATGCTTTTTGGAGCAACTCTGTCAAGCAAGGGGCAACTCTGCAACTTTATTCTAGAAAAAACAAGTTCAGAAATGTCCTCCACATCTAATCAAACCAAATTAGTTGAAAAGGGGCTATGGAAAGGGAAGGTCTTAACTATTGTGACACCTCCAGAAAGTAAGATGGGAAAAGTAAAGAAAGACGACCTGAAAAGATGCATTGATCTTTGTCCTCCTGGACCAAATGTTCTACTGCTCTTAGTAAAACCTTCAGACTTTACAGAGAAGGACAGCCGGACTCTGAGGGCCACCCTGAGTTTGTTTGGTGAAGATTCCTTTAAACACTCAATGGTTATCATAACTCAAGAAGGTAATAGAACAAGTTTTGCTCTTAATTCCCTAATAAGAGAATGTGAAGGTAGACAGTACAGCCTGGCTGAAAATAATTACCAGAAATTAATGGAGAAGATGGAAGATATAGTGAAAAGACACAGCAGTGCCTTCCTTAGCATCAAAGAGGATGGAGCAGCATCAAAATGTGACCCGTCATTGCCAGCCATAAATCTGGTTTTGTGTGGGAGTAGTGGATCACAGAAGACCTCAGCAGCCAAGGCCATTCTAGGTCAGACAGATCTTCATTCAGCCTCCAGCTCATCAGAGTGTGTTAGAAACCAGGGAGAGGTTCATGGACGTTGCGTTTCTGTGGTGGAACTTCCTGCCTTGTGTGAAAAAGCTCAGCAGGAAGTGATGGAGGAATCATTCAGGTGTATCTCCCTCTGTGATCCTGAGGGTGTTCACGCCTTCATCCTGGTCCTACCTGTGGGTCCCCTCACTGATGAAGACAAGGGAGAGTTACAGACCATCCAGGACACATTCAGCTCTAGAGTCAATGAAAACACAATGATTCTGTTCACTGTTGAGTCAGATCCTACAGCTCCAGCTGTGGTTAAATTATTTGAACAGGATAATAACATTAAAGAGCTTATTAAGAGATGTGGCGGAAGATATCTTGTGGTCAAAAGTAGCGACAGAAGGCAATTTTCTGCTGTGATAGATTTTGTGGATAAAAGAAAACAAACCAAATACACATCAGGAAACCTCATAGAAGCCTACTTAGATAAAATTCAAAAAGAGAAAAACACCATGGGACGGCAGAGCCACCTTTCAAATCTACCATCGCAGACTGGGTTCAGTGGTAAGTATTTTAATACAAATTCTTCAGATATGAAGGATAACAATTTTTTTTATATAAGTATTAGCAACATTAATTAACTTTTTACATCTATAATTCTTCATAATACCTACGCCAATTTTGTAAACTTTTTATTCCTTTAAATTTACAAAAAAAAAAAAAAATGGCCTCACACTCCACTCATGCAAGTGTCTCATCATCACTACTGCTAAGAACACATTGGACCACTTTATACAGGTTATTGTTATTTCTACATTAGAATGAGACTCTTCTCGCTGTAGGTTGAGGGCATACAGATAAGATTTGGACACGTTCTGTTCTTGATCATTTAAAGTTGATTTAAGTCCCAAGAGTCTTAGTTCATTAACATTTAACAAGCTTGTTCATTAACATTTTTTGCTACTTTTTGGCTAATTATCTCCTCAGAACACCCAGCAGGTTTGGTCTAATTAGCAAAAGCATTTTCACTCAGTCTGCAATTAGGAAGGAATTGGGTAAGTGTCCCGTTTATAGAGGTAAAGGAAGATTTGGTTAGTGTTTTTGCTGGTAACAGGATTTCTTATGAAAAGATCTAAAATAGATTATTTTGAGATCAGCAAAAACTGAATCTGTTTATTTTAAAAGACAGGCAAATGTCACAGACAGAAGCTATTTATTTCTAATAAGCACAGGAAAATCTGAAATTACATTTGTTGGATTTGTTAGTATACATTTATTTTGAAAAACCAGCATGCTGCATTATGTCTTCTGCACACATGGTTCACTTTAGGATTGTAAATTGTTCAAACAGGAGTCTGATTTATCATGCCCTGTCCACTAGGAAATTATTGCCTGTTTGAATTGAAAATGGTCTTTTTCTTTATCCGAAAAACTAATATCCTTTTGATTAATTATTAAATATGAATGCCAAATTTAGGAAGATTTTTTTTTTCTTTTCTACTGTAATTTTATTTTCTTCATTCAATCCTGGGTAAGCTGACCTCTGCTTCCTCTCTGTAACAGGAGGTAAGGACAAGTGGACATATGAGTGCCTCAGGATTGTTCTGATTGGAAAGACTGGATGTGGGAAAAGCTCTTCAGGAAACACTATCCTGGGCAGAAAGGAGTTTGAAGCCAAACTAAGTCAAAAGTCCGTCACAAAGTGTTGTAAGAAATCCCTGGCTGATGTGGACGGTCGTCCTGTTGCTGTGGTGGACACTCTTGGTTTGTTTGATGACAGCTTTTCACATAAAGAAGTACAACAAGAATTACTGAAATGTATCAGCCTTCTAGCCCCAGGTCCACATGTCTTCCTGGTGGTGGTACCAATTGGAGGAAGACTCACTCCAGAGGAGGAAAAGACATTAGAACTTATTAAAGAAGGTTTTGGGAGGAATTCTGAAAAGTACACCATTATCCTTTTTACAAAAGGAGATCATCTTCAAGGTTCACAGTCTATTGAAGATTATATCGAAAATGAGTGTAATGACAGATTCAAAAAGCTGATTGCTGATTGTGGGGGAAGATACCATGTACTTGACAACAGTGATATCCAAAACCGCAGACAAGTAAAAGAGCTGATCAAAAAAATTGACATCATGGTGGCTAAAAATGGATGCTTCACCAATGAGATGCTGCAAGAGGCAGAAACAGCCATAGAAGAACAATATCAGCAAATCCTAAGTGAGAAAAATGAAGAAATGGAGAAAGAAAAGAAGAAAATAGAAGAAAAATACATAAATGACAAGAAGGAGATGGAAAGAAAAATGAAAGAAGAAAGAGCAAAAATTAAAAAAGAGCTCAAGAAGAAAAATGAGAAAATTAAGGAGATCAAGAAAAGACTTCAGCAGGCTGAAGAAGAAAAGAGAAGGGAACAAGAGCTGAGAAAAGAAGAAGAAGCCAAACGGGAACGTGATGACCTTTCTAATGTTTCAGATCTTAGATGTGATTATGAAAGTGCGATGCAAGATTACAATTACACACTGGAGAAGAATGAAAAAATGAAAGAAAAGGAGAGCATATATTTGGGGGAATTAGACTGTATATTCAGGCAAAATTTGGAATATATAATTGAAACATATAGGAAGGACGCACGACAAAAAGCTGAAGAGCTTAATGAGTTCAAAAACAAATATCTTCAAGACTTTGCAGCTCAGAAACAAGACCATGAAACACAGATAAAACAAAAAGATAAAGATTATAACATGCTATTGGCCCTGAAACAGATCACTGAAAAGCATAGAAGAACCCAATACAGAACAGACATCACTGACATGGTGGAATGTGTGTCCAAAAAGAGAGAGAATCTGAGAAAAATAAGAGAAATGCTGTCAAAACAAGCAGATGAGATGAAAAAGGCCATCACTCAACAAGAAATCACACAACTGGAGAAAAATCATGACAAAGAACTCAGGGAACTTATTCGGCGTCTTCTGAAAAAACCAGAAAATCTGTACGAATGGATTGAATGACAGATGGTGCCAGCATTACACAGGGAACATGAACCCATGACCCAGGATTTATATCAATGGGCATCAACAACCAAGAAAACAACCAAAATACAAGGACAGACTTTCTGATCTCTTTATGATCACTCTCTACAGCAACATTGATATGAAAGATTATTTTTTATATATTGAATATTTGGTGTAGAAATATGTCCATGATTTTTAAACTTTACTATAGTTAAATTTTTATCATAATAAGTTTAACCACTGATGTAAATAAAAGTTCAGCTGTTGAGCTACATGTGTGCTGTTGTTAAATAAATATATAAAAATAAATATATAAAAAAATATATTTTGAAAAGTCAGCAAAAGCTCAAAGCTATAAAACTATGTGAATATATTCATACTACTGAAAATGTATAAACACATTATGATGATACTGTATTTTATTGGGTTGTCTTTTTACAGAAAAGAAAAGGCATATTTGAAAAGTGAAATTAATAGTTTTTCCAACTTCTGTAAAAATAACACTCAGAGCTCAAACTCATGTTTATTTGCAAATGTCTTTGCAAATAAACATAAATACATTTTGCATATTCCCATCATTATGGTATTAAGCACTGCTGCTCTGGTGCAAACCATGTAATTCCCTCATATAGTCAAAAAACTGTTTTTCCAATTCCCCTTTGACCACAACTAAACCATAATGAGACAACGTGTATTTTAAGGTTTCTTGCAATTAAAACTTTAGAAGCTGTTTAGTTTGATTAAATAGTCTGATTAACTGTTTTATTATTACATACTTAGGGACTTAGACATTATACTGAATGTTGGGTATTGATTAAGTTTTGAAATTAAAGCAATATTTGTATTAAAATATTTTTTTTGCATTTTGGTATTTTCTTTTATTATTTCCCTTTTTATATTTACTTTTATTTTTCCTTCTTTGCATTTTTTTTCTTCTTGGCAATGCTTTGAAGTTTTCAACATGTTAACCTTTCTTTTTGTGTTTTTTCTTTCCTTTTTATCCAGTGAAGTATTTTGGATTGCTTAATGAATAATGGTTGCTTTATAAATAAATTTGCCTTTCAAATAAATATAATGTACTAGATCTTATTTTTGTCTAAAGAACCTCGGTCTGAATCATTTTTTACTTCTCATTCTCTTCATCATGTTTAATGCACTTTATTCACATTTCTTTCCATTACTTTATTTTTTGTTCAGTTGGTCTGGGTAAATTGACTGAACATAAACTACAGGTGCTGGTCATAAAATTAGAATATCATGAAAAAGTAGATTGATTTCAGTAATTCCATTTAAAAAGTGAAACTTGTATATTATATTCATACATTACATACAAACTCATATATTTCAGATGTTTATTTTGTTTAATTTTGATGATTACAAATGACAACAAATGAAAATCTCAAATTCATCATATCAGAAAATTAGAATATTACTGAAGACCAATAAAAACAAAGGATTTATAGAAATGTTGGCCAACTGAAAAGTATGAACATGAAAAGTATGAGCATGTACAGCACTCAGTATTTAGTTGGGCCTCCTTTGGCCTGTATTACTGCAGCAATGCGGCGTGGCATGGAGTCGATCAGTCTGTGGCACTGCTCAGGTGTTATGATAGCCCAGGTTGCTCTAATAGTGGCTTTTAGCTCTTCTGAATTGTTGGGTCTGGTGTATTGCATCTTCTTCTTCACAATACCCCATAGATTTTCTATGGGGTTAAGGTCAGGAGAGTTTGCTGGCCAATTAAGAACAGGGATACCATGGTCCTTCAACCAGGTACTGGTAGCTTTGGCACTGTGTGCAGGTGCCAAGTCCTGTTGGAAAATGAAATCTGCATCTCCAAAAAGTTGGTCAGCTGCAGGAAGCATGAAGTGCTCTAAAACTTCCTGGTATGTGGCTGCGTTGACCCTGGACCTCAGAAAACACAATGGACCAACACCAGCAGATGACATGGCACCCCAAACCATCACTGACTGTGGAAACTTTACACTGGACTTCAAGCAACGTGGATGAAGTGCCTCTCTTCCTTTCCTCCAGACTCTGGGACCTTGATTTCCAAAGGAAATGCAAAATTTACTTTCATCAGAGAACATGACTTTGGACCACTCACCAGCAGTCCAGTCCTGTTTCTCTTTAGCCCAGGCAAGACGCTTCTGACGCTGTCTGTGGTTCAAGAGTGGCTTGACACAAGGAATGCGACAGCAGAAACCCATGTCTTTCATACGTCTGTGTGTGGTGGTTCTTGAAGCACTCACTCCAGCTGCAGTCCACTCTTTGTGAATCTCCCCCACATTTTTGAAGGGGTTTTGTTTCACAATCCTCTCCAGGGTGCGGTTATCTCTCTTGCTTGTACACTTTTTTCGACCACATCTTTTCCTTCCCTTCGCCTCTCTATTAATGTGCTTGGACACTGAGCTCTGTGAACAGCCAGCCTCTTTAGCGATGACCTTTTGTGTCTTGCCCTCCTTGTGCAAGGTGTCGATGGTCGTCTTTTGGACAACTGTCAAGTCAGCAGTCTTCCCCATGATTGTGTAGCCTATAGAACTAGACTGAAAGACCATTTAAAGGCTTTTGCAGGTGGTTTGAGTTAATTAGCTGATTAGAGTGTGGCACCAGGGGCCATCAATTTTGAACCTTTTCACAATATTCTAATTTTCTGATATGATGAATTTGAGATTTTCATTTGTTGTCATTTGTAATCATCAAAATTAAACAAAATAAACATCTGAAATATATGAGTTTGTATGTAATGTATGAATATAATATACAAGTTTCACTTTTTAAATGGAATTACTGAAATCAATCTACTTTTTCATGATATTCAAATTTTATGACCAGCACCTGTATATAGATAGAAAGACAGCTTATTTGCACCTTATGATTTTAAGAAATTGCTGCTTTCATCAGAAACACTTCCAGTATTCTGATAATATGTTGTAAATTCTATTTTTTTCCCTCCTGAGTGTCAGGGGAAGTGGATCTCACTCTCCATGCAGACTGAGATGTATGAATATCTGTAGTCTTGTTTTATTAACAGTATTAAGTAATTGTGCCTTGTTTCTGTAAATCAGCAGCTGTTAAACCACTGAGAAAAAAGTAGTTTGGATCCCATGACTCTTTCTAATTATCAATGAAGTTTCAAATTACCATTCGTATTAAACATTTTGGAAAAAATTTTCTTTTCCTTTATTGATTTTAGGAAGGAATTACATTTTTCATATTCATATAATAATTCAACATAACCTTTCGACGAGTTAAGTTGTTCTATTTTCACTATTTAAGGAATTTAATTATTATTGGAAGTTGTTTGCTTTTGGATCTGGCTGCCGGCAGCGGTTACACATTCACAAAAGCTGTTAAAGAGCAGGACTGTGTGCTGAGCCGGATGCTGGGTGCATTTTAATGCAGGCTGGCTGCAGTGGTTGAACTCAAAGGTGAGATGGGATAATATCATGAATGTGCATGCTCGCTTCAAGGAGGAAAAGCCTAACAAATTTGGAAAATTGGATTTGCCATGTAAAGCCAGCAAGAAAAGACTCACAGCTGATGGAAAATTCCTGTGCAGCCTGCTCTCAAAACAATAAGTGTTATTCTTGGATTTGACCTCCCCCTTATTTAACCTGCCCTGGCTGTTATGGGGGAAGAGCCCAGAAGAACTGCTACCAAACCCCCCCACCCAACTCTGACCAACCAGCCCTCCCCTACCCACGAACATCTGTGGATGCATCCAGACCTGTATCGCCAGCTGATAAACCTCCATCTTATCAAGGACAATGGCCAGCGTTCATGGACAAATTTAAAACATTTTATCATGCATACACAACTAATGCTCAAAATTTCAGATTTTGTCATCTACAAAAGAAATTTTAGATGACAATAAAGTTCAATTATTATTATTATGACACAAACTAGAGTTACTAAAGCACCTCCCTGTGTTGGTGCTGATCTGCTCCATGGATAGGTCATTATATGTACAAGACACACACACTCACATAACTTACACAGATGAACTGGATGATGCATGTAAACTAGGTTGTTTTTTGCTGATGGGGAAGCTGTAGCATCTGGAGAAAACCCATGTTCACACAACACACATCCATTCTTTTGGATAGAAAAATAAATATGTAATAAACAGGTATGTTTGGAAGCAGCTACAATCATCCATGATCTCTAATGTTTAGTAACATTTTTACAGTTTCTAAATTTGTTGATCAGATTCTTTTTCTAGATTTCAAATGTTCTGCAGTGTCCAATGTGGCCACATGATGGCAATGTAACACCTATCTTGACACTTTTTCATTGGGTCTGATTATACAGTTACTTATTACACATCTTTTTATTTTTTATGTCTTGATTTTTTTTTACATTGTTCATTGTCCTCTCAAACAAATAGAAATATCAAAACAGAACAGGGAGAATTGAAGGCTCTAAATCAGGCATATCCAAAGTTGGCCCTCTAGTATAATTGTATAATAAGTAAAAAAAAAATTTATGATTTCCAAAGTGTACATTCACACAGTCATTGAAATTTTATATTTAGTTATATAGTTGCAGATACAAGGAATAAAAGATCAAAATTGAAATCAAAAGATACCTATAAACATAGTTTGTTTAGAAAATATAGATATGCATTAGTTTAACGTGAGGCGCAACTCGGTGATGTGAAAAAATAACATATTTATTAGCATTTGGAAAAAATAAGTGATGATTCTTGTAATTCAAACTAGAATCAATGAGTAATTATAGCCCTAATTAAATTTAACCAGATTTATCTAAAGTATTAGCAGTAAATTTGATTTAGCTTCTCCACCCACAGCGGTTTGGCTTTAGAGCAGCCTTTTGTTTCACAAAGCAGGTTTACTGAAAACTCAAAGTTTTCTAAACCTGAAATCAGGGAAGTTTTCCATTTCAAAAAGAGTTTCCTCATCCTCTGTTTCTGTTGCCGTAGTAACATTCTCCCCAGAGCTAACCTGGTAGGGATAAACTCAGTGTCCTCTGTCTCCGCTCTCCTTACAGCCAATCACACTGTTTTATTTCCTCATTTAGTCAGGAGATTGACGTCATAGTTTTGTGCTTAAAAAAAAAAAAAAAATTCACCAGGTCTGTTAGCCACATTAGGTTTTAAAAACAAACATTGCATGTCTGTTTGACGATGATGTTATTAAAGAGTGATCGGCTTTACACTGTGTGCAGAATTATTAGGCAAGTTGTATTTTTGAGGATTATTTTTATTATTGGGCCACAATTTTGTTCTCAAACAACCTAAAAGACTCCTTAATATCAAGGTTTTATATTTTTTGAAGTTGATGTGTTTTTTTTTTTTGAGGATGTCTGTTTGTGCAGGTAAATACTACTGTGCAGAATTATTAGGAAACGTTATAAAAAAAACTAATATTTACCCATCTCACTTGTTTATTTTCACCGGGTAAACTAATATAACAACTCAAAAATCAGAAATAAACATTTGCAACATTTAAAAACAAAAACCAAATCAGTGACCACTATAGCCACCGTTCTTCACCATAGATTCTGTCAGTGACTTGATCTGTTTGCGATCACATTGCGTGCAGCAGCCACCACAGCCTCCCAGACACTGTTCAGAGAGGTGGACTGTTTTCCCTACCTGAGGTTCTCACATTTCATGAAGGACCACAGGTTCTCCATGGGGTTGAGATCAGGTGAACAAGGGGGCCTTGTTATTCTTAAGGGCTTTATGATGTCCTGTTCTCTCTTTGCAAAGTTGTTATAAAATGCCAACTGAGCGAAATCCAGCGATCTCCGTTAATTTAACTGAAGTGAATAGCTATCTACTTTTTTCCCACTTCAGGAGGCACTCCAATATGTTTCTTACTTTTTTTGAGTCGGAAAGGAACAAATCAATAACAAGCAGATCTACTTGGGTTCGCCACGCATCATAGTCAACCTCACCATTTGGATTTGGCAGTCTACCAGAGAGAGTATGAATCATGCTTTGGCTCTAGCTAGATGGTATTGAGTCACTACGAATTAAGTGTCCAACTATAACTATATATATTTGGACATGTGGTGGGTTGAATGTACCTTGGTCAAAAGATTATCGGTAGCAGTAGTAGGTGGGTTACTGTGAGCGATTGGATCTGAGGGACTTGCCACAGTCGTGATAGGCTGGTCTCCGCCATTTGCCCCATTGTCACTAGTGGGACATCCAGCATGTCAGTCAGAAGGCTGGAGCTGAGTATCAGGACTCTGAGGAGGGGCAACTTCTTACCGTTTAAAGAAGGTGTCTTCCAGAAACTGGCAGTAGATCTGGGAGTTGATCTTGACTCAATCATCAACCCAAAAATGTCCCACAAGCTCATACACGTTTAAATTACGCATAAAATACACATTTTAAGCAGACATCCTGACATACAGCTTGACTGAATATTAATGGAGATCTGAAAGTTAAAAATATACAAATGCTGACCTTTAATATCAGGAATATGGAAATCTGAAATTTATTAGACATCGAGAATGTTTATTATAGATGTGGAGAATCGAGTCATGTTGTTTGAAATGGTCATTTAGAAAAAGAAAAAATATTTTTTCACATATCAGGTATACAAATTCAGTAAAACTAATGCATATCAAAAGGCTTGCCATGGTGTGTTGTGAACACGATATTATTGGATTATTTGTTGAATGGTAGCGGATCAATATATCTATTCAGGTGAAATCCTCTGGGAGCAGGTGAAGATTAAGTCTAAAATTGTTGTTCCAATCTATAGAACCTGTTCATAATCACGGGTTCCTCATGTTGATTTTTTTCTTCTTTTACACAGTAAATACTTAGTGGCTGATGGCAGCCGTAATTCGGATGTTATCAATGGTTATTAGCGGCCATCATTCACATAGGGCTATCATGCCTTCAGATTGTGCCAGGAGGCTCATTAGGTTATAGAGTTAATCCTAACCCTAAAGTATTTCCTTTTTCCCCCCCGCAGCATTAATGGATCTATTTATCTCGAACCTGAAAATAATTTCAATAGCTCTTCATGTAGTGTAAATATAAAAAATAAAATGATCTGCATCTCGCTCATATAAAAAGAAAAGTAATCTCATTCACTGTCACCATCGCCCTATAAATATTGAATTCTCTGTGGAAAAATGCAGATCATTCTTTGATAAGATCCTCACCAAACAGACATGCGATATTTGTTTTTAAAACCTAATGTGTGTAATGGACCTAAAAAAAAAACAAATTTTTCTTCCCCATTTCTTCATTAAAATCTGTAGTTCCAGTGCGATAACATAGGAACTTCCTGTTTCCTGTCGTCATGGTGACTCATCGAATTGAGGCTCCACTGATAATGGCTCTTTAGACTTGTAAAACACGAGCTTAACTCTGAGTGGGCCTACTTAGTGATTATTTAACCAATTCATACCAGCTTTTGTGAAACAGAAAACTCAGAAACAAAAACCCTAAGGTCCCGACCTTAGGCCAGATCAATTTAGAGTTGCCAATTTAAATCTGAGATTGTTAAACATGATTTGTAAAACGGACACCAGCTGTAAAACTGATAGTTTATTCCAAACCAGTTAGTTCTAAACGTTCTAGAAACAGCCTCCACTTGCTTCTTCTTTAGGAAACTCAATTTAGACAGAAAATTACTGTAGAAACCTTATTAAATAAATTAGAAATCTCAAATTAGTGTTTGATGCTCAACTTAAATTACAAAATTTTATAGAAACACTAAAAAAACAACAATAATGGTTTCAAACTAATCAGAAACTACATACCATACCAGGCAGCCTAGCTGTACATGTAATGTAAGTCTAGTATGGGAACAAGCTGCTCCTACTCTTAGATCTCCTACTGGAGATTTACCTTAAAAGCTGGTTGAAGTTTTTAATTTTGAAATATAAAATATGTGGAAACTCAAAAACCAGGATGATTAAATAAAAAAAAAAAAAAATATATAAAATGTAAAAATAAAAAAGCACATAAATTTACTTAAGCTGAAGTTTCATCAATCAATGATCAAACGAAAGAATCTGGAGGATTTTACCTGAACTTTATTCAAATTTAATACAAAAAAGGTGTGACAGTGCAAGCTAGTCTAAAAGAGTCATAAATATATAAAACATTATTTTCCATTGCACAGTAAAAAAGGCCAGGGCCTCAGAAGAACACTAAAACTGAATAGACAGACAGTATTTAAAGATCCAGCCTTCAACAGAAACCCCTTTTAGAACCAAACAATGAAGCCATTTTCTTATTTCACATCTTATTTGATATTCAAAACAGTTATTTTAGAGAAATTTCCACTTATTTATTTGGTACTATTTTAAGGTTGGCTATAACTGCATCAAGCAGGATTAAACATGCAAAAAAGGTCAACCTGGTGTTTGTACTCGCAGTACCAGGCCAGTCCAACCTGCAGAGGTCTGAAAGCACAAAGTATCACCCAGAGTGCAAACCCTGAGTTCAGTCTGAAGGTGCAACATCTTCATTTGTCCAGGAATAAAATAGATATCTCAGAGAACCAAAGTAAGAGGAGACAGAAGTCCAAACAGAACCGTTTTCTATGCAGTTCCATCACTGACCTCTTGTTTATAGAAATAAACAGTCGCTGTGAACAGTTGCATGGACACTCTTTAACATGCAGGCAAATTTACCTGACTGATCCTCAGAGAGAAACTCACTGTACAGGTTGAGGTAAGAATTTGTTTAAACGGAGGAACCGGCCGCAGGTTCTCTGTGGGCCTCTTGTCTGTTCCTCGCTCCAGAACAGCCAGAGCCCAGCTCGTTTGCATGATTTCCGTCAATAACATTTGATTAAAAGGGAAATCTCTGCCTCGTTCGGCAAGAAATAAACAGTCCGGCAGTGAATTTTCATTTTGAAGAGGAACCCAGTGCTAAGACAGACCTAAACAGGAAAACAAAGTGCTGCGTTTCAAATGAGGTGAAGTAATTCCAACATTGAATCGGAATCTAAAGTGGTCCCCAAAAAATCCGCCATTTCTGATCCACCATCTCATTTCCATCCGTTACACCCTCCCCTTTACAAAATGTGCAGCTTTACTGTAACAGCATTCTTTAAAACATGAATTCATTAGTTCTATGATACAGAAGGAAGAAGTTCTTGATGGTTTCATCCTCTCATTGAATGTAAAAGCAAACAGGAAGTGATGTAAGGTCACTCACTGATCTTTTCCCATGATGAGCAGGTAAGTTATGATTCCTGTCAGGAGAACCATCATCATCACCACAGAGGTCAGGAGGAAGGCCCGGCACAGTGGCCGGCCCGTCAGCCTGAAAAGAGTGTCACCCATCCCCCCTGCCTCCCTGCCACTGCCCCCTGTATTTGGGCTGGGAAGTCCCACATCCAGGGAGCGGTTCCTCACAGACGTGATGGACCTCTGGCCCTGCCGCCCCAATCCGTCGCTGGACCTGCAGAAAAGAAACAAGATTTTTGTTGTTTTAGAGGAAAAACTACACTGTAAAAACGTTCTGAAAATGAGTAAACAATTTGTTAGGTTTATTCATTGATGATTATAAAGTTAATGTGTGTACATATGAAACATTGGAGAAATGAAACACTTCACTCTGTTTAATGTAAACTGTCATGCAACTGTGGTAGAAAATTGCTGATGTTTGTGCAAGGCTAAACACAGTTATCAGGAGACCACTCTCTTCTGTGATTCAATTAGAGGAGCATTTTGTCCTATGAACTGATCAATTGCTTGTCAGAAGAACACTATTTTGTAAACCACCCCATGTGTTATGATCTGCTAATAAAAAGGCTTCTGCAGAGGAAGTCCGTCAGAGAGTAGATGTAGCTGAATGTAGCTCTCTCCTTCTGCAGAAGCCGTTAAAAAATCCCTCTTCTGTGTCCACTCAGTTCCTCTTTTACGAACCTACATTTTTGAACCTAACAATTCATTAAAATTAGTGTATTTACCCTTGACTTGAGTAGAAAACACAAGATGATTTGCCAATGGAACAAGCCTTTTTACCATTAAAACAAGATAAATATATAATATACACTTGAAATAAAAGACTCTGGTAGTTTCTCTTATTTTAGATATAAATTGTCTCATTCCATTGGCCAAGTGTCTCACTTATCTGCCCAATTCAAGAATAAAATACCTTACTTAGATTAACATTTTCTACAGTGTATATTTTTTGTTATTTCATCTACAGTCTGAGTTGCTGCACTAAAATATTAATCCCCTTTAAAGAAGAACCCATCAGGATCATCACTGGTTTTCAGCCCTGCTTTCAATAAAAGATATATTTCCAGATTATTTGTTTTCTTTACATTTCCTCATCTTTGAATTAAGACCTAGAGGGCTGTTATCCTGCTTCTTGTAGGTAGAAGTTGAACATACCTGATCAAGCCATGTAGAAATATAATTTAAAACGTTTTTGTTTTAATCTATTCATAAAATGCTTTCATTTAAAAATGAATAAAGAGCCCAGAAATACATGAAAGATCAGGTTGGTGGATTCTTAAAAGCTTAATAACTTACAGCTTGCAATTCAGGTTGATATATTGCAGAATGCTGGGATGGAATATTTATGAAATACATGCATAGACCCCAACAACCCCAATGTTTTCAAAGCTCCCAGTAGGAAAAAAAAAAAAAAAACAACAACAACAGGAAAACCTGAAAAAGAACTACAAATGTCTATTAGTATCCAATATGGTTGGCTTACATCTAAACTAAACATATTCTGTTCATCATCATAAAGTTTATTTGTAGGGCACTTTAAAACGGCTAACTGCTGAAAACAAAGTGCTCTATGGCTAAAAATAATAAAATGCAACAGAAACATAAAATGCAGCTTAAAGATCAAAAACAAGGCAATAAAATTTGTTGAATTCTATTGGAAAGGAGCAAATCTAAACAGCAGTTTGTACTTTTATAACGAGCCAAGAAATCCAACTAGATTTTCAACTTGCAAGACTTTACTAGAGTGCGACTCAAATCCTAAATCTGTGTTCTGACTTTTCTGTCAAATCAAATGCTGCAGCATTTTGCTCCTCCAGCATCATTCACCTTTTCTGACAGAGGATTTAAAAAAAAAATTTTATTTCCTGGAATAAAAACAGATTTTAACTGTATGAAATATATTTAACCTTTCAGGAAACGGATGTGTGTTTGCCATCATTGTCCTGTTGGAAGAACCCAAATCTGTCCAGAACTCAACCATCTGTGACAGACTGTCCCCTCATACAGAAATAACCCACGTTCAGGAATACCCCAGCCAGAACCTGAACAAATTTTAAAGCATATCAGAAATCACATCAGCATGGACCGAGGGGCCGACACCAAGAAACAAACATCAGTTAAGAAACACTTCAACGCTGGACTGGAAATTTGAAGCAGGCTTAATGGACAAGACCAGAGATGGCAAAAGTACTCACTTTCCGTACTTGAGTAAAAGTACAGATACTTGTGTTAAAAAATACTCTGGTAAAAGTGGAAGTACTGATTAAACTTGTTTACTCAAGTAAAAGTAACAAAGTACAGGCTTGTAAATTTACTTAAAGTATAAAAGTAAAAACCACCTTTTTCATGCCATTGCCTACATTTTAAATGGATGTCTGCCAATAGGACTAGATCTCCGTTGTGTTCATTTTCAATCATCTCGTCGTCCATGCTACTATGCTAACGCCACCGCCACCAAGCTGCAATGATTTGCCGCCAATGAATACCGCCGAATCTGTCCATTCATCTTGTAGTGGTGCGTCAAATGCAACGTAGATTCCCATCCAATTAGATTGAATTTGGTATTGATGACGTGAAAAATAATAACGGTAACTCCATTGAAATGATTCAAAACTAAAGTAACGAGCCAATTTTTTTTAAATGTAAGGAGTAGAAAGTACAGATATTTGTGTAAAAATGTAAGGAGTAGAAGTAAAAAGTCGCCATAAAAATAAGTAGTAAAGTAAAGTAAAAATATCAGAAAAATCTACTTGAGTACAGTAACAAAGTATTTGTACTTCGTTACTTCCTATCTCTGGACAAGACAAAACGTCTGGTTGTGGGAGAGCAAAAACTGATCTACTTGGAGATGATGAAGAGAATCAACTGGTTTGGAGGACTTAGATTGAGGCTTTAAAACCAAAAACCATCTGAGCTGCATGTTGGTGGCAGCAGCATACTGAGGGGCCTGTTCTTCCAGGTTCTAACTGATCCAACTTCTTACTAAACATCTAGATGTTTGGAATTGGAATCAATAAAGCTGGACAATGATCTCAAACCAACTAGCTGGTTTCTCATGGCCCAATCAAGCCTTACTTTGTAGCGTAATTTCTGCTCTGAGTGGATGTTTACATCACCAAATGGCTTATTTTAGATGAAAGGTTTCCAAACATTTTAGCGTGTTAACCCTAAAAATGCAACAGACAATCCCTAGAAGCACATATAATTATACAGGTGCTGGTCATAAAATTAGAATATCATGAAAAAGTAGATTGATTTCAGTAATTCCATTTAAAAAGTGAAACTTGTATATTATATTCATACATTACATACAAACTCATATATTTCAGATGTTTATTTTGTTTAATTTTGATGATTACAAATGACAACAAATGAAAATCTCAAATTCATCATATCAGAAAATTAGAATATTGTGAAAAGGTTCAAAATTGATGGCCCCTGGTGCCACACTCTAATCAGCTAATTAACTCAAACCACCTGCAAAAGCCTTTAAATGGTCTTTCAGTCTAGTTCTATAGGCTACACAATCATGGGGAAGACTGCTGACTTGACAGTTGTCCAAAAGACGACCATCGACACCTTGCACAAGGAGGGCAAGACACAAAAGGTCATCGCTAAAGAGGCTGGCTGTTCACAGAGCTCAGTGTCCAAGCACATTAATAGAGAGGCGAAGGGAAGGAAAAGATGTGGTCGAAAAAAGTGTACAAGCAAGAGAGATAACCGCACCCTGGAGAGGATTGTGAAACAAAACCCATTCAAAAATGTGGGGGAGATTCACAAAGAGTGGACTGCAGCTGGAGTGAGTGCTTCAAGAACCACCACACACAGACGTATGAAAGACATGGGTTTCTGCTGTCGCATTCCTTGTGTCAAGCCACTCTTGAACCACAGACAGCGTCAGAAGCGTCTTGCCTGGGCTAAAGAGAAACAGGACTGGACTGCTGGTGAGTGGTCCAAAGTCATGTTCTCTGATGAAAGTAAATTTTGCATTTCCTTTGGAAATCAAGGTCCCAGAGTCTGGAGGAAAAGAAGAGAGGCACTTCATCCACGTTGCTTGAAGTCCAGTGTAAAGTTTCCACAGTCAGTGATGGTTTGGGGTGCCATGTCATCTGCTGGTGTTGGTCCATTGTGTTTTCTGAGGTCCAGGGTCAACGCAGCCACATACCAGGAAGTTTTAGAGCACTTCATGCTTCCTGCAGCTGACCAACTTTTTGGAGATGCAGATTTCATTTTCCAACAGGACTTGGCACCTGCACACAGTGCCAAAGCTACCAGTACCTGGTTGAAGGACCATGGTATCCCTGTTCTTAATTGGCCAGCAAACTCTCCCGACTTTAACCCCATAGAAAATCTATGGGGTATTGTGAAGAAGAAGATGCAATACACCAGACCCAACAATTCAGAAGAGCTAAAAGCCACTATTAGAGCAACCTGGGCTATCATAACACCTGAGCAGTGCCACAGACTGATCGACTCCATGCCACGCCGCATTGCTGCAGTAATACAGGCCAAAGGAGGCCCAACTAAATACTGAGTGCTGTACATGCTCATACTTTTCATGTTCATACTTTTCAGTTGGCCAACATTTCTATAAATCCTTTGTTTTTATTGGTCTTCAGTAATATTCTAATTTTCTGATATGATGAATTTGAGATTTTCATTTGTTGTCATTTGTAATCATCAAAATTAAACAAAATAAACATCTGAAATATATGAGTTTGTATGTAATGTATGAATATAATATACAAGTTTCACTTTTTAAATGGAATTACTGAAATCAATCTACTTTTTCATGATATTCTAATTTTATGACCAGCACCTGTATAATGTTATATCTATTTGTAGATAAAGTCAAGAGGGTATTAATTATAAAGGATTTTAAATGCATTTTATTAATTAATTCATCCCTATAAATTATTTCCAATTGTTTAATGGGAAATAAATGAGAAAGGAAAGAGTGCATGAAAAGAGAGAAAATAAAACAATACAGCAAAAATAGACAAGATATCCAGTAACTCATAGAAGTGTGCTTCCACACCTGTATGACACGAGAGGGACAGAAAACAGAGAACAGGGGATAAAAAAGAAAAGGCAACAACAATTGTGGGCAGCTCCACAGTAGCCCTACTGAAAAAGAGGCGATGGGAGCCAGATATCTAAAGGCACCCCAGATCACTGGAACACAAGGAGGGGAGACATTGGGATGTATGAACCCACCAGAGAAGGGAAGACAAGAGCACCCAAAGCCCGGCCACCGAGCGCCCAAACCCCACAGGGTCCCAGTCCCCAAGGGGTCCCACCCCAGAGACCATAGTTCTGAGATCCCATGGGGCTGTGGCAGCCAAGACGTCTGCCAGTGGCCGGTTATGGCCAAGGTTGACCCGGATGAAAGCCTCGGTGTCAAAGTTTGGGGACACCTCACCCACCAGGGAACTCCACAGGACCAGGAAGCAAAAGCCTGGCCCGGCAGCCACCAGCAATGAGACCACAGCACTGAAGTACCCAACCACACACCTAAAGAACCATCAGCATGCTTATACCGCACATATCCCATGCATCTTTTACTCTTTTGGCACCTCCTCCTTTTTGCCTGTTTGAGCTGATGTAATGAGTAAATTTCTCCACTGTGAGATAAAAGTCAATCATCAATCAATCACACTTAGGACCTAGAATGTTCAGTGGTTGGGGGTGGCAAAGACCAAACCTGACAAGAAGACAGAAACAACTTCACATTCATCCAATCTCACCCTTAGAAACATACGGACATATACAAGTACACAACAGAGAGACAGACAGCTGCAAAGACATACATAAACATATTCTGACACTCATATATAGACTATTCACCCGGGACTTGGGGTCATCCCTCTAGGCGGCACAGACCCAGGAGGATTGTTGTAGCTAGCCAATCCTCTGGAGCACCCACCCAACCACCAGCGAATTACAAACGTTCCAGGCCATCCACATACACTATATTGCCAAAAGTATTTGCTCACCCATCCAAATTATTGGAATCAGGTGTTCCAATCACTTCCCTGGCCACAGGTGTATAAATTCAAGCACCTAGGCATGCAGACTGTTTTTACAAACATTTGTGAAAGAATGGGTCGCTCTCAGGAGCTCAGTGAATTCCAGCGTGGAACTGTGATAGGATGCCACCTGTGCAACAAATCCAGTCGTGAAATTTCCTCGCTCCTAAATATTCCACAGTCAACTGTCAGCTGTATTATAAGAAAATGGAAGTGTTTGGGAACGACAGCAACTCAGCCACGAAGTGGTAGGCCACGTAAACTGACGGAGCGGGGTCAGCGGATGCTGACGCGCATAGTGCGAAGAGGTCGCCAACTTTCTGCAGAGTCAATCACTACAGACCTCCAAACTTCATGTGGCCTTCAGATTAGCTCAAGAACAGTGCGCAGAGAGCTTCATGGAATGGGTTTCCATGGTCGAGCAGCTGCATCCAAGCCATACATCACCAAGTGCAATGCAAAGCGTCGGATGCGGTGGTGTAAAGCACGCCGCCACTGGACTCTAGAGCAGTGGAGACGCGTTCTCTGGAGTGACGAATCGCGCTTCTCCATCTGGCAATCTGATGGACGGGTCTGGGTTTGGCGGTTGCCAGGAGAACGGTACTTGTCTGACTGCATTGTGCCAAGTGTAAAGTTTGGTGAAGGGGGGATTATGGTGTGGGGTTGTTTTTCAGGAGCTGGGCTTGGCCCCTTAGTTCCAGTGAAAGGAACTCTGAATGCTTCAGCATACCAAGACATTTTGGACAATTCCATGCTCCCAACTTTGTGGGAACAGTTTGGAGCTGGCCCCTTCCTCTTCCAACATGACTGTGCACCAGTGCACAAAGCAAGGTCCATAAAGACATGGATGACAGAGTCTGGTGTGGATGAACTTGACTGGCCTGCACAGAGTCCTGACCTCAACCCGATAGAACACCTTTGGGATGAATTAGAGCGGAGACTGAGAGCCAGGCCTTCTCGTCCAACATCAGTGTGCGACCTCACAAATGCGCTTCTGGAAGAATGGTCAAAAATTCCCATAAACACACTCCTAAACCTTGTGGACAGCCTTCCCAGAAGAGTTGAAGCTGTTCTAGCTGCAAAGGGTGGACCGACGTCATATTGAACCCTATGGATTAGGAACGGGATGTCACTTAAGCTCATATGTGAGTCAAGGCAGGTGAGCAAATACTTTTGGCAATATAGTGTACATATAATCCCCTTCTACCTATGGCTGCCAGGCAATCACAACCCAGACCAAGTACAGCACACCAGCCACCCAAGGCCCAGGCACCCGAAAACCCCCACGGCTCCAGCAGCAGTTTCGGTAATTGAACTCTTCAAAGCTCTTAGATGTTATCCTCAGCTGCCAATGGTTGACTCCGTATTTTTGGAGATAGAAAAGACAAAAACATTCCCACCACCATGTGTGACCCCAGCCTGACCTTTTGACCTGCAGCTTCCCTTTGTTGCGGACGAAGCGGATGCTGTAGACCCTCTGCATGGCAGCCGGCAGGTAGGAGAGGACGTCTGAGTCGGTGGCCAGTTTGGGAAGCCCGTTTGGGGGCAGTGGAGTCAGGCCGCGACACAGCGGGCACTGGATGGCGTTGGGATCAGAAGACTTGACGTTCATGCGTGCCAGGCATTCCAGGCAGAAGGTGTGTTTGCAGTTCAGCATCTTGGGGCAGCGGAAGACGTTGTTGAACTGGCTGAAGCAAATGGCACACTCCAGATCTGGAGCCGATTCATCCAAGAACTCGGTCGGTGGGGGATACGGCTGGACGTCTGGGGATGGGATGGAGACCTGGTGGGAGTGGAGGGCAGTGGGGGGGGCGTAGGGGTTTTCTGTGGATTGAGATTCTGTGGGACTGAAGGCGGGGAGGTGCAGCGTGGAGCTGGGTATTTGGACATGATGGGCAGGAGGGAAACCAGCAGCAGAAGAAGCAGACAGAGAGCTGAGAGTGGTCTGGATAACTGGGGGGTCAGATTGATCCACAGAAGAGTTGAAGTTAGCTGGACTGCATGGAATTTCATAAGCATCATCTGCATAGGGATTCATCACTGAGACAGAGAGGATAGAACCGTGGAGAACTAGTGGATGGATGAGGATGTTCAGCCTTTAGCAGCAGAAAGGAACAGGAAGCATCAGTGGAGGATCACAGAAAACTCAAACAGCTTCAATCTTCACTCCATGATGGCGTCTTTAAAACTAAATGAAAGAAAAAAAAGAAAAAAGTGAATGAACCTCACTGTAACTATGAGACTAACAGGAGAGAAACCATCAGAGCCTGAATCAGTTCCAACACACACCTGATCTCATATCTATACAGAGCGTCTGGTGAGAGAGGAAGCAGGAAAAGGTTTTCTGTAAAAGGTTTCAGTTAAACATGAAGGAAACATGAAGAACATTAATTGGATTCTTGCTGCTAAGGTGGTTTTGTGACTGGAAACCTTCATATTTCACTGCCTCCAGCTCCATCTTTACCGGCTCAGCCCCGCTCCCCTTCTGGATAACATTTGACATGTTTCAAGAAAATAGACTTAAGATAGGAACAAATATTTTTAGGAAACTCGTTAAACCCAAGTGAGCCAAACAAGCTCAGCACCCAGGAATTTATCAAATTAAACCCAGGTAGAATAATTTGTTTAGATGATGATGGTTAGCAAGGAGCAGCGGATATAGATGATGGATGGAGGAAAGGATAAAGGAAACCATTGTCACAACTGTGGTTTTGCTGAAAGTCACTGTTTTTAAAGGACATCAGTGAGTTTTTTTTCCTGAAAGAAAACCGCATGTTTCATCCAAGAGGATAAAGAGAAAGTGAAGGGAAAATGTCACAGCAGCAGGTGGTAACCCTGTATCACAGAGCAAAGGTGATGCCTGAAAAGGACTAAATACTGAAAATTCTATTAAATACAACTAAAGCATCTTTTGAATCTACTTCCCTTGCCAACAGTTTCTCCTGACTTTCAGATGCTCCAGTCCCCGCCTGATTACAGCTCAGATATGGGGTTATTCTTATACACATTTATACCCATTGGAGCTTTAGGATAACCTTCAGGGTTTTCGATTAGTAAGAATCAAATTTCAGGTATCCATACAAATGCAACTCATTTAATAAAATCCTTCTGGAACCATGTAGCAGTTTATCTTCTATATGGAAAAAAATGAAGCATGATCTGTATTCCTGATCCACCTTAACTTCCTTTGGTTTAATGAGGTCCAAAACCTATGATTTACTGCAACGCTGCACTGAATACTTCTCCTCCCTCCTGCCTTACAGATCAGGCTAAGTGAGGTCCAGCAAAAGCTCCTACAAGTTCAGAGCTGTTTGCACGTCACTGGATATCCAACAGCAAACTTTCATTAACATGTTTCCTCAAGTTGGAACCAATAAAAACCAAACCAGTGACACCCTGAATGTCAGCCAGAAGCTAATTTCAAACCAGACAGAATTAGATTAAGACAAAACTGATATTTTGCTGCAAAGCAAAAAAGAAATCAAACATTAACAGTTTGGAGTGTTAGACTGGATCTATTGACCGGGAAAGAAACATCAGTAGTTTGAGAAAAACTCCTAGCCATTACCAACCAGCTGGAAGGGCTGGGATCTATATCTGCAAGAACATTTTATTCTATTCGAAAAACATTCAAAATAACAAATACAAAAAAAAAAAAAAAAAAACTTTACTCTGCTGAAAATCCAAATGTTTGGCTGAAAATGTCAGTTTCTCACATATTGAAAATGTATCTATAATGGCTGCATATTAATGCAGACCAGGAAATAAGATCACTCTGCTGTCCTGTTCCTGCTATGAAAAGTTGTGAGGAAAAGCTCTACAACAACAAATTCAACCAAAGCAGTGATCAAATTTGACAGCAGCTCCTTTAAACATTCATTACATAAAAAGTCTGTATCTAAAAGAGTTTCTCTGAAAGCCAGAGCTCCATCCTACCTCCATCTTGGTCAGTATCTGTTCTTCTTTCTGACACACCAGCTCTCTGTAACTGAGCTGCTGCAAACTTCCACTGCTTTGCATACGTTTCCGTAAAACTGGATTCTGTTCTGAGTTGCAGAGAACCACCCAACTGAACACATGCTATAATCTAGCCGGAGCAGACATTTGCATAGTCCATATTATTTACACAGGGAAATAAAACGCAAAACACTGCGGCCTGTTGAACGTAGAAACACTGAGCAGGAATCACCTCCACTCCTCCGACACCAACATATCCTCTCAGAGATTATGCAGAGCCCTGTTTCCATTAGAGATCAATTTGAGACGCAAATGAATAAAAACAAACGAAAAAAATCATTAACATGTTTTCACCTTCGAAGTTCAACTGGAAGCAACGTTTCAATTAATTCAGAAATTTTAGAGAAGAGCTGCACTGCAAAAAGTACTTTTTTTCTTAAAATATGCTTATTTGCCCTTTATTTGAATAATCAAGTAAAACAATATATCAGTGGGATAAGTTATTTGCACTTAAACAAGAAAAAAATATATTAAGCACTTAGTTTAAGTCCAGTTTAATGCAGGTACTTATAAGACCAAATATTAATTGATTTGCAGATTTTATTTATCAGCTCAATTGAAAGGAAATTTTTCTTTCAACCAGAAAATTTTTTTTTGCAGTGTTGTCATTTTAGCTGTGCAAACAGAGTATATATATATATATATATATAGATAGTAAGAACATAATTTATCTGAAAATCAGGAAAGATTTAAGAACTGTAAAACTCACACACATGAGGCCCAAATTTACAATGTTTTAAATTTAGTCAAAACTAATATTTACTGCTTTTTACACTACAGTATTTTAAACTACAAATCTTCTGTAATAAAATGTGCAGATATTCAAACTCTCAGACCGAGTCATTTGTAGATTTTAGCTTTCTTTGTCTAAACTGTGCATGCAGTCATTCCAAGAAAAAAAAATCTATGCTCTTATGCTGTACAATAAAAAATAAAAATCAGTTTAAAGTTTCAGTTCTACACAGTTTCTCTCCTCTATCAAAGTTTAGAGCTTCGACCATCTGCCACCAGCATGTCAGCGAAAGTTGAGCTCCAAGCTGCCTGAAGCAGTAGAAACTGAAGGCCCAGGTTTACTTGATCTAAATCCATCTCTTATTATAAATCAGACTTTTGTTTTTTTTTGTTTTTTACTTTTAATGTTGCCTTTTAAATATTAACGTCCTTTCCTTACTTAATATAATCTGAGGAGTGGAAAACACTCAGATGTTAATTTGATCTAGGTTACTCATAAGGGGTGTCCATTAAATATTTTTTTTTACCTGGGCATATAAACGTTGAAACCTTTGAACAAAAATGTTAAAACCATTAAAGCAGAGAGAAAAAAAAAATAAAAAAAATAATATATATATATATATATATATATATATATATATATATATATATATATATATATATATATGTTGGCTTATAACAATCTAACTGATCTAAATCCTCATTTACCTTAATTTTTTTTATTTTTTTTAAACTTTATTACTTTGTTTAGGTTTTTAGTAAAATATAAGAAACAATCTATGGCTCCATTAACCAAGAACATCTCTTCTCTAAAATGCAGCTCTGTTGTTTTTTTTTTTAATTAAGTTGAACTGAGCAGGACTAAATCAATCAATGCTGAAAGTTCAGTCTCTGAGTTCATTTTCAATTTTTACCTTTTCTGATCTCCTTCCTCCCAAACTGCAGGTTTTTTACATTCAGTCCAGATTTCAGATGTCAGTTCCTTTCTAGTCTCTGTTAAAATTGTATAGTTTTACAGATAAATATTAAAACTGACGGATAAAAGCAGGAGCTGGCTCCAAAGCTTCGCTGGAGAGTTTGAAAGCTGACACACCTGAAAAAAGTGATGCTGATTGTTGGGGAGGCAGAGTAATTAATGCAGACACTCCCATCAAACATCAGAACATAAACTGGATTATTAACACCAAGAATCCAGTGTAACAAAGACAACAGTTTTCTGTGCCTGTAAGCAGTACTTGGTTCCAATTAAACCAAATAATTACAAACCATCTCCAGTATAAAAATATATTTTAAATGTTAAGTTTAAATTATATTTTAAGTTTTAGTTTAAATGTTTGGTATAAACAAGTTGATTCTAAAGCTTGGAATTTAGCTAGTGTTAAGCTAATTGAATTTGCTATGAATAATTACATTAATCACCTGAAAGTTAAACTTTTAATGCTGGATGTGGAGCTTCTGTTTAAAAAAAAAAAACGTATCTACCATAATTTTGCCTCCCAATAACAATGAAATGACTGTAGATATGAAAGGATCATTCTGTGGTTCATGACGTTATACCCAGTCTACAGAGTATCATCATATCCAGCAGCAGGAAAAAATAAACATGTTTTTGTTTGGGGGAATCAGCATTAGCAGATATTTAAAATTAGAACTTGTAAATTCTCTGTCAGTAGGGCTATTAAAACAAATAAACAGGGCTAATTTAGAGGCAACCAGACTTTCGTTTATTTTTTCTGAGGACATTTCCACACCTACTCAAAGCACTGATGTGTTTTGGCACAATGGAGGCCCATCCTCCTAAGCACATCCCACGTCAGATGCAAATCGAAGACCAACCCATCATTCTCCTGGGTTCTTAGAGTCTTTTGTTTTGTGTTTTAGCCCATTTGAATTATGGCATTTCTCTGGAATGAGTTTCAGAACTGAATTGTAGATAGTTGGGAACTGAAACCCCAAAACTATCCCATTTGTTTAGTGATTGTTTTCCCCTTTAATCAAGAATTGTTTACTTCACTGCTCATTTAAATCATCTGTCTTGTATGTCCAAAACATTTCAAGACATAATCACATTAAGTTGGTGCTCGGGGAGAGGAGTTGCAGTAGAAAATTTCTTAGAATGTATCTTGCTGCATTGATCTTGGTTATATCAGGTAGGTCCAATCCATTTTTTTTTATTTTTGCTGACTGTAGTGTGTGCTCTACTAAACCCATGGAATAAGCCAATAAGAAACCAGGTTTGCATGCCGCACACACATCGCCATGGGGGTATAACTTTTGTGTTGTCCAGATGTAAGTCAACTTTTTAGTGAATGCCCTACCTCAAACACTAAAATTGGTTGCTGTAGAACTTTAATATATTTATTAGCCACAGTAGCTAAACATTTTATTTGGCCTATTATTTATGAATACACGCCCTACAGGCTGTGTGTTATAATACCAGATGAAAGCGTAAATCAAGCTCAAATAATTCTGCAAATACGTGAAATAAATTAATCATAACTTCTATTCAAAATGTAAGATTTTATTAACAAACATCATTCTGCTCCAAGTCAAACATATTTCAGTAAAAAAAAAAAACTCGACTACAACTTTGTGAAACTAAACTGAACTACTATGTACAAAGAGGAAAGGAAAACATGGTTTTTAAGAGGCTCTGAAGGTTCAGAGTCCATCACTACATCCAGATTTAGAGTCTGCTTGGTGCTTTTTAACTGGATTAATTGAAGCTATGTTTTAACTTTTAAACACTGTTACGTTGGTTGAAAATGATTATTTCAGTTCTATTTGGATTCAGTCAAAGAAAATGTAGGTATATCCCCTATTAATTTCTTCTATTTATGCATCATTGTTCCTTCACATGCCTGTTGTGTATTGTCCCATTTTTGAGTGTCCTTTAGTACTTCCTGGTAATTTATGTATTTACACCCCTTGGCAACGTATCATGGAATTTCAGCATGTAATCCTGAAGGGTTCAAGTTTTAACATTAACTCGTGTCATTTAGGTGGGTGGAGGGTGTCAAAGGTGGATAGCAGCAGTGATTTCATTCCAGCATGGATATAGGAGCATGAAGTAGGGATGATGCAGCATGTAAGGTACGTAAAATGAATGAAAACATGTTTTAATTAATAAAAGATATTTAACAGGTAATATAAAGCTAACGGTTCACTCATATAAATAGCTGATGGTAAAGGATTATCTGCTATCTTTACAAACACCTTGTGTCTCAAGTCTTGGCTCTGCTTTTATTCTATCCTCCATAGGTTTGATCTCTAGATGGTTGCTTTGTGAAATTGTCTAATAAATCTGAACATGTAGATCTGTTAAAAAATAAAACTTTTCTTGTGATTCAAAAGTCTAAGGTCCAAAGTTCAGATGAAGTAATTATAAACCCTTACTGTGTTGCAGTAAAAGAGATTGCAATAAAAACGATAGGAGAGTAGTAGACCAGCTTTGACATTTTTCCTTTAGAAATTGTACTAAACAGAGTTTAAGCCTATTTCACTTTAATTAATTCATTTAAATTCAGTGTATTTATATAAACTGAGTTGAATATACATTAATTCACAACACGTCATCTCAAGGCACTTTATAGTTCACCAGATCATCCAGTCAAATTGCTTCAATGTTTTCTATCTAAGGAAAACCGGTTGATTGCATCAACTCTTGTACTCGAATGCAATGCCTCATGGCTGCATGGCTACTGTTCGCTACCCTAAGACGACAGCTAAGAGTCCTAAAAGATGATCTGAGAAAAAAATATTGTCATGATCTGCACCTGTTAGGGTTTTCTGTTTTTGATTGTTGTATTTAAGTCTGTATTTTCTCTTTTTGCATTTTCTTTTCCTATTGTTACCCTGTTGCTTGAATCTCCCTGGTTTTCCTGTATTGTATCCTTTTCATTAAATATTCCTTCACCAACATGCACCTACTTATATCTTGCTTCTACTTCAGGCATTCAATGCCCCAAATATTGTAAATGGAACTAAAAATTCAAAGGGGCAAGTTACCAGGCATAGATAGAACCACCATCTTCCATTACCTCAGTCAGAAGGTGGACAAGAACTCATGCCAAGCTTTGGATTAGGAGGCCATTTTAGGGTTCATGGCTGTCCATTTTTCCTTCCAGAACTGGTCCTCATGGCTCAACCTCTTCTCTCCTTCCTGAGAGCAGGATATTGTTAATGCAGAGAAGATGCCAGCATAAATGACGACAGCTGACCCAGCCATGCGTTGACACATCCCCAGCCTGCATCTCCTCATTTCCAGTCCAAGTTCCAGAGACATCGTCATCATTCTTCATGACAGTGGCTAAATCTACTCTTTGCAACCTAACCACAGCCCAGGCCTGCATCGCCTTCACAGGGCCTCCGTAAGCCTGCTCCATATCTGTGTGTCCCCAGTGTTCTCCACAACCCCTTTGTGGTCTCCAGACTTCTCTTGTCCAGTCTATCTGTTTTTTTAGGCCTTTTTGGTCTCATCTGAGCTTCTTTTTTTATCTCCAAGCTTCACTCAAGATGTACACCAGGAGCCCTTTCATGGTATCAAAATTATTATAGAATTGCTTTGCAGCCTCTTGGCTTCATCCTAGCCCCTTTTAGTGTCCAAGCTTCACTCGAGCTCCTTTGCAAGGCAAAGCAAGGCAAGTTCATTCGTAAAGCCGAATTCAGTACAATGATAACTTAAAGTGCTTTACATGACATAGACAGTAATATAGATGTTGAATAAAATCAGAGTAAAATCAAATGAAGATTAAAACATGATAAAATCAGGTAGTAAAACAAATAAAACAATTGGACCACAACCTTATAATAATACCTCAGTTATCAGTTTAACTTCAACAGTCAAAGGCAGCTCTAAACAAATGGGTTTCTAACTTTGACCTAAAAAAACTCAGGTTTTAAGCTCTTTTCCAGTCTTCTTGGAGTTTGTTCCAGGTCAGTGGAGCATAGGAACTAAATGTTGCTTCTCCATGTTAGGTTCTAGTTCTGGGTGGACAGACTAGGCTGGAACTAGGAGACTTGAGTGGTCTGGGAAGTTGATCCACTGATAACAGATTTGTTATTTATGATGTTGCTGATCTATCCAGTGATTTATAGACCAACAGAAGAATTTAAAGTGCATTCTGTGAGCTATAAGGAGCCAGTATAAGGACTTCAGAACCGGGCTGATTTGATCTAATTTCTTAGCTCTAGTGAGGACAAGGGCAGCAGCGTTTTGGACCAGCTGCAGCTGTCTGATGGACTTTTTAGGTAAACCTACAAAGACATTGTTGCAATAATAAATTCTACTATAAATACATAAAAATATAGCTCACAAGAGGTGATACTAATCATATAATCCCTAAATTATATCCAAATAAAATATTTAATTCATTTCTGTTTATTTTTAGATAAAGAGCCCAATGGAAAGTTATATAGATATTGAATATTTCTCTTGCATAGTTCTTGTTTCTATCTATTTAAATATCATTTAAATGTTTCCTTGTAGTGTCAATACAACTTTTTCTCTGTTTCCTTTAAAACATTTTGGTTAGCATATTCATTCGGTTGAGGTCTGGATTGCCATGGTATTACTAGGCAACTATGCAGGTTCCCCCTATAATTTTTTTTAAATCAAAACCCTGTGAATTTAAATCTTCATTGACCCCAAGCAGTGGTAACCGAGGGATAAATTCACAGAAATAAAGCCAAAACTGCCAAAGTAGAAAGAATAATGCTTTTATTTGCTTTTTTGCAGCAATGAAGATTTAATAGATTTGTGTTTAATGCATAATTCATAGTAGATCAGAACGTGTTTACTTTGGAATGGGAACCTTGTATGTTTAAAACCATTCCTTTATTGTACATTTTGTTAGCTTGTCTCCAACTGGAATTGATCTTGACCAAATGTCCCAATTCAGCCAAATAAACTACAAAAGCTTAGAGGAAATCATTCAGCAGCTAATTTCCTCCTCCTGCTGACTTGATCTTCTACCCACAGCTTTTTTAAAGAAAGTTTTGCCTGTCATAACGTCTGATTTGACTCTGATAATAAACACGTCTCTTCTGTCAGGTTTTTTCCCACAGTCCCTAAAAACAGCAAAAATCAAACCACTGCTGAAAAAGAACAATTAAGACAAACTACTACTCCAGAACTACAGGCCCATATCAAACCTCCCCTCTATCAGTAAGATTATTGAAAAAGCTGTGTTTCAAAAATTAAACACTTTCTTAGATATGACCAGCCGCTTTGACGTGTTCCAGTCAGGTTTCCGTGCTCTCCACAGTACAGAGACCGCCCTTATCAAGGTGTTTAATGACATCCATATAAATACAGACTGCGGAAGAACCACAGTGCTGGTACTATTGGACCTCAGTGCAGCATTCAATACTGTAGATCACTCCATCCTGTTAGAGCGCCTGGAAAACTGGGTCGGCCTCTCTGGTACAGCTCTCAACTGGTTTAATCCTACTTAAAGTACAGGGACTTTTTTGTATCAGTAGGCAACTTTACATCAGAGATGACAAAAATCATATGTGGGGTTCCCCAAGGGTTGATCCTGGGTCCCCTCCTTTGCAGATGTAGCACTATTTCTCTGTCTTTTAAACACATTTTCCTTTTTCATTTCTTCATTAAAATCTCTAGTTCCAGAGGAGTGAAATAGGCACTTCCTGTTCCATGTGGTGACTCTTCAGATCTGGGCGGATAATGGCTTTTCATACTTGCTATACACCTGCTCAACTCTGAGTGGAGCAACTTAGAGTTGATTAAACTAATTCAGAGCAGCCATTGTGAAATCGACCTTAGGCTAGATCAATTTAGAGTTGGGCATTTAAATCTGAGTTTGTTAAACCTGCTTCGTGAAACTGTCATTGTTCAGAAGGCATTTAACTGTTGAAACACAACTTTTTCATAATTTTACTGATGAAGGGGAGATGTGAGATTGCCCTATAGTTCTGCAGGATGAATTTGTCCAAGCTTCTGTTTTTCAACAATGGTTTGAAATTTACTGTTGTTTAAGGCCTCGGGTAAAACAACCCACATGAGGGATGTGTTAATTATTTGAATCAAACCAGCCTCTGAAACAGGTAGAACCTGCAGAAGGAAGATGAGCTAAGATGTTGAACAGTTTCTTCTAAATTTACAGTTTATTTGACACAATTGTGGCATTTTAAACTCCTACTTTTAAAAAGTATTATAGTCTAACAGAAAACAATAAATGTCTCAATGTTTGTATTATCATTTTCAGAACGATTTGGTCCATATTTTCACTGTTGGAATTTCCATTATTTCATCTGTATATTTCAGGTAAATTCTGAATCTAAAACTGTGAACTGCTGATTTAACACCATGGCTACAGGATTATCTGGTGAGTCCACAAGATAAACTATGATTGTTATTAATGTATTTGATATTAATGTTATTCCCATGAAATAATCTGTTAGTCTGTCTGCCTGTATACCCATCTATCTAGATTGTCTGTAACTGTACAATAGATGATAGATAAAAATGTCACTATTTTTTTTTCAAAAATATCCTGCATTATAAGGATACTACTGAAGCTACAAAAAAACTTCCTGTCAGACACGTCTCCAACCATTTTGCTGAACAATAAAAGTTCCTTTAGATATTACAACAAATCAAGTGTCTCCACCACACTATGGTTATATTGATATGAGGTGCTTTTATGGCTATAAATCAAACTTTGACTGGAGCCACTCCTGACTTGTAGAACATTTTATTACATTGCTGTACTTCTACATTGATAAGATGTTACTTTCTGCTGTGCCATTGTATCAATACTACTAAACCAGGGGTCTTCAACATTTTCAAGGCCGAGGACCTCCAAACTGATTACCCCTAATTACATATATTTTATAAAATTGTGTTATATTAAACTAGTCTTATATTGCAATGTGTAAATGTACCTTGTTATTGGGCATTCAATACCAAGACACTCAAATAATACACAAGTTCATATATTCATGTTTTTATTTTAAAATTGCGAGGTACAGTAGTAGGGTGGCCATGCCACGGCCATTTATAAACATATAAAAACAAAATAAACTGATACCTGCCAAGATCAACAATGTTTGTGAATTGCATGTAATCATGCATTAAAGCTACTCAAATTGACATTTTAAAAACATAAATGTGGAAATGAAAATTAGTGATACTTTTTAGTGCCCCTGGCATGCATAAACATACCTGTCATATTGCATGCAATGCTATACTATTAACACAACTGACAGATTCATGTTTTAATTTTAAACATATATGTAGTATGGGCAGTGAATCCTCAAACCATCTATGGATGGAATACATACTCCCACATTAGTGAGATATCTGACCCTGATGAGTAGCACACAACCTATCTAACCTTGGATGTATGGATGTTGTCAGGCAGAGAGTCACATCAGCCTCAGGCTGCATTCTTGACCTGTATTTGTTTTTCAGGTAGGTGATTAAGGAAAATCCACCTTCACAAAAATATGTTGTAGCAAAGGGCAACAGGCTCATCATGGCTTTTGCTGTGGTTTTGTTGTGGAAAGTTTTTATGGCAAGATATCCAAAACTGGGTGAGTGGATAAGTTTCATATAAGTTTCTGATGCTGTCAGTGGACAGTTCCATGAGCTGATCCTGATCCATGTCACGGTCAGTCCTTCGCCGTCTGCTGCATTGTCTCTGAATGGAAACTGTATTCATGTCTTGTCCCTGCGCCAGGAGTCGGCCTCAAAAAATTAGTTCCTAAATTGCCCATGGAGTGCCTCCAAGTGCTCAAGAATCACATGTGTTAAAGGGCATGAGAGCTCAGAAGAATCTCCCAGCTCATCCATTGATGTAAACATGGAAAATATGCCCTCGTTCCTTCCGTTTTCTGATTTTTTTAATTTTTTATGAAGCCTTTCATCCTGTCATACAGCTGAAAGGCATGTGTGCTGCGACCTTGCTTAGAACTGTTAAGTTTATTCAGCTCAGCAAAAATGTCAGCAAGATATACAAGTTTGGTGATCCAAACATTGTTGATAAAAAGTGTTGCTCTCCCCAAAGGGGGATGGAGGGAGGGGTGTGTAATAAATTGAGGGGAGGAAGTGGCTGGGAGAATTATTTAGGGGGGGTGGGGGAGCTCTGGTTGGGTGGCCTGTGGAAATCCTGTGGCTTTTGCTGGGGGTGATCTGGTCTGGGTGCGGGATGGGGAGCTGGGCCCGAAGCAGGAACCAGATGGGTAGGTGTAGCGGTGGCGATTTTTAGGTTCACTTATCGGATCATCCGATAACCCCGGGACCGACTACCGGTGCCGTGGGGTCCTTGGTCTTGGGATCGTTGGATATGAGTGTTATGTGTGAATGTGTGTCCTCGTTTTGTTGTCTCATTACTGCTGCTTACAGAGTCTGTGTGGTGTGAGCGGAGGCACTAGGGTGGGAAGGCATGATTGAGACTGGGTTTTATTTTTTTTCCAGGTTGGGGTCTGAACTGCCCCCTCTCCCAAACACATCTCAAGTCTCCGTCAAGTGTGGAGCCAATTTCCCCCACCCTGCTCTCTCTCCGCTGGCTGGTGCCTGGGCTCGCCGGTGCACTGGTGGAGCTCAGGGTTTGGGGGTGGATGCCCGGGTCGGTACTGACTTATTCCTGGCAGCTTCTCAGTAGGGCTTGGCCAGCCGGAGCCCGAGATTGGGGCACCCCTGGGGCCTTGGATACCTGGGGCCCATGGCCAGATTCACTTTGGGGTGACTGGCTGCCGGCGGAGCCCGGGGACTCATCCTTGCGGCTCCTGAGGCTCCTTTGTTGCGGTGGCTGGGGGACTTCCTCAGGGCTGTCTCTCCTCCTCCCTTGGTGTGGGTCGGATTTCCTGGGCTGGCCCCTCCTTAGCGCCTTCGCTCTTGGGGTTCCTTTGGGCGTCTGGGGCTTTGGGTCTCCCGGCGCTGGCCTCACAGCCACAACCACTATTGAGCATTTTATCTGTGGATAAACTTTACATGCACAAGTGCAATTTCACAAACAGCTACAGGTGCTTGGTTCCAGGTCCTTAAAGGGTAACGCCATTTTTTTTTTACATTAGGCCCTTGATTTCATATTAATACATCAGGTTCTACTCACCCATATGAGTTTAGTGTCATTTGGAGCCGTTCTGAAGATATTCAGTTAGGTTATGTCCAAGTAAAGTCTTCCTATGGGCAAGGACTTGAAGACCCAAACTAAACTGTTTATAATTTATTCTTTATGGTACGCCAGCATGCATAACATGTAGGCGAATCACTGTCCCCCACACATCCGCGGGTATATTTTTTATATTTTTTAAAAACAAAGCGGAGTGTGTATGACGACATCTGCACGCATGACTGGAGTTGTAACAGTCAGGCGGCTACGTTCTACCCCTTCTATTTCGGCTAGCTAATCTGAATTGTTCAATTCCATTTCTAGAGCTAGATCATCTGTGGTAGCAGCTCTAGACATCTTCCAGGCATGTGAGTAAAACTAGCAGCAGTTCAGCGGACAGGATGAATGAATGGTAGCCGCTATTTCATCCAAAATCTGTTGGGCTCATTTTGGCATCAAGACAATTATTTTATTGCCATATCGCCACACACTGTTAAAAAAGGAAAAAAAAAAGAAGAGTGCAGCCAGCTCTGGGCACTTTAGGAGAAGTAAGAACTCCCTAATAGACTTGTGTAATTCTCCTTTTTTTTTGGTGTAATTCTAACACATGTGCCAATACTGTTCCGCGTGAATGCCAGTGCATCTCAGTATGGTACAGTAGCCCAGTCTGCTCCCCTCTTTCCGTAAAAGTTCAAAAAAATATCCGCTGGACTTGGTTTCCAAGATTTGAAGACCTTTCGCTACCTCTCCAGGAAGCTTTCTCAATTCAAATGTCTGGATCTGCAGTGAGTTTGAGTCTTTATAGAGACAAGGCCTTGTATTGCTTGGAAACATGCAAATGAAAACCGATGAATGAGTCGTTTGGTTCCATTGTTAGCCTGTAATATCTAAACCCTAGTGCCCCCACTCACGACACACAGACTATTTTAAGTACAGATGATTTACATTAACCACCTTTGAAGTTTTTTTCTAACTATCACATCAGCAAATGATAGTTTAAATATGTTAATAATTAGTTTTTCATTCCTTCTGTTCCAGACAAAATACCACAAATGAGACGGAGGAGCAGCAAGCGCCTTCTCCCTCCCAAAAGTAAGTTTAGAAACACTCCATATTGTGTTCACTCCAAAATATTTGCATGAATTATAAATGTCAGAGAGGCAATAAACAAATTCATTCAAAGTTTTCAACAAATTAAATACACTTTATCTCTCTGGACACTCTTAGCTCACGTGTTTCAGGGGTCTGTTTCATGAAGGAGGTTTTCTGTAAACTCTTTAAGTTTTCTAAACCTAAAATCAGGTAAACTGTGTCTTTTCCATTTCAGATATAGAGTTTACTCAACCTCTGTTTCAGTCACCATAGTAACATTTTCCCCACAGCTAACCTGTTTGGTAGCATGTTTTAAGTAAACTCAGAGTGTCCTCTGTCTCCTCTCTCCTTACAGCCAATCATATTGTTGTCCTGATGTTGTCAGATTGTTGTCGTATTTTTGTGCATTAAAAAAAAAATCACTAGGTCATAAGTTTTAAAAACAAATATTGCATGTTCGTTTGACTTTATTTTTAGGGAGATGATTCTAAAACTCAGTTGACAGGATATGAGATTTATTTATGTTTGATTTGTTTAATATGAGCAACATGCATATCATTTTATTTTTACAGCACATGATGATTTACTAAAATTACTCTTAGATTACACTTACACAGAATAATTAATTCTATAGGGAGAAAAGGAATTACTTTAGGGTTAGGGTTAAGATTAATAACAACCTACTGAGTTTTACTGGCAAAATCTGAAGCCCTTCTATGGGACTGATAACCGCTATAACATCTGAAGCGTCCACAAATAGCCACTTACTATTTACTGTGTGATGAAAGACAGAATCAAAGTTAGAACCCATTACATGATGAACAGGTTCCATCTATTAGAACATTTTTATTCTTCATCATCTCCTGCTGCCAGATGATTTCACCTAAATAGATACGTTGAACCACTACCATTTAAGAAATAACTCAGTAATGTTATCATGGTCACAACATGACAAGACATTTTGATATGTATTTGTTTTACTGAATATGTATTCCTGATAAAAAAAAAAAAAAAAACTTTTTATCCTTGTCAAAATAACCATTTTAAACAAAATGACAATCTTCAAGTCTAGAATAAACATTTTGTATGTCTAGAAATTAATTTCTGCTCCCCCTATTTGTATGGTTACTGGTCTCCATTTGTATTATTTTGACTATGGAGAAAAGTATTTTAGATATCATAGATACATATTCAGCCAAGTTGATAAATGTCAAAACAGCCACTTAAAATGTGTTAACAATCTAGATATATAAAACTTTATTCTAACTAGTATCAATTTTTACTTTCTGAAATTCAGTTTCTGCTGCAAAAATGTAATTTAGAAAATATATTATTACAGTTCAGTCTAGGAATGTGATTTTGCTCAGGAACAATCTTATTTTAGTGATCTACAGATGGGACAACAGAGAAGAGAGTGCTTTTAATAAATGTAAAAAACGGCCATTTCATATTAACTTAATACTACTTACTGTGGCACTGTTTCTGTCTTTTACACAAATCCAGATTTCCTGATCCATCACACTTGGTCAACTGAGTTTATTTTGATTGAGTTGATCAGTTATGGTAACTTCTCATGTGATTTCTTTTCAGTGGCAGAAGTTCGGCTTATTCTGCTGGGGGAGAGCTGGTCAACAAGGTGTGAAATCGCAAATATTATTATGGGGACAGTTGCCTTCAAAACAGAGGAAAACCCAAATTTCTCCTGTAAACACACTACAACTATCCAGAAGACAAAAGTAGTTCTGATAAACACTCCAGATCTGCTTTTTCTGAAGATGCCCGAAGAAAGACTTAAAGAACACATAGATCATTGTGTGAGGCTCTCTGATCCTGGGCCTCACTTGTTCTTACTGGTTGTTCAGATGGAAAGCTTCATGGAGGAAAAAAAGAAGAGTTTCTACAGGATTCTTGAACTCTTTAGTGATCAGTCATTCAATCATTCGTTGGTTCTAAAACTGAAATTAACACAGAGGGTACCAATTACAAATGAACCCTTAGAGGAACTGATCAGAAGATGCCAAAAGAACTCACATATTTTAGATTACAAGAACATCAATGGCTTGCTGAACACCATTGGTGACATTTTAGAGATGAACAATGAAAAGCATTTAAAAGTGAACCATCCCAGCATCAAACAGAAAGAAGATTATTCAAGTTTGGTTTCTACAACTGGTAAGTCTTGCAAAGAATCCTGTCTTGTATTACTTTATTACATTTTTTTGCTGGTTGAATCAGTCAATTTATACAAGATCAGAATATTCATTTATTTAATATTACCAGACGCAATGAAGATATCAGAGCCTGGAGTTAATTTTCTTAAGACATCCCTGCACTTCACAATGTATTCATGTATTCATATTGCAATTGTTTACTTATTCCTAAAATTTAAATTAAATGGTTTTATTAGGTACTTTGGTCTTATTTTACCAAGAACAAATACACCTAAATGTTTTTTTTTTCTAGTTTATACTATGTTACAAAAGAAGGCCTTACTATTTCCAACTGATAGTAAATGAAGTACAGCTAGGTAAGGTAATGCAAGGAAGGGCAAGTTTATACAGCACATCTTAGTGTTCAGATAATATAATAATGAGACAAAGTGCTGTACATAAGAAAGAAAGTACACTGCAGTGGCATAGAGCCAAGATGGCAAGTTAAAAAGAATAAAAATTAAATGTTACAATAATTTATATTAACTACTAATGTTTAGATGGCAAAGTCAAAGACCACGCTTAACAAATACAGTTTTAATTTGTTTTATAGCAACCAAAGGTTACAGATTTCTGTTATTATTTCTTTATTCAAGATTAGTGGAGCATCCAAACTAAAAGTTGCCTTATCCATTTTTAGAGGTCTTCTGTGGCAAGCCATACAGCTTACATTTATGAAAAGAAATAAGCATTCCTTAAAAAAAGGTACTTATTTTGGTGTATAACCCAAATAAGAATATCAGATACATAATTTAAAAATTAGATTAAAGCGAACAATTTTTCATGGGTATCAGCACTCTCCATTATTTGTAGGAACCTTAGAGATGCTGAAAGAGTAGATCCAAGAATGAAAACAAGTCTACAATGAATTCTGGAGCCAAACCATTCAGTGATTTATAGACTAACAGAAGTATTTTATATATTATTCTCTGAGATATGAGGAGCCAGTGGAAGGACTGTAGACTGAGGCTGATGTTCTCCACTTAGTTCCAGAAAGCAACTTTGTGAGAGCAAAGCAAAGTCTAGTGTGGATAAACCTGACTGTCCTGATCTCAACCCCATAAAGCACCTGTGGGATGAATTAGAGCTGACAGCAGGTCCTCCTTGTCCTGTATCAGTGTGTGACCTCACAAATCTGACTCATGAAGAATGGTCATAAATTACTGTAAAATCCCTCCTGAGCCTTGTGGACAGCATTTATAGAAAAGCTGATTGATTATTGAAGCTGTTCTAGCTGCAGATTGCGGCCCGACTTCAAAATGATCCCCTATTGATGAGGAATGGGATGTTACTAAACCTCATATGTGAGTCAAGGCATGTAAGGGAATACTTTTGGCTTTAGAGGGTATCTCACATGCAGGGGCTATCTAGAAAAAATTGTACATCCCACAAAATATGACAATTTTTTTTTCTAAATAATACTGAATATATGCCATTTATAACATATGTTGAACGGGGAGATTTTGTACAATTGCATATTTTAACTCAATTGAATATTTTATATAATTATATAACTGTACATCTTTTTTACCATCTTCAAAAATATAACTTCTGAATGGACTGTTTCCACTAATTTCATTGTTGCAATGTTTGTTTTATTTTACAGGACGAGTCTCATATATCAGGATTTTGCTCTTAGGAAAGACTCAATCAATCAAGACAAGACTCTCTAGCTTCATCATTGAGAAAAAAGATGTAAAGTCACCAACATTTTCTTTAGCTAGGCAAGATGATCATGGAGTTTGGAATGGAAAGTTGTTGTCTGTGATGAAAACTCCAGAACTTAATTCTGAGAAAGTCCCAAAAGAGGAACTAGAAACTTGCATTAGTCTTTGTCCTCCTGGACCAAATGTCCTGCTGCTCTTAGTGAATCCTTCAGACTTCAAAGAGAAGGACAGCAGGTTTCTGAAGGCCACCCTGAGCTTGTTTGGGGAGAATGTCTTCAAACACTCAATGGTCATCATAACTGAGAAAGAGAATGAAACCACTTTTGCCTTAAATTCATTAATCAGAGAATGTGAAGGTAGAAAGTACAGCCTGACCGAAAATGATCACCAGAAATTAATGATGAAGATTGAAGATATTGTGAAAAAAAACAAAGGTTTTCTTACCATCACTGAGGATACAGAAATATTGAAATGGGAACAGACCCTGCCTTGTGTCAACCTGGTGGTGTGTGGGAGAAAAGGAGCAGGGAAGACATCAGCAATCAAGGGCATATTAGACCAAACAGAGCTTAGTTCAGCCTCCAAGATATCAGAGTGTGTTAGAAACCAGGGAGAGGTTCAGGGACGCTGGGTTTCTGTGGTGGAGCTGCCTGCATTGTATGGAAAAGCTCAGCAGGAAGTGATGGAGGAATCATTCAGGTGTATCTCCCTCTGTGAACCTGAGGGTGTCCATGCTTTCATCCTGGTCGTTCCATTGGGTCCCCTCACTGATGAAGACAAGGGAGAGTTAGAGACCATCCAGGACACATTCAGCTTCAGGGTCAATAAAAACACAATGATTCTGTTCACTACAGATTTAGATCCTAAACAGCAAGAAGTGGTTACATTTGTTGAGCGAGATGAAGCGGTCCAGGAGCTCATCCAGACATGTGGAGGAAGATTTGTTGTTGTTAAAAGTCGGGACAGGAAGGAGTTTTCCACTGTGATAGATTATGTGGAAAAAATGAGACAGGAAAGCTACAAATCAAAAACCCTGGCTGAAACCTACAAGGATAAAGTCATAAAACAAGAGAAAAATATAATCAAACTTAAAGGACAGCTTTCAAACCAGACACCAACAAAGGATTTCATTGGTAGGTACTACTAAAGACTTTTAACCTACATAATGGATCAATAGTTATAAAAACACAGTCTTATTTGGATTTTGGAGCACTTGCAAAAAACAATATCAATTCCACCCAAATCTAATTCCACCCCCATTACAGTATTTACAGTAATATATTTTTGTACTCCAAACAACCTTAGATCACTTCACTTCATAAATATGGTTAGAGTTGGTCTCCAAATGCATAAGGGTGAACTATTTTAGTGGTAAAGTAATTTATGATGCCTTTAAAGTTTCATTTCTTGGCAAGCTGATACTCTTTAAACAGCATCGCCAGATCACTGAGCCTTTCTTGGGACATCCAGTAACTGGCACAGGTACTTTTTTTTTATTATCTTGATTTAACTGATGATGACTGCAGATATATGTATATATTTAGTTACTGTAATAATAGGTATTTTTCACACAAATATTTTCTGAAAAATTAATTCTTCCTGTATTATAATGGTCAAAATGTAAATTTTGGGCCCCCCTTCTGTCCAGGGCCTGGGACAATTGACCCCTTTGTTACCCCCTGTCAGCGGGCCTGTTGGGCACAATTCGAAAATTCCCTACTTATTGCCTACCTGATGGTTCCTGTATACAGCAGGTTACCTTCTTTAGTGTGCTTCAAGGCAGCAGTGGCTACAATGTAGTTTAACACACACAACACAAATAGAAACGCAACACTATTGGTTTTGCTCCCATTTTTTATTAGATGTATTCAAAGTTCTATAACCTTTTCCACTTTCATAATATAACCATTTCCCTCATCTGTTCCTGTTTGGCTGTGACTCCATCCTTGAGAGAAATATCAGCTGTGCTGCTGCCATCAACACCTTTATTTATAGATGTTGTAGATCGGCTTGTTTTTCAGTGTCTGCGATGGAGTGGTGACCTGTGCAGGGTGTACCCGCCTCTCGCCCTTTGACAGCTTGAAATAGCACCCCTCGCGACCCCACTTGGGATTGGGCGTGTTTGAAAATGGATGGATGGATGTTTTTCAGTGTAGTCCTGTTTCTCTGACTGTGACTAACTGGATGTGCTCTCTTTATCCTCTGACATGGGAGCTGGCTCGGAGTTTGTCTGCCTGGCTGTGTGTTTCCTTGATGGGCCCGTCTTTAACAGTTGCTTTTTCTATGTCTGCTTCTGTCTCCTTGAACCCGTCCGCCTCAGCAGATGGCGGCTGGAAAGTGCCTTGAGATGACGTGTTGTGAATTGGCCCTATAGAAATAAACTTAATTGAATTGAAATATTGTTCACAAATCAATCTAAAACTGTGATAGTGAGCACTTCTCCTTTGCTGAGATGATCCATCAAACCTCACCGTTGTACCATATCAAGATGCTGATTAGACACCATGATTAGCGCACCGGTGTGCCTTAGACTTTCCAAAATAAAAGTGTTTGGAGTGTTTTTTGTCATGCATTACCTTTTTACATTTGCTGAGGATTTAACTATTTACAGCAAATGTAGGATACTGTTGGACAGAGATTTATTTATTCCATTCAAATAGCAAACTGATCTTATAATAGACATGCAAAGTAAACTTATCTGTAACCCTTTTCTATTACAGATGAGGAGGAGAAGCTAAACACGGCATGTCTCAGGATTGTTCTGATTGGAAAGACCGGCTGCGGAAAAAGCTTATCAGGAAACTTGGAGGAGACTATTTTGAAGCCAAGCCAGCCCAACATTCAGTCACAAAGCGTTGTCAGAAAGCCCAGGGTGAAGTTGATGGCCGTCCCGTGGCTGTGGTCGACACTCCAGGCCTGTTTGACAACACTTTGTCCTACGATGAAGTTCAGGAAGAGATGTTGAAATGTATGAGTCTTCTTGCCCCAGGACCACATGTCTTTCTGCTGGTGTTACAGATTGGAAGGTTAACAGAAGAGGAGAAAAAGACATTAACACTGTTAAAGGAAGGCTTTGGGAAAAAATCTAAGGACTTTACTATCATCCTCTTTACACATGGTGATAAACTGGAACATTATCAGAAATCTATTAAAGAATACATTGAAAAGGATTGTGACGAGTCCTTCAAGAGGCTAATTGAGGACTGTGGAGGAAGATATCTAGTTTTTAATAATTACAATCAACAAAACCGTGCACAGGTCACAGAACTGATCACCAAGATTGACAACATGGTAAAGAATAATGGCGGCAGCTGCTTCACCAATGACATGCTGCAGGAGGCTGAAGCAGCGATACGAAAAGAAATTAAGAAAATTCTGAAGGAAAAAGAAGAAGAGATGCAGAAAAAGATTGATGAACTAATAAAAAGTCATCAGAAAGAAAAAGATGAAATGGAGAAGCAAAAAATAAAAGCTGAACAAGAAATGAAAGAAAAAGATACAAAAATAAAGGAAATTGAGAAAACCCTCCAAAAGGCTAAAGAAGATCAGAAGAAAGAACAAGCAAGGAGACAAGAAGAAGAAAGGAGACTGAAAATTCAGAGCGAGGAATGGGAGAAAAAAATTAAAAAATCTAAATCACCCGTTGGGATGGAGAGACATAAATCAATGCGAAAGAAACACGAGGCCTGGGAGAAAGAAGTGAAAATGTTAAAGGAGAAACACAAAAAAGAAGATGAACAGAAACAAGAGCAGGAGAGAGAACTGAGAAAGAAGTATGAGGAGCTGAAACAAGATTATGATAAACAAAAACAAGAAAATGATATCAGAAAACAGATGGAGGCAAAGTACAAAGATGAACTGGAAGAGAAATATAAGAAGAAAATTGATAAACTCAGAGAAAAATACGAGGGAGAAGCCAGAAAGAAAGCTGAGGAATTCAATGAATTCAAAGAAAAATACAGTCGAGAACTTGAAGCACAAAAACAAGGGCATGAAATACAGCTTAAAGAAAAAGATAGCCAGTATGATGTGCTAAAGGCCCTGAAAGAGGTCACCGAGAAGGAAAGCAGAGCAAAGCACCACAGGCAAATCGTTGACTTGGTGAAATGTGTCACCAGAAAGAAAGAACATCTCAGAACAATCAAGGAAATGCTGACAAGACATGAAGAGCAAATAAAAAAAGGGAAAAATACTCAGGAAACTGAAAACCTGCAGAAATTTCATGAGCGAGAAATAGAGGAGTTGATTCAGAAGCTTCTGGATCACGAAGATCCGAAGTCACCCTGTTCCATTTCATGAGACACATCCAAACCTTAATACCGATTCAACTTGCTCATTAGAGCAACAAGAAAAGAACCAGCAGGTACTATCCGTTCCATGTTTTACCTGAGCTGTAAGTTCTGCAGAAAAACAACATGGAAAAAAGTTACAGTGTTCAGCAGATTTCTGCCTCTTCTTCATTCCGTTGAGTCAAAATGCTCATAACTGCATCGTTGGTCTTTAGCAAGTGTTAATAAACTGTGATAAGATCTAAAATCACAAAAAAAACTTTCTCCAACAATATTACCATGTAAATAGATTCTTCTGTTTAGATTTTTTTTTTTTTAAGATGTTACTTGGCAATATTTATTTTTACATGAAATCAGAATTTGTTTTCCAATCACTTATTACTTATCAATGCATAAATAAAACTAAACTCACCTTACCGTTTCTTTGGAATATTGATCTGTTTGAATATGACTTACTGACATCATTGAACTGTATATCTCAGGATGTTTGCCTTAGTGGAGAACTTTATTTGGATTTAATTTACAGACAACACATTTGGCAGATTACATAATTACAATTTTCATATTTTAGCTCAATTCCTGTCTGACTGTGGAGAACACAGAAGAAAGAAAAAAATCACAGAAGGTATCTTTGTATCCAAAACTTTCTAAATAGCATGATTCAGATAGACTCTTCTGTGGTGACAACTGAAAGACATAAAGCATTTGGTATTTCCATCTGGTGACATGGCATAACCACTCTGCAGTATAAAGATCACTTGTTGTTTTTTGGTGGTTGCTCCCTATTTTATGCCTGCTGTCCAACTATATCCATAACATATGCTCATATTAAAACTAAAAAAATGAATTAAAACTTATTTTCTGGATTGTTCTTTATCACTGCTAGTCCCAAAAATTTCAGGTTTCCCTGCAAGCTCCCCACTGCATTGTCTCCAAAAAAACCTATTACCAGTGACTGTATATGAGAATGGAGACAGGCTAAACTTAGCAATCATCAGAACAAAAGCATGTTCCAAACACTTTTCCCTGAAATATCATACCCTTTTGCAGTAATATATTGTTAAATGATAACTAAATCCTTTATTTAGGTCAACCTGATGAACAACTGGAATTAGTATATGTCTTGGTTTCTGAGCTGAGAAAAAACAAATCAGGTATTCAGCCAATTGCTGCTTTTTAGGATAATATAAAAAGGGTATAGAAGTCAGAAAATAATCAGTTTTTTTTTTTGTTTTTTTTAAATCTTCAAAAAAACAGTCACTTTCTGACCTGACCCATTTCATGTGTCTAATCCTCCGCTAGCAGTGAGCAGAGAACAAATTGCTCTGAAGTGCTGCGAATCAATTTGATGTAATTTATGAGCAGAGACGTTTGAATCTTATGTGGATTTAAAAAATGTTTATGGTGACAATGCTAGCATGATCAAACCAGACCTCCCAAGTCTCCCTGAAGTTCCTGGAGTCTCCCTGATATAGATAGTTGTTCACAGATCCCCGCGAGTCGTAAGCAGAAGTAAAGCATCAGGGAACCACCTTGATAATATATGCAGATCTCAGCATCGCTTTGCAAAGAAAAGGTCAGCATTCAACAATGTTAAAGAAGCTCTTCAAAAGAGGTGGGTCGTTTGTCTTCTTTTTCCTGTCCATCTTAAAGTTACATTTAAGGGAGAAAACCACTTATTTGAAACGCTGGAGGAAGCTTGGGCGTTCTACGAGCGCTGCTTTGCAAAATAAACAAGTGTTGCAAAATAAACATCTGGCAGACTTTTTTATTTAAATTTTTTTTTTGAGGCGAGGTGGGGTGCCCAAGATACAACAGGGATGGAGAGGATGGAATAAGATGGCAAAAAAAACCAGAGGAAGAGGAAAATGATTGTGCTAACAAATTAATGATTTATGTGTTGTGCCTGCGTACTCTGCATTAAATGCCTTGATAAAACACTATTTCAGCTTTAAAGGGATAGTTCGGGATTTTTGACATGAATCTGTATGGCATCCCCATCACCAGAGTCATGCAATCACACTGACTTACCCCTGGCAGCATCCTGTGAGCAGAGTTCTCGTCCAGCTTTGGTCAAGCCGAAAGTAGTCCGGCAGGTTTGCTAGACCCAGCGAAATAAAACATTTCTCTTCCCAAAACATTATGTGTTCAAAAGAGTGATATTTTTGCATCCCAAAAACATTGTAGTGGAAAAAGTCACACGTCGTTATCACTTGGTCCTATTTTCTCTCTGTTCGTATCAGTGCGCGTCGTCATTTTCCCCAGTAGTAAACAATCGCGAATCAAACAGGTAGGCCCTAGCTGTCAGGTCATGGTGTCGCGCGCAGTGCCATGGCAGACATAATCTCTCTTCGGATGAAACTGGGTTTATGAGGGGTTGTTACTTTTTCTCTAATATAGACAGGCTTATCTGGGTTTTTAACTCTCCTGCATCGGGGGAGTCCCTGGGGTTGTGGTCTCCCTCGATGTGGAGAAGGTATTCGAGTGGCCCAACCTATTTGCACTATTGGCTAGCTTTGGGCCCAAACTCACATAATCTGTTGTATACATCACCCAAAGCAAGTATAATCACTACCAGAACAAGGTCTAGGCTGTTTTCTTTATCCAGGGGTACCCGGCAGGGTTGTCCTCTCAGGCCGCTCCTCTTCCATTTAGCTATTGAGCCACTATCAATTATGCTTACAGTAAGTCCTCAAAGAGCTTTAAGGAAATTTATAGAAAACAGAGGGAACCTTGGCTTACCTTATACATGGACGACTTAATACTCTACATCTCGGACCCAGTATCATCTTTCTCTAACATTGTGAGATTGCTGAACGGTTTTGGTACATTCTCAGGATACATGTTGAACTTCCTAAAGGGGACTTTTTGATTTTTGCCCCTGAAACTGTCTCCTCTCCGCTGAATTTGTGTCTTCAAAAACCTCCATTTAACCTTGACACAATGTTTTTGAGTTCTATCTGGGCCTCCTGGATTTTCATGCTTGTGATTTTTATCTGCTGTATAATAAAAAAAATGAATAAGATACAATTATAATAATATAAGGCTTATGACTAGTTGTCACGATAAATTAAATTTCCGGTTCTTGCAGCCCTGTTGTACTACTGGCTGGGCGAAGTAAACATAAACAACATTGGACTGTGAGAAGAGCAAGTCCCGGATTTCTTGTTACAAGTTCAAAAGCATGGTGAAACAAAGGACAATAGTATAAATTGACTGACTCCATCCCTATGAACACAGAGAGTTGACCACAGGCCTGAATGGTTATCTGGAGGTAACGGTATCACTCACTGTATGCAGGGCCCAAAACATACTGAGCTCAAGAGTCAGCACTTGTAGGTGTGTTTCGTGGATGCTCCCCAGAGATGTTTTTAATGTTTTAAATCTGGCCACTTTCAGGGTTTAAGGATCAAAAACATCTTTTTGACTTCTGAGAAAATGCTCAGCTGTGAATTTCTCCTCTCATGTCTCTCCTGCCAGACATTTCAGATATTATAAACCTGATTTTTTATGTCATGTTTCTTTTGAAGCTTCTGTTTACAACTGCTTAGAAATGTGTCACAAAACACATTCCAGTATAAATGAAATGAGTGGCTCCCGTTCATTTTAGTATTCAAAATAGACATACAGATCCTATTACACTATTGAGTTGATGATGGTACTTAATATAACATATTTCCATTATAATCTTACAAAATACTTCAATTATGATGCAGTACACATACAACATTTAAAACAGTTCTGTATCAAGGTAGAAGAGTCTCAATATTCAATATGATCCACATAAGCACAGGATAAGATCCAGACATGCAAATAATGATTCAAACAAATACAAATGAAATTTGTATTTTATAGCTTGATTTATAAAAAAATCCACACATAAATGCAATGATTTCAAAGACCTCTAGTAATATATTAATAAGAGAAATATTGGTGTATGCACCACAAATACTTTTGAAAATCTTGTGAATATGTACATTTTGTACATCGTGCATCCCTAATATATATATATATATATATATATATTAGGGATGCACGATATTTGGATTTTGGCCGATATCCGCTATGCCGATATAAGCTGGACAAAAATAAGTAGTCATTGAAAATAGCAGTTTTGTTATCCATTTCTGACACTTTGAAAAATAATATACTCAAATATATTTTCATATGCTGATATCAAATTGATTTTTAAAAACGCGGTATCGATCTATTTTACTTTTTAAAATCTCGTGAAATTTCATCATTCTGTTACAAACTCTCGTGATATTTTGCAAATTCTTGTGAGATTTTCTTAGTAAAATAGATCGATACCGCGTCAATATATCAACATATAAAAATATGGCAACATTTCATGAATTTTCGGGGGATTTCGTAGCATAACGATGACATATAGCAATATTTCATTAGTAAAAGAGATTGATATGGTGTTTTTAAATGGCAATATATCAGCATATGAAGATATTGGGATATTTTAATGTATCAATATTTTTTCCCTCGTCTTTAGAGGTTTTTAAGTCTGCAAAAAAGAAGTTTTTGAGGAAGAAGAAGAAGTAGTATTTTTTTTTTTAGAAACTCAGAAGCTGATCAAATATCGGGTTAAATATCGGTGGGGGGGCCGATGTCCGATATTCAGTTTTAAGGCCGATACCGGTAGGGGGCCGATTATATTGTGCATCCTTAATATATATATATATATATATATATATATATATATATATATATATATATATATATATATATATATATATATATATATATATATGTATATTTACCCACATAAATATACATAAAAAGGCAATTAATAGGACTTTCAGTCTTTCAACTCTGAAAGAGGACGATTAAAAGCATGTGAGTCACTAATCTGGTTTAAATATTCAGTCTGAGCCCAGAAGAAAAAGTGGAATCCAGCCATTTTTACCACTTGCCCAAATCCTTAAAGTCAACCCCTATTAGTATATAAGTTATCACAATTTTTAAATATAAACAAACATTGATAAAAATTATGTATCCATACGATACATAATTAAGCTTTCTATAGGATAAATAATGTAAAATATATATGTGTGATTTACTTAGAGAGCAGGACCGAAAGTAGAGAGAGTTCTGAGCCAGGCTAGTATTCGAGCAGGCAGTCCTGTAACAGTTGTATTGTAAGAGGCATGAGTTGTAGCCTCAGGAATAGCAGCTGGTATTTCTAATAAACCCTGTTGGCGGTACTACCTCGACGTTGCTGCCGTAATTACAATATAGTATAAATAAAATTAAGAAAATAAAGTTTTTCAGCTGTACCATATAAAGAATAATTGCTGTTTTAAGTCCTGGGGGAAAACACCCTACTATAGGGATGTGTTTATGATTCGAATCAAATAAGACTCTTAAAAAGTGAACTCCTTCTTAATTGAACCTGTGGATAAAAGTTCAAGACAGCAGAAAGAGAGGCTTATTCCTCTGTAATGTTGTTATGATTAGCATTTTCTCTCTATGTTCTTCTTTTCCTCCAATCATATTTATAAAACTCTTCACCTTAGCCAGAGCCACCATGGCAGCACGCTCATTCAATCTTCCCACACCCACTCTATACAGGCCTGTCATTCCTTTCCACCAGCTATGTGTGTTTACTGTTTCTCTTTATTTTTCACTCGACTATCCTGTTTCAGATATACCTTATGCTCATATCACTCCCTGCTTTTTCCATAACACCAGTATTTCTTCTTTATTGAAACTTCTCAATTAACGATGCAGGTTTGGTCTGAATTTGGGTCCTAATTAAACAACCAAAATATAAAAATGCTCTCTATAGTTTACTTTTTGAACTACTTTGTGTATCTATGCAGACTTCTCAGTTGCTTCTATTGTAAAGTACTTGATTTTTTTGTGATGTTATGTTGTTTAAACAATGACTAATCTTTCTGTGCTTTTGATTTTTCTTTTGTTTCATTATTTTTTTCCATTTGTAAAATCATGGCCACCTCTTTTTTACTGACAACAGAATGCAATGAGAAATACAACTTTTTTTTTCTTCTATCATTAACTCAGCTCATCTTCCCACCCACTAAGCTCAGTGGAGGTGGTCTAACAGATGGAGATGGGCAGTGCTGTTAATCCAGTGTGGACACATTCGTTTAGGAGATTCAGGAAGAGATGATGCAGCAGCGGTCTGACATTTCAGGTTGGTAGAACTAAATGTTATCTTTGTGAAATAAGCCAAAATATTTGTCTTTTTTTTAAACCTTGTGTTTAATGTTAGGCATCTGGAGAACCACTATCACCTCTAGCTTTACTTGATGATACTTTACTGTGGTCATGAATTATTAAGAATTCATCAAATAAATTCAGATCAAGAGATAAACAGGAAATCTAAGACTTAGAAAACTGCTTAAACTGTACTACTATGAATTTCAAATGTAAGTTCTTTTTTTAAGCTGTCCTCTCTAAACTTGACATTAACTTAATAAGTTAGAGCTTAGCATCTAAGGTCTGAAGTTCAGAGAGATGGCAATAGACTCTCTTTATTGCAGAGAGAGAGAGATGAAAAGGGTGCTAAAATACTTACAAAATGAACTTAAACAACTACAGTACTTGTGCATTCACGTCCATGGATATCTTTATTGGATCACTTGTAAAAAGTGCAAAGTCTAGATGATTTATCTTACAGTAAAAATAGTACAAATTTAACTCTGTACTTGATCTGGTAGCAGTTATTTACCTTGGACTAAAGCAAAATAAAGTACCCTACACAAAAATGTGGATTACTTCAGACATGGAAATGGAAACAATGGAAACAAACTGACTATTGTTCACAATAAAGGATGAAAGATAAACTGCTAGGATCTCTTAGTTGCTAGTCTAATCTTTACCGAAACTATTAAAAAAGAAGCTCCTTCCTAAGACTGCTTCTTTTTGTTAATTTTTTACAGATCAGGTTGCAATAAAAAATGTGTTCTCTACCATGTTTTAAAATGAAATTGAATTAAGAAAAAAAAAAAGATTATTTTTCAGGAGAGGCTTTGTCCTTTAACTCTTCTAAACAAAAAAACATGTTTATTTGTCATGTCTTTTTATTAAGCTTCTAATCTGGTAAGTTAAACATTTTTGTAATGGCACTCCTGGGTTTACCTTTCTTCCATCTTAGTGTTTTGTTGATGCAAAGAATTATTCTCGAGAAAATCACACAGAGAAAATTGTTATGGGGAGTATTTAGGAATATGGTATTTATATGGTTAAAGTCAAATAAAAGACAAAAAAAACAAAAGAAATAGTATGAAATATTTTTTCTTTATGATATCATTTAGTGTAGAACCAAATGTATAAAAGTCTTACTTTTTTCCCGTATTTTTTTTTTATGCTTATAGTGTCTCTTTTGTTAGAACAGGTTTTTTTTATAATTTCTTTAACAATTTGTATTTCAGATTGAGTCTATCGGTAACTACTGATCTGAAAACATGGCAACAGGAGATCATGGTGAGTAAACTGTAGTGTAACAGATATAATCAATCAATTAATCAATCAGTCAATCAAACTGAATTTCTATTGAACCTTTCATACAACTTTGTTCAAAAATACAACCAGAAAAAACATCATGTCAAATAACAACTTTGTTCCAGTGATCACTTTATGATGTTAGTAAAAATATTGATTTGGAAATAAAAGGTTTGAATTTTAAGATCTGATTTAAACTTGATCCTTTATGGCAACCTGTCAGACCCATAAAAACACAAAAAGTCATCATAATGATTTAAACTTCTTTAAGGTTGGAAAGACTTTTGACATGTTATAATACATGCAAACCATTTTGAAATGGGACCCTTTGTGTGAATAGTCTTACTTTATTCATGAACCAATATTTGACATCCTTCTCATTTTCCATAAGTGATCTGAAACAATTATGCTTCTGAAGAAAACTGCCCTTCATTGCATTTGAAAATAAATAAAAAATAAATGAAAAATAAAATGGAATAGAGAAGATAACTATCTGCTCCCTAAATACTATACTAAAACAGAGAAAAGACTATTTTACCAGTGTTTAAATGCATGTATTCATTGCAAAAGCAATATTTTTAAAACAGGGATATGCACATTAAATAGCTTCATGCACATTTTTTCTGCTTCCTATCAGTGTAAACAATTTTGAGGGAAACAGAAAGAGGAGTGCACCAAAGCCCCACCCTTCACATTGTAGATGGATTATTCTTTAGTTATATGTGATGGGTAAGAGATATTCTGGTTTACAAATGTCCTCCACCATGGACAAATTTAATAAAGTGACAGTCAGGTGGTTCCTGATTCTGGAATTCAGCACAAATCATAAAGCTGATACAGTTTACTGACTACTCTGTTTTTCGCTTGCTAGTCATTCTTTAAATCTCACACCAAAAAGCCTAATATTAATAAAGTTTTCTCCATTAGCTAAAAGAAAGAAATGTCAACAGCCAATCAGGTCAGTGACATATTCTTTTTGCATAGAATCTTGGTTTAAGCTATTAAATTGGGAACATTTGATTAAATAAAACTGTGAAATGGACAATAAGTTAAAGGCAATAGATAGCTTGTTCACTACCAATTATATATTTAACTACTTACTGTCACAATTCAGAACACGGGACCCAATATTCAGGCAAGGCAGACAGTGGAATTATTCAAAAAGCGTTTATTAAACTAAACAGATCCTGAGAGGACAAGAAAAATCTAGCACTGATGAGTGGATACAAGTAGCTTAAATAGAGAAAGTAGCAAGTGCATTGGGTGATCAGTGATGAGAAACCAGGCTGAGTTAGACAGGTGAATAAAATAAATAATAAAGCCAGTCATTAGAGCCAAGATCATGAAAGAACCCCTAAGGGCGGAATCCTGACCCCCTCCTGGGCTCTAAAGTCCTTAAAGTAAACCAAAACAAAATAATCCAAACAGGGTGGCTGTGGTGGGATGGTGAGAAGAAACAGACACAGATTAGAATAACCATAATGATTATTCAGGGAGAGACAGACGCAGCTTCTGACAGCCACATGCCCGACTTTAGCAGAGAACAACATTGTCAACCTCAGAACACCATTGTCAGTCTGCCAGTGGGTATATTTTTGGCCATATTATTCTGTAACAACTCAGAACAGAGGGCCCAGTATTCAGGAAAGGCTGACAGTGGGATTACACAAAAAGAATTTATTAAAATAAACAGGTCTGTGAGAAAAGCTGCTAGGGTGTCTGATTATGAATGTGAGTCACTAAGCTGGTGTAGAAGTTCAGGCCATGCCCAGAGAATGAGGCAGGGTTCAGCCGGTCAGCTGTCAAGAAGATGCGGCGGGAGCCGCCCAGAGTGTCCCAGATCATGCAGCCCTAGAGAACGGAGAACAAGCAAGAGTCCAAAGCCAGGTCAGGCAAATACAGATAAGAAAAGGAAAAGGCAGGCCCAGAGGTCCAGAAATCAGAAGTGAGGACAGACAAACAGAATGTAGACAGGATCAGGTGGATCAGATGAGCAGTGATGATAAACCAGGACGAGCTAGACAGGTGACTGAAATGAATAATTATGTAAGCCAGTTATTAGCAGCAAGATCATGACAGAACCCCTCCCCTAATGGCAGATTCCAGAAACCCTCCTGGGCTCTAAAGGCCTTAAAATAAAACAAAACAAAATGATACAAACAAGGGCGAGTGAGGTTGTGGGGGCTCAGAAAAAACAGACACAGATCAGAATAACCCTAAAGAAAATTCAGGTAGAGACAGGCGCAGCTTCTGACAGCAGTTGATGTAGACGCGGAAGCAGCCTAATCACTCAAGCAATCCAGACAACATATTCTCATTATCAGTTCGTATGAAATCGTACGAAAAGTTTTGCACAGTATTTCGTGGGTTTTTGACGTTTTTCCTCGAAAACACATATCAGTGCGCATGCGCAGCCAGCCACACGAAAAAAAGCAGATCAGCGGACGGACGAGCTTTTGACAGTGCAATAATTACTTCATGATGTCTCTCACTAGGTTGCTTGCTGTTTTGTATGTTAGGGTTAGGGTTAGGCTTAATTGTATGTTATTGAATGGTGCGTAAGTTGCGCACGCGCACTGATATCTTGTCTCGAGGCAAGACGTAAAAATACGACGAAAAAAACGTCAAAAACCTACGAAATTACTGTGCATAACTTTTCGTACGATTTCATACGAACTGATAATGAGAATACACTGATCCAGAATCTTCCACATGCCCGCCTTGAAGTTGTTGTTCAGTTATTATTTATGATTATTTGTTATGTGAGTCTTTGCAGGTTGTAATGTCCTAGTCCTAGCCGTCTTCATCCCTGTCTTTTTTATTCTTTTTGTGTCTCTTTCTATCTAAATCTAAGTCACTGATGCAGTTAAAAGAATGCTTATCTGTTCTAGAAAGAGAGCAAGTAGGTTAAAATGTATATTTGCGAGACCTTTTACAGATATCAGAATTATAAGGTGCTTCACAATTATTAAAACATTACATTATACCACACTTACATGTAAAGTCTAGTTAAAAGCCTGTTCAGATAGAAATGTCTAATAATTTCTTTTTTTTTTTTTGGTGGGTGCAGTTAACAAAGGTTTCAGACCACTTCCTTGACAGCCTCTCCCTTATTTTTCAACTGTGCCTTTCATACCAAGAGCAGCCTCTGGTCAGCTGATCCAACATTTTAAGGGGAGATTTATGGCAGTATGCTATTGCGAAGCTTAGCCATGCAATCCCTATAAATTTAGGATTCAAATCTCAAAAAATATGTTCTATATTTAAAGTGCAGGTAGGCCAAAATAGAAATAAATAGCTCTCTTCTATAATTCATGCTCTAAAAATCTTCTGAGCCATCCAAATAAAAGATGGTGGTGGTTGTTTGAATTTGAGTCTGAATGAATCTCAAAGTATCCAAGAGGATCAGAACTTGCACCAAACGGTTGTTTCTAAAAACTGTGGATGTGTGTCCTGTTATTATCAATTATACTTTTGGGTTCTGCATCTAAGATTGCACAACCAAATTTTGTACCTTTTTTTCTGTTTGTTTTTTTTTGTTTTCCAGTGTCTGAAGTGGGGCTTATTGTCCTGGGAGACAGTTGGTCAGAAAAGAGTTCAGTTGGAACCCTAATCCTGGAAAAGACGGAATTTAATCCAAGGGAAGAGCCAAAATCTTCAACAATAGTCCAACAAGAAATTCAGGAAAAGGAGCTGATTATTATCAACACACCAGATCTGCTTCAGTCTGGGATGACAGAAGAAGTGCTAAAAGCTGAAATAGACTCTTATTTGAGACTTTGTGCTTCTATTCCTCATCTGTTTCTGATTGTTGTTCAGCCAGAAACCTTCACAGAGGAAAAAAAAAAAAGTTTTACAAACTTTATGAACTTTTTGGTGATAGGTTATTTGTCAGTACACTGGTTCTGATATCGACATCTATGCAGAAGAATCCAAGTTTAAATCAAAACCTAAAGGATATGATTAAAAGATGTGGAAACAATTCATTCATCCTGAAAGACGATTATCGCAAAGAGTTGCTGAAGAAAATTGACAAAATTCTAAAGAAAATTAAAGAAGAACAAAAAAGCTTTAAATATTCAGAAATATGTCAACAGAGGGAGGTTTCTTCAGCTGCTGGTGCTTCCTCGCTTGGTGGTAGGTAAAAATGCAAATGGTTACATGTCTTAGTTTTTTCTATACTTGAGAATATTAGTATTAGGATCTTTATTTTAATATGCGCAGAAACTTCTGTAAAAATATTGTACTAATTTAGCCGTTAGAGGTTGTTTAATTGGTTTACCATTTCTCAATTATTTTTTATTTGATTAATTACTGTTTTAAGTAAGCTTAATCTACCCATTTATTTGGATTGCTGGATTGTTTCCCATAGTTTATTCCACACAGTATTTACCAAAGATTGATCACTTCTCCCTCGGAATCAAGTTTTCATCTAGAACGTCAGGAAATTAGTTCATTTTCAGAACTTCCTCCACGTTTTTCAATTCAATTCATTTTATTTATATAGCGCCAAAACACATGTCATCTCAAGGCAATTTACAGTTTACCAGATCATCCTATAATTGATTAAATTTTTCTACCTAATGAAAACCAGTTGGTTAGTTGCAGCAACTCATTATCACAGGTCCTGATAAAAAAATTACACCAAGATTTTTTACTTTATTATATGAAATCTGTTTAATCCCATCCAACTGAAGTGATTGACTAATTAGCTTTATATTCAAAGACTCTGGTCCAAAGACTGTATCGTCTGTTTTGTCTGCATTCAGAAGCAGAAAAATATTAGTCATCCAGGTTTTTATGTCTTCAAGACATGTCTGTAACCTATGTAATGGGTTAGCTTCATCTGGATTATAGACAGATATAGCTGGGTATCATCAGCATAAGAGTGAAAATTAATCCCATGCTGTCTAATAATTCTACCGATTGGGAGTAAAGAGAATTGGTCCTAGCACTGATCCCTGTGGTACTCCACAGGTTACTTTTGAGCATGAGGAAGTTTTAAAAACTGAAAACTGAAATCGATCAGATAGATAAGATTTAAACCAGTCTAGAGCTGTTCCTTTAATTCAAACGAACTATTTAAGTCTTTCTAATATAATAACATGATCAACTGTGCCAAATGCAGCACTGAGATCTAACAGGACAAGTGCAAATACAAGTCCATTATCTGAGGCCATGAAAATATCATAAGCTCTAAAGCCAGACTGAAACTCTTCAAAAAGTTCATTATGGTGTAAGTGGTAAACCAATCACAGTTAGAGGAGTGCTAATGATTTTTGATAAAATCAATCTTTTTTTAAACACTTGTTCGAACATTTACACCCGTTTTTTCCACCACTAAAGGTTTCAGTCATTTTGCCTGTATTCATTCATCAAGTCTCCCCTGTAATAGTTGAAACTCACTATTCTGATCTCTTGTCTCAGTCTAGCCTAAAACTTCCCTGATCAGGACAGCTGACAGATCTGCGTGGGCCTGAGACAAAATATTAGGATACACATATACACAACCACAAACACATTAACAAACCTTCTGCCATTGTAGTGAGCACCATGTGTTGACTCCCATTGAATTCTATTGACTTTAAGTTATTTTCAACCCTTTTTATGCCATAACCCTAAAACAAACTCTAAACCGAACCACTACCAATGCATACCTCACCTTAACCCTAACCCAATTGACACCTTAGCCTTGAACATAACCATTAGCAAAACAGCATGTGCATTTCAAATGTCCTCACTCTTCCTCACCCATTGCTGGTGGTCTTCCCCAGTTTTTTTTCCTGCAAGCTTGGGTCCTCTACCCGAGGAGTGGGAGCTTGAAGGTTCTGCGCAGTATCTTTGCTGTTCCTAGAACTGAACTCTTCTGGACCGAGATGTCTAATGTCTTTCTAGTTTCTCATGTTCTTTTTACCTGATGTTGCAATCACTTGGTATTGCTATGTCAACCACAATGGCTTTCCTCTGCTTTTTGTCTACCACCACGACGTCCACTTGGTTTGCCATTACCATTCAGGCCGTCTGTATCTGGAAGTCCCACTGGATCTTGGCTTGATCATTCCCTTCCATCTTTGGTAAACCTTGGGGTTTCCAGCCCATACTCTGCACAGATGTTCCTGTACATTATTCCAGCCACTTGGTCATAGCGCTCCATGTAAGCTTTCCCTGCCAGAATCTTACACCTTGCAGTTATGTGCTGGATTATCTCAGCGGCCTCTTTGCACAGTCTACACCTGGGGTCTTGTCTGGTAGATCTGGGCCTCTATTGCTCTGGTGCTTAGGTCCTGCTCCTGCACAGCCATGATGAGTGCCTCTGGGCTGTCCTTCAGTCCGGCTTTGTCTAGCCATTGGTAGGATTTCCTGATATCTGCCACTTCGATGTTCCATTGTTCCTATTGTCTGAGACATTCAGTGCGGATGTCATCTGTTGGAGCCTTGTCCTTGTTGTACTTATGAATCTTAGATGTTTCATCCTGGATAGTGGCTCTTATGCACATTAGTCTTCGGCCCCCTTCCCTATGGCTGGCGTACAGTCTCAGGGTACTGGATTTGGGGTGGTACCCTCCGTGCAATGGTTAGGAGCCTTTGTTTCTTAACAACTGTGCCCTCCTTCTTTGGCCAGCTTATTATTCCTGCAGGGTATCTGATTACTGGTAGAGCATGCATATATATATATATATATACAATGCCTCAGACTCAGGTAGGCTGTGGTATTCACACCATGCTCTGTAGGTAGTAAGACAGGAAACCTCAGGAGCCTCACTGTTGATACAAGGAAAGATGGATTCAGACCTCTAAATTAATTCAAGATTCTAACTCTACTGTCTGAACATTTTGGACTGTACCCAGTATGGCCCGCTGCTGCTGCAGCACATCTGCTTAAACATTCAATGTGTTGCATGTTAAAAGGTATGTGAATTAGCTGTAATAAGTCACAATTAAATTTTTTATCAACTCTCTATCGTCTCAAAAATCTGTCAGTATCTGGGACCACTAAGGGATCACTAAGCATTTTAGTTTCAACTTTCATTTGTCACAGAGTAGAGAGTTCATAATTTTTTGTAGTTATTCAGTATGAACCAAAGAGATGGTTATCAATTCCATTGCCAGTTGTTTAATTAATAAATCAAATGTTCATCAAAAAATATATATAATATATAGTTTTTGCTCATTAATAATAACTAATAATTGAAATGATCACACGAGTGCAACAACACATATATTTATTTTATTTAATTGATAGTTAGGCTATTCAATCATTGATGATTGAGTAAATTTTATAAGTATTTTTGCTTTATTTAGAAACCCTTGATATTCCATGCAAGTTACTTGAAAAAAACACCTCTCTAAAAGTGTGAACAGTCCATAAACATTATTTAAAGCACAATTAAATCCACTAAATATGGTAAAACAGTGTTAACTGTAAGAGTTTTACATTTGCTGCAAACAGGAGATAAAGGTTAATTTCTAATACTGATAGAACTATGATAGTTTAGCTCTGCAAAAAGTATTGCTTAAAGGAGAAGTTCGGTTTTTTACACTTTAAGCCCATTTTCTGTAGTGTCCAGGATGAAATCGAATGAAGGACACCAAAATTTTGACAATTGGTCCTGTCTCTGCTTTTTGGCTCATTTAGAATCAACCCCTGGCTGCTTTAGAATGGCTAGCATAGAGCATGTCCGATAATGTCCTTAAAACAACCTTAAACGTTCTTTTTTTTAAATATGCTACTCACCGGGTCGTCAGCGCTGTTCAATGACGTTCCAAAAAAAGTTTCGTGAAGAAAAAACGTTCCTGTAGTGTTTTATTTAGCATTTTGTAAATCCCATTGAGTTCTGTAGGAATAGTCAATATTCCGCTGCCACCGGAAACGGAAATGGGGCCTGTTTACACAGTTGTAGTCTTTTCGCTTCACTCTGTGTACTCCGACTCGAGAATCAAGAATCCACCTTTCGTATTCCATTTTCAGAGTTTTTTAAAGTGTTTAACAGAGACGTTAGCACCTCGACGTCGGAGTACGCAGAGTGAAGCGAAAAGACTACAACTGTGTAAACAGGCCCCATTTCCATTTCCGGTGGCAGCGGAATATTGACTATTCCTACAGAACTCAATGGGATTTACAAAATGCTAAATAAAACACTACAGGAAAGTTTTTTCTTCACGAAACTTTTTTTGGAACGTCATTGAACAGCGCTGACGACCCGGTGAGTAGCATATTTAAAAAAAAGAACGTTTAAGGTTGTTTTAAGGACATTATCGGACATGCTCTATGCTAGCCATTCTAAAGCAGCCAGGGGTTGATTCTAAATGAGCCAAAAAGCAGAGACAGGACCAATTGTCAAAATTTTGGTGTCCTTCATTCGATTTCATCCTGGACACTACAGAAAATGGGCTTAAAGTGTAAAAAACCGAACTTCTCCTTTAATAAATGCTATAAATTATGGAGCATTTAGACCAATTTGTGCAAAAAGGCCGGTCTTCAATTGACAGGTTGGTGTGGTTCATGTACATACAGTAAACAAGTCGTGAGCTCACAGATGGAGCCGATTGAACAGGGATCTAGCTGAGGTGTGCAGAGATGAAATCAAGAAAGTGTTTTGAGCGAGGGAGTGCGAATTGAAATGCTGCAGATCAAGGTATGGTTTTAAAGAAACCAGAATGTGCAAGGGATTGTGCTTGCCAGTTTAGTTTGTATATCAGAAAATGCAATTAAGTGTTTAACATGTTAAAATGTTTTGAAATAATTAAATGAAATTAACTTGTTAAAGTCCCGGCCATAATACTAACACACCATAATACTGGCACAGCACAGCGGTCCTCTTGACCCCATCTTGGCACCTCTAAACACATCTCCATCCAGCGGGTGCCAGCATATCCACCGTGGATTAGATGGATTAGACTAACAAAGAAACAGTGCTTGTATAACACAGGGATTTAGCCGCTGTGATGCAAGATGGTTTTCAGTGCACAGATTGGCAGGTTTTTGGAGAGGTGGCTGGATATGCAGGAGATGTGGACCTTTGAGGAATCCACCTACTCTGTTCTCAGCTTCATATCCAAGTGTGCTGATTATGTCACCACCACTAGGACAGTCCTCGAAACCTGAATGATTGGCTGAGGTGAGACCTCTACTGAACTCTAGGGATCCTGTGTTCAGCAGTGGGAGAAGCAAGGAAAAGACTGACCAGAGGCATCGCAAGAGGCCAAATGCACAAACAGCCAAATAATTCAGGGTCACTTGAATGTCAATGAGCTGCCGCAAAATAAATCCAATGGACCCTTAATAATGAAACAATAATGAGTCTAAATACTGAATGCAGGTTGAACACCTGGTGCAGTGGTTGAGACAACATAACCTTTACATTCATTTCAATAAGATTAAGGGAATGGTGGTGTATTTCTGAAGGGAGAAGGATCCTCTTCATCGTCTGTACCATGGAGGACCTGGTGGAGTTGATTTCCAATTACAAGGATTGGGTTGTGCATTTGTCCAGTGACCTCATCTGGACTTCCATCACTTCCTGTCTGGTCAGGAAAACCCATTATTTTCTACTTTCTCAGGAAGCTGTAAAGCACTGGGCTTCGGATTTGAGTTCTGTGTGTTGGAGAATGTTCTCTGTACCAGTATCAGCAGGTGGCATGGCACTTTTTTTGCTGATGAAGGAATGGCCTTGGAGAGGGTAGTTAATGCTGCTCAGAGGACTTCTACAGATTGAAATGCACAGGTCAGGGCGCTCCATATCATGAGGGACTCTACTCTTTATGCACACAATGTTAGAGCCTCTTCTCTCAGGCAGGCGACTGAAGAGCATTCAAAGCAAAACCACCAGGCTAAGAAACAGTTTCTGAACTCAGGCCACACTTAATTCGGTTTCACCTGTTTTTTGTTTGTCTGTTTGTTTTTATATTAAGGCTTTTGAACTGAGGCCTGAGTCCAAATTTTGTACCACAAATATGTAAATCCAAAAAAAGTTAAAAACAAACATGTAAATGTGAGCTGCATACAACTCATTAGAAATATATAAATGAAAGGTTGGCTTGTTTCTTTTTCTTTAATTGAGTAAGTAAAATATTCAAGGAATCAAAAGATCCAAAACAACCTGTAAATAATCCCCACTCTGTTTTTACTTTATCTTCTGCATAGTAAGGAGCTTTTCCTATATCCAAACTGGTATGCATTCTATAAAGACGTGTATGGGAGAATATTTTAAATTAAAATATTGATAAAAACAAATTTCTTTGTTTTTTCTCACAGGCCTGCTAAGACGGAGAGAAAGCAATCAGTTTCTGCCACCTCATAGTGAGTTTTAGTAAATGGCTTTTAACTTTTAATTTTTTCAAGAAGAAAGAAATGTACATCAATTCATCATTTACAGGACTCTCTTTATCTTATCCAGGACTTTTAAGTTTAAATAAATATAGAATTTTCTAGGGGTCATATGAAAATGCTACATCTGACTATTTAATTTTTTTAAAGTAGAACACATGCAAGTTTACTATGGACGAATCTAAATTAGTTGAGGATTTTATTTGTCCAAATGTATTCACTTACACAGACAGTGTTGACTTTTTTGATTATATTTACCAGATTTTTACCTGAGCCATCTATTGAATAATTAATGCATGATGTTGGTGACTTTATAAACCTGTGCCAGTATTTATTATTGTAACGCTTTATCTCGACAAATTCCAAAAATGAAAATTTTTTCTAAGACTTCTATTTCATCCTATAATTATTCTTAACTAGAATCAGCTTTATCTAAGATGTCTCAATCTCCACAACCAATTGTACCTTTATTTGTTTCAGTGTCTAAAGCCTGGCTTATTCTCCTGGGAGACAGCTGGTCAGAAAACAGCTTGGTTGGAAACATAATCCTGGGAAAGACTGTATTCAAATCAATGGAAAACCCAAACTCATCCATAAGAGTAAAAAAAAAATTTCAGAAAACCAACTTGGTTGTCATTAACACACCAGATCTGCTTCATCGTCGGATGCCAGAAGAAAAACTAAAAGTAGAAGTAGACTCTTATTTGAGACTTTGTGCTTCTATTCCTCATCTGCTTCTGTTGGTTGTTCAGCCTGAAAACTTCACAGAGGAACAGAAAGAGAGGTTCTACAAAGTCTCTGAACTTTTCGGCCATCAGTCATTTGATAGAACACTGGTTCTGATATCAACATCTACACAGAAGATTCCAAGTTCAAATCAAGATTTAAGCGATGTGGTGAAAAGATGCGGAGACAATTCACTCATCCTGAAGGAAAATGATCATGACATGTTGCTCAGAAAAATCTGCAACAGTTTAGAAAAGAGAAAGGACACATACATAGGCTTTCAATATCCAGAAATACAACAACAAAAACAAGTTTTTTCACCTTCTGCTGCTGCCCGTGGTGCTGGTAGGTGTTGATACATATTTTCACACATCTTGGACATTTCTACCGAACATTAATTTTAAGAACTTTATTGTCATGTTGACAGAAATTTTAGTAAGTTTTTTTCCCCACAAGCTCCATGCAACATCAACAAAAGGAAAGCTGTGAGAGTGAATCACAAATAGAACAGACCATAAAAAATAAGTAACATCTCAAATTACTATAAAATCCTGACATAGAAGTTTTTATTTAAAAGCCTGATAGTGAAGGGATTTTTAATTTAAAAACATAATAGACTAGAAAATTTTAATTTAAAAGCCTGGTAGTCTAAGAAATGAGGTGCGGAGCTTTCTACTGACCACTACCTGGTGGTGAGTTGGCTCCGGTGGTGGGGGAGGATGCCGGTCAGACCTGGCAAGCCCAAACGTGTTGTGAGGGTCTGCTGGGAACGTCTGGCGGAGTCCCCTGTAAGGCGGGGCTTTAACTCCCATCTCCGGCAGAACTTCGAACACATCCCGGGGGAGGTGGGGGACATTGAGTCCGAGTAGACCATGTTCCGTTCCTCCATTGTTGAGGCGGCTTATCTGAGCTGCGGCCGCAAGGTTGTCGGTGCCTGTCGTGGCGGAAACCCTCAAACCCGTTGGTGGACACCTCCGATGAGGGATGCTGTCAGGTTGAAGAAGGAGGCCTATCGGGCCTTTTTGGCCTGTGGGACTCCGGAATCAGCTGATGGCGGGCGAAGCGGCATGCGGCTCGGATGGTTGCTGAGGCAAAAACTCGGGTGTGAGAGGAGTTTGGAGAGGCCATGGAGAAAGACTTCCGTACGGCTCCGAAGCGATTCTGGTCCGCCATCCGGCGTCTCAGGAGGGGGAAGCGGTGCAGCACCAACACTGTTTATAGTGGGGATGGTGTGCTGCTGACCTCGACTTGAGACGTTGTGGGTCGGTGGGCAGAGTACTTCGAAGACCTCCTCAATCCCACCAACCTCGGATTCAGAAAGAGCAGTGTGGTTTCCGTCCTGGTCGTGGAACGCTGGATCAGCTCTACACCCTCAGCAGGGTCCTGGAGGGTGCATGGGAGTTCGCCCAACCAGTCTACATGTGCTTTGTGGACTTGGAGAAGGCATTCGACCGTGTCCCTCGGGGGGCCCTGTGGGGAGTTCTCCGGGAGTACGGGGTGCCGGGCCCTTTGATACGGGCTGTCAGGTCCCTGTATGACCAGTGTCAGAGTCTGGTCCGCATTGCCGACAGTAAGTCGGGCTCATTTCCAGTGAGAGTTGGACTCAGCCAGGGCTGCCCTTTGTCACCGATTCTGTTCATTACCTTCATGGACAGAATTTCTAGGCGCAGCCAAGGTGTCGAGGGCATCCGTTTTGGTGACCTTAGGATTGCGTCTCTGCTTTTTGCAGATGATGTGGTCCTATTGGCTTCATCAGGTTGTGATCTGCAGCTCTCCCTGGATCGGTTCGCAGCCGAGTGTGAAGCGGCTGGGATGGGGATCAGTCCGAGGCCATGGTCTTGAGCCGGAAAAGGGTAGAGTGCCTTCTCCGGGTCAGGGGGAGTGTCCTGCCCTAAGTGGAGGAGTTTAAGTATCTCGGGATCTTGTTCACGAATGAGGGAAGAAGGGAGCGGGAGATCGACAGGCGGATTGGTGCAGCATCTGTCGTGAAGCGGGCGCTGTACCGGTACGTCGTGGTGAAGAGAGAGCTGAGTCAAAAAGCGAAGCTCTCGATTTACCGGTCGATCTACGTTCCTACCCTCATCTATGGTCATGAACTCTGGGTCATGACCGAAAGAACGAGATCGCGGATACAAGCGGCCGAAATGGGTTTCCTCCGTAGGGTGGCTGGGCTCTCCCTTAGAGATAGGGTGAGAAGCTCGGTCATCCGGGAGGGACTCGGAGTAGAGCCGCTGCTCCTCCACTTCGAGAGGAGCCAGTTGAGGTGGCTCGGGCATCTGGTTAGGATGCCTCCTGGACGCCTCCCTGGTGAGGTGTTCCGGGTACGTCCCACCGTTAGGAGGCCCCAGATAGACCCAGGATACGCTGGAGAGACTATATTTCTTGGCTGGCCTGGGAACGCCTTAGGGTTCCTCCTGAAGAGCTGGAAGAAGTGGCTGGGGAGAGGGAGGTCTGGGCCTCCCTTCTTAAGCTACTGCCCCCGCGACCCGACCCCGGATAAGTGGGAGGAAGATAGATGGATGGATAGATGGATAGTCTAAGAAATGTTAATTTAAAAGCTTAATATTCTAGGGAATTGTAAATTAAAAGCCTAAGAGCCAAGGAGTTTTTAGTTTAAAAGTCTGATAGACTAGGAACTTTTAATTTGAAAGCCTGATCGCCTAGAGGCTTTTAATTTAAAAGCCTAATAGTCAGGGAACTTCTCTTTTTAAATCCTGATAGCTTGGACCTTTTCATTTGAAAGCCTAATAGCCTAGGAAAGTTTAATTTCAAAGCCCGATAGCCTGCTAACCTTTAATTTAAAAGTCTGATAGCCTAGAAACTTAATTTAAAAGCATGATAGCAGAGAAACTTTCAATTTTAAAGCAATGTAGACTAGGGACTTTTAATTTCAAAGCCTGATAGTCAAGAAATGTTTTATTTTAAAGCCTGACAGCCTTGAAACTTTTAATTGTAAAGCTCGATAGCCTATAAACTTTTAAATGTAAAGCCTGATAGCCTAGGAACTTTTCATTTTAAATCCTGATAGCCTAGGGACTTTTAATTTGAAAGCCTGATAGCCTAGTGTTGTGCAAGTTTACCAGAATAATTTATTAAATAATTAGAACTGGAAGTTTTAGTTAATTAGTAGGTCATTGAAATCAAAGGTAAAACTAAATATGTATCATCAGTTTGTCAAGGCTCACAACTTTGGACCAAGAATTTCAGGCAGACAGACTAATGTAATTTAGAATAGCGTTTATTAACAACATGTCAAATCTGTGACTCGGCAGCTAGAATAAAAACGGCTGGAATCTCTATAGGGCAAAAAATTCAGGTTAAAGACCACGTAATTGTGATGGAGAATGATTACATGATTGTGAGTCACTAACCTGCTAATTAAGTTCAGTCTTAGCCGAGAGGAAGGAGTGGATTCAAGCCGGATGATCTCCCACAGAATGTGGCGAACGCTGCCTAGAGACCTCCAGGAGCCGCAGCCAAAAAGGCTACTGAATTGGCTGACAAGTAGAACCAAGCAGAAGAGGAAGAGCAGGAGTTTTCAGAGGGCAAACCTGGTATTGATGAGGTTAACAGGAGTCCAGGTCAGAAGATCAGACATCCGAGGAGGTTCCGAGGGGAAATCCAAGTCAGGGTCAAGAGACAAATCCAGAGTCCTAAGCAGGCAAAATTCAGCAGGAGTCCAAAGACAGGTCAGGCTGGTGTTTACATCTAAAATGTGTCCGGCGTCAAGTAGCTGGTGAGCTAATAAAGCTAGCCAGTCCAGTGAATTATAGCAGTGTCTTCAGAATCATGCTGCTCATTCAGTTTGTGAGCATTAAAATTCAGTTAAAACTCTTAAAACCATCTGCACTTGCATCAGAAAGCTTATTTCATCTAGTTCACCCAAGCAGATGACATGTTAAGCATCAGATTGAAAGGGGGAGCAATAGATGTTACTGTTGTGGCTCAGTGGAATGGAAGGCCTTTGCCTTGGTTCAGCTGTCTGAATGCCCCGTTTTCAGTCCAGTCTGTTCATCCAGCAGCGGCTCTCAAATAGATTTGTATTAATCTGATGGAATAATAAGAGGCAACTGTGCAAGGGGGGGAAATTTTCTTGCTCAGAGTAGCCCGGTATGTCTCCCTTTAGCTACAGCGGTTAGCTGGTAGCCGCGGTAAGTTTAATAAGTGAGTTTAGTAAGTTAGAATCCAGGCTTCAGGCTGTTGAACATCCAGGAGTTAGAGTAGGCCCCCTACGTAGTTGTCCTCTAAAAGTGCCTGAGCAGCCAGGCGATTGGGAAACGGTACGCAGAAAGCGTAGTCGTGAATCTCTTCTGACTGATCACCACCAACCCATTCACGTTTCTAACCGATTTTCCCCACTCAGTGACACACCCACTGAAAAGCCCACTCTGGTGTTTGGCAGCTCCATAGTCAGAAACGTGGCATTAGAGACACCAGGGACCGTAGTCATTGCCTGGGGCCAGAACAGGCGACATCAAATCCTACCTGAAACTGCTGGCTAAGGATAAGGTTAATTACAGTAAGATTGTTATTCACGCTGTCGGTAATGACACCCAGTTATGCCAATCAGAGGTGACGGAAATTAGTGTGTCTCAAGATTAATATGATCCAACAACAGATCTCTATACTGATTGATGGTGAGTTTATCCTCATTTTTCCAATTCCTGAGGATAGTTTTGTTTGATATATAATATAGTGAAAGCCATGAAAACTGATTTTTTTTTCCAGAGAGCTTCCCTCAAAGTCACCCAGCAAGCAAACTGATGGGGAAGATGAAATTTTACAACCCAGGCACTGTAAAAAAATCCTTACATACCTGTACCCAGAACCTCTGAACCAGCATGCATAACCATAACCCGTGAATATAATTATCAAGTTGATTGCCTGTGCACTGTGGACAGATAGATTGTGCAAAACCCATCTTGAATAATCTTTGACCTGTATAGCGTGCTCTGTGGAGGTTTTTATATTGTATTAGTTGTAAATTGGGGTTTATAATCATGTTAAAAGCAGAGGTGTCAAGTAACCAAGTACAAATACTTCGTTATAGTACTTAAGTACACTTTTTAGGTAACTATACTTTACTCCATTACTTACTTGGGGGACGCCGTCTTGGGGGCCGCAGACTGAAGTACTGGAAAAACCTCAGAGGGGGCCGCCGACTACGGCTCAGGAACAACCTCGGAGGGGGCGAGGAGCCCCCGCTGAGTGCTCTTGGGGGCTTGGAGCGCACACTGAGGGCTCTTAATAATAATAATAATACATTTTATTTGACAGCGCCTTTCTGGACACTCAAGGTCACTTAACAGAAAATAAAAAATAAATAAGAAGAAAAATACAAATACAGGAACATAAAAAAAACTGTTATGGATAGGGAAAAGAGCAATGTATTCACAAATAAGCGAGCTGGAACAGATGGGTTTTGAGTCTGGCTTTGAATAAGGGGAGAAAGTCAGTACGGGTCGGGAGGAAGTGAGTTCAAGAGCTGGGGAGCAGAGCTCCCCATGGTGACAAGTCGAGCTGGGGGTACAGTAAGGTGGATGGAGGAGGAGAATCTAAGGGCGCAGGAGGAGGTGGAAATGTGAAGGAGGTATGACAAATTTGAAGGAGCAAGGTTATGGATGGCTTTGAAAGTATAGAGAAGAGTTTTAAATTGTATTCTGAATTGAGCTGGGAGCCAATGGAGTTGATGAAGGACAGGGGAAATGTGATGAAAGGAGGGGGTTCTGGTGATGACACGAACAGCTGAGTTCTGAAGAACTTGGAGGTTTATAAAGAGATTTATGTGGGAGACCGAAAAGAAGAGAATAACAATAATCAAGATGGGAGGTGATGAGGCTGTGGATAAAAACAGAGGCAGTATGAGTGGTGAGGGAGGAACGGAGACAGTTAAGGTTGCGAAGGTGGAAGTATGCAGACCTTGTAATTTTATTTATGTGTGACTGAAAGGAGAGGGAGGAGTCGAGGATGACACCCAGACTCTTAACCTGAGGGGAGGGGGAGACCAAGGAGTTGTCAATGGGTAGTGAGAAACTTTTGATTTTGAATAGTGTGGATTTAGTGGTGACGAGGAGCAGTTTGGTCTTGGGGGCTTGGAGCGCCCGCTGAGGGCACTTGGGGGCTTGGAGTGCCTGCTGAGGGCACTTGGGGGCTTGGAGTGCCCACTGAGGGCACTTGGGGGCTTGGAGTGCCTGCTGAGGGCACTTGGGGGCTTGGAGCGCCCGCTGAGGGCTCTTGGAGATTAACCTTCCCAGAGCTTCAAATCTCAGACCATTTCATTTGTGTGCTTAGAGGTCTCTGAACGGCACAGAGCGAGCCCAGGGGTCTCTGGACGGCACAGAGCTCGCTCAGGGGTCCCTGGACGACACAGAGCTTGCTCAGGGGTTTCTGGACTTAGCTCGCTAATGGGCCCTGACTTGGAATCTGGCCCACAATAGGGCACTGGTGCTAGGAGAACTGGCCCGCTAATGGGTTCTGGCACTAGGGGAACTGGCCTGCTAATGGGCTCTGGCGCTAGGGGAACTGGCACGCGAAAGGGCTCTGGCTCGGGATCTGGCCCGCTAAAGGACTCTGGCTCGGTAAGTGCTGATGGAGGTGGTAGGAAGGGAAACAGATCTTCCCTTTGCGCATTAAAGAAGTCCCATAACAGAGACCTCTCAATATGGGGAGCTATGACTGCAGAGGGTGTAATCATGGATACTTTTTTAAAACCTCTAACTCGTGAAGCTAGCTGCTGGTCATGGAGGTGACGAGCTAGGCCATAGGGGAAACTGACCTGGTTAAGTGGGGAACTGATGCAGGCATCAGGCTGACCCACCAGAGAGGGAGTGGTCTTCTTCCCTCGGCAGCACTTATGCCTGGATGAAGCAGAAAGCAGGTGGGGACCAACTGCCGGTGACGGTGGAGGGACCAGACCGGAGGCGATTGACAACAGAGTGGGTAGGTGATGGAGTGATGGTTTAGGTGGTGGAAGTCTGTTGAAGAGTAGGGTGCTGGCTGCTTGATGAGTCCACTCCAACTCTTCAAACAGTTCTGATAACACTGGGGGAGAAATTAATGTGGATTTAGAGAGGAGAATCTGCTTTAGTGGGCCATCTGCACTCACCCTCTCCCAAGGTGGGCTGAGAATGGCAATTGAGTCCAAAGTTTTTCCCAGATTTAGGATAAATTCCCTCAGGAAGTCCAAACTGGGCTCTGCTGGGTCCATTTTGGTCGGTTCCTTCCGTCAGAGTTGTTTGAACGTTAGAGGAATCAGACGCAGAGGCAGAGAGCTTGAGGTGATTTCTTGCAGTTTTAATAGTTAACACAAACAATTGAGGCATCCAAAAATCCAACTTAAAATGTTACACACACCAGAACCATGGAGACATCAGGGGAAAACAAGCATGAGGAGCCAGGGAGTGACAACCTCAGGAGACAACAGCGACGACAGGACCAGCAACAACAGAAACCAACAAGGAGTGACAGCAGAGGGAGAGTATATATATATATATATATATATATATATATATATATAGCTGACTGAGACAATGGCAGGGCTAAGGAGCTGATAAGGAGCAGGTGTGAATTGAGACAATGAGGAAGCCAAGGGGAAAACAAAACACACGAGGGGGCAACAGAGGACAACAACAGAAAAACATGAGAACTAAAATAAATCTAGAAACAGAAAGTAGGAAATAAACCAAACAAATGTATTGAGAGGTATTACTTGTTACAGATCTTATTTTTGGTCTAATACCAGTGCTCAACAGGCCCACCTAGACAAAAAAAAAAACTTCACTACTTTATTACTACTTTAAGTCAATAAAACACAAAAGTGGTGCATCCATCAAATTTCAGCAGGTTTTTTTTATTCCTATGTATTTATGCATAATATCATATTAGGGTTTATAAAAAACTAGTGGTGGGCATAAATAATCTCACTGTAATCTTGGAATTAATCTGTATTAATTAAGATTAAAAGGGCTCATTTGAATTCTGCCAAAGGGCTTCATTAATCAGAATGAGAGTTACTTTATTAATCCCTTGTGGGAAATTTTCTTCTTGCAGTGCAACCATTTACAGCAAGAGAGAAAAATAAGATTATAAGTACAAATAAAATTTAAGAATAAAATAATATAAGGATGAGTGTCTGTGCTACCTAAATAATAAGTAAAAGTAAGTCTTTGAACAGGTTTCTCAAGCCATGTGAGAGATTAGAGAAAAAGCTCTGATCTAGACAGAAGACCCCAATTTTCAGCCAAAAACACCAGATTAGAATTTAAACCATTTATTATGAACTCAGGAATTCAGGAGCACATCCGCAGAGGACCAGGGATAACCATGAATGGAGATGTAGGTTAGTGGCTTGAAGGAATTCAATAATGAAATGCACGAAACCAACAAAAATCATGAACTTCTTCTGAGTCCTCCCTTCAACAGGGACCGGCAGCTTTGACATAGCAGACTGCTCCTTTACCAGATGTTGGGTAGCCACAGTTGGGTGACTTGGAGCACAGAGGCAGGATCTTGGTCCTGGAAGACAGACTCAGGCTTAATGATCAGGGGGCTTGGCAGGAGGTTGAAGTCAAGGGGCAGAAACATGGTCGTTGTTCAGAAGGCAGAGAAATCTGACGAGGGCTAGGCAGGAGGTAAATTCTGGGAAGCGAAAATGTGGTCAAGAACTTGGTCAGGTAACATGAAGTGCTGGTTACTGCTTGCTTGTTGGCTTGCAATTATCTGTCCCTGTCTGCATGCCACAGGCTTACTTATGACTGCTTCAGCACAGCTGAGAGACAGGTTGCTGATTGCACTGCAGTGCAGCAGCTCAAGTTTTTTTACTCACATGGAGAGCAGAGCAGGCAGACGGCCAGAATCATAACACTATGATACGGGTAAAGAAAATAAATAATATTCAATAAGATGTATTTGTGTTTAACCCTTTATAGGTTGTGGTTTCGTCGTACAGTGTGAGCTGTAGCTGTGTGCAACGATTGAAAAAAAATCGCACAGTGTATACCTGGCTTGAAATATTTTTTTTTCTTTTCAATCCAGGGAAAAAAAAAAACTGAACTAAAATGGTCAGACATACAAATGAATCTTATGAAACCATTATCTATTCACCTGCCAGCCATTTAAAATGTTTGACAGTTTCAAATTAAAAATGTATTTTTGAGATGGATCCAGGAGGAAACACCAGTAACCCGAAATATAATGTTGCAAATAAAGTTTCTGTCAGCTCTGGGCGCAGGAGAGCTGTGGCCCGGATTATCCTATCTTCTCTATTGAAGAACTGCTACTGCGCATGTACAACTTTTAACAAGAGTCAATGGCCAAAGATTTTTGCGCCCCCAGGGTGGAAATACGTTGCCAATGCGAAACACCTTTAATCGTAATTGAAGATTAAATATTTATGTTGTACATCTAAAAAAAAAATATTGATATATTTCAAAATACTTAAATATTATAATTTAAATGTTGTTATTATTATTATTTTTTATCTTAATCAAAACTTTTGGGTGGTTGGGCGGTTCCCTAACATCCTCTACTGACCAGTTGCCACTGCACAGATTCCTTTTGAAGCAATCACAATTTAAAATGATACATTAACGTTAATTAAATGTCATTCTCTTTTAAATATAGAACCCATCATTTTTTATGCCTAGTTTCTAGGGGAATGTTCTGCTATAGATAATTTCTGGGTAAGCTTACCTCTTGTCCTTCTGTTACAGGAGATAAAGAAAAGTGGACAAATGAATGCCTCCGGATTGTTCTAATTGGGAAGACTGGTTGTGGAAAGAGCTCTTCAGGAAATACTATCCTGGGTAGAGGAGAGTTTGACTCTAAACCTAGCCAAAAATCAGTCACAAAGTGTTGTAAGAAGTCCATTGGTGAGGTGGAGGGCCGTCCTGTTGCTGTGGTGGACACTCCTGGTTTTTTTGATGACTGTTTACCAAACAAATCAGTAAAACAAGAAGTGGTGAAATGTATCAGCCTTCTGGCACCAGGTCCAAATGTTTTCCTGCTGGTGGTACCAATTGGAGGACGAAACACACCAGAGGAGAAAGAAACATTAAAACTTATCAAAGAAGGTTTTGGGCAGAATTATGAAAAGTACACCATCATTCTTTTTACCAGAGGAGATTTGCTGAAAGGTAAACAGTCCATAGAAGAATATGTTGAAAGAAGGTGCGATGTCTCCTTTAAAAAGTTTATTGGCAACTGTGGGGGATACCATATGTTTGACAACAACGACACCCAAAACCGCAGACAGGTTATAGAGCTGGTCAGAAAGATTGATACCTTGGTGGCTAAAAATGGATGCTTTACCAATGAGATGCTGCAAGAGGCTGAAACAGCCATACAGAACCAAATTCAGCTAATCCTGAAGGAGAAAGAAGAAGAAATTGAGCAAGAAAAGAAGAAGCTGGAGGAAAGACACCAGAAGAAAATGGATGAAATGGAAAGAAAAATTAAAGAAGAGAGAGCAAAAAATGAAAAGGAGTTGAAGGAGAAAGATGAAAAAGTTAAGGAGATAGAGAAAAAACTTCAACAGTGTGAAAAAGAAAAAAAGAAAGAACAAGAACAGAGAAAAAAAGAAGAAGCTAAATGGAAGTGTGAAAGAGAGGTTTTGATGGGAAACCAACCGAAAGGTCAATTCAAAACTCCTGAGGCCTTGGAGAAGGAGAAGGAAGCTTTAAGGCTAAAATGGGAAAAAGTTGACAAAACATGGAAAATGGACAAAGAAAAACTTGAAAATGAGTATGAAAAGGAAAAAGAAGATTATAAAAAAATTATGGAGGAAGAAAGAATAAGAAAAGAAAAAGAGTCAATTTATGAAGAGCAACTGGAGTATGTATTCAGGCATGATTTGGAAAAGTTATCGGAAAAGTATGAGGAGGAAGCCCGAAAAAAGGCAGAAGAGCTTAATGAGCATTTTTCCTCCTTCTGTAGCATCATGTAAATTCTTTAAAATAACAGAGAGGGAGAGGGGGGAAAGAAAGGTGACCCAGCTTAAATATTGATTTTGAAGTAAGATTTAACCAAAAAGTAGAATTAGTCCACCAGGAAAATTATTGGATAGATTTGGATTTAATACTTAAAAATCAGCTAATCAGACACACAACCAATGAAATTAGTTTCAGTTCTATAATGTAAAGACTTGAACATGTGTTCCTCAAATGCTCGCTACATTTCCATTACCAAGTATGACCAAGAGTCATTTAGTGGAATCCTGATGTCTATTCGCTGCTAGCTATTTCAAGGAGGTTAAAGAATCATTTAACTAAAGGTTTGTGGTTCTCGATTAAGCAAATCACTCAATAGAACATTATTTGGCCAAATAAAGTTTTTTTCACCTCATTGATTTGCATTGTGAATTGGTCTGAAAACATTCCAATTTCTTTAAAATTAGTGAAAAGCTAATTTGATCACATCCCAAATTCTTCCAGATAAACTTTGGTTTTAAACACAGAATCCATCTTAAACTGTAATATGTTTTTCAACCGTTTTTCCCTTCCTCTTTGTACATAGTAGTTAGTTTAGTTTAGTTGAGTTTTACTAGTCTTAGTTGAGAGTGTTAAACTGAAATACCGTAAATTCTCTAATATTGGCCTGTATTCCATTAGCGGCCGGGACTCTAATATTGGCCGGTCTCGCTGTCAGAGGAGGTAAATAAATATAGGAGGCTATAAACGTTTTTTTTGGGCATACCTCAACATTATACCTGTGGTAGTAACATACAAGTACCACAGCCCTGCGCTCTGGACGACAGGCCCTGACTGCTGCCCGTCTGCGCGAGGAAGAGAACAGACACGCAGCAGAACATGAGGAGGACGAAGAGGAACTGTACAATAATGACCTTGTTATAGAGACTGGCGTGAGTGATGAGGAGAATAAAGGGAGAGATGAAGAGGAGGAGGAAACTGAGGAGGAGGATTAAACAGAATTGGAGGATATTTTTTTTTTACTTCAAACCAAGCGAGACATGGTAACTGTACTTTTTCAATAAATGAACCTAGTGTTTTATAGGTTCAAATAGACACAAAATCTCATTTTTATTCATTCCACTGGTAGTCTGTTTTGCTCAAAGAGCAATAGAGGCCTGTCTCCAATTCTGGCCTCTTTCCAATAAAGGCCTGGACCGCGATGCACTTGAGTGAAATAAAGGCCCGGGCCTATATTAGAGGATTTACGGTACGTTTGAGTGGGATCTGAAAGATTTTTGTTAATAAAATCTTATATTTTGAACAGAAGTTGTGGTGAATTTATTCCATGTATGTGCAGAAATAACTGCTTGACCTTGGCTTCGGTTTAATGTTTATAAATATTTATTTCACGTCATGTGCTCCATCCAATGCAGATCATTGGCTCCTTACACCTCTAGTGAAAACTAGTGTAATTGGATGAGTCATATAATGCAAACAGTCCTTGGTTAGCTAAAGGAAATCATCAGAAGCAAGCAGGTTTTTTTCAAACTAATACTCCACCACACTATTAGTGAAATAGCAGGAATGTATCAAATTTTTTTTCTTCAAATTAGAGTATGTGGCAAAACTTTGAGAAACAATGGCAGAAAGAAAAACAACTTTTCACAGAACTGGACCCTGTTTCACAAAAGCTGATTTTAGAAATTTCAAGATAAGAGGAAAAGTCAGACTCCACCTACCCTAAGGAGAGCATCATTGCTTCATCTGTTCTACCGAAACATGCTAAAATACAAACTCCATAACCATTTTCAAATTGATTTAATGTAAGGAATTATTTGATATTTTTCTCAAATGAACAATTTTTACTTAATAATAAACAGTGGAAGCCACTATTGTAGCATCTGCAAATTTAACCATTTATAGACTTACACAACATTTCTCACATATTTTTTAGTTCATCTTTGATACAGTGTTTCAAGTGTTGGCTTCAACGTGGAAAACTTGTATTCAGTATTAAGTACTTCATAGAAGTTATTTGGTAAGAAAAATGTTATTAAACAGCATATTATGTTTATATATATATATATATATATATATATATATATATATATATATATATATATATATATATATATATATATATATATATATATATATATATATATATATATATATATATATATATATATATATATATATATATATATATATATCTTATCATTAGCACGAGAAATCCTGTACTAAAAAAAATAAAGTAGTCCACCTGAACTAAAATGTCTTTTGTGTTTTGTAGCCTAATTTAAAAAAATCTTCTATTGCATTCAGTAATAGGCCTATAGCAGAAAATCTGAGCCAAATACAAATCATAAAGGCATGGTCCTGTTATGTGTCATGTTGGGACCCCAGTAAAAATTCTAATATGAACATTTCTTTATTAACCTCAACAATATAATAGTCTCTCAAAGGTCATTTGATCAAACTTAGAGGAACATCCTTTTACAAAAACACATAAAACAATGTCCACTTAGAAAATTATGAAAGGGAAAATTAATTTTATAAGCATCTACAAAAATGTAAAATTAAGTAAAATAAGTACTTGAATATATAACAAGACAAATTTGTGTTGTTTTTTTATGTAGGCTAAAAGAAAGTACTACAACATGCAGACAGCTCATAGTTTTAATAAATACTCCATTAATAATATTTTAAAGTAGGATGGGCCGATTTATAGGAAGACAAATTTGGTTTTGGCTTGGATCATTCAAGGTCCATGAAAATAAAGAGGTCGGAAGAGTTTTAGCAATGGATTCAAAAAGATCCATGCTTCTCTGGCTTTTACCGCATTTACGCTCTGTTGCCTAGCAACCGTGACAGTTGACACAAAAACAGGGAAAAAATTTGGATACTGAACCTCTCGCTGCTGTTTTTTTAATTATTATTTATTTTTTTACTGTAAAGTGAACAGAGACTACACTAATGAGAAATAGAGTGGAATAAAGTTGACAACCACCAGGAGCATGAACCAATAAAAGGGAAGGTGATGATATAAAAGGGGTAGAAGGATATAAGTAGATCTAAACAATGTATGTATAAAAAATATATCTTCAAAATGTCTTGTATTCAGCAACAACAAAATACTTATTTTATAAACTTGCACAAAATAGCATTTAAGAGAAAAAATAACAGTGAATGTATTCAATAGTAAATTAGATCATCAAATAAAGATATAAAAATGGTCAAGGAACAATCACTAGACTAAAAAACACTAAGACTAAGATGTAAGGGGTAATTAAGAATGACAGTGTCATGATTGGGTTTAAGGATTTAGCCCACATGCAGAACACAATGGAGTCTGAAGGAAAGTTTAACAAGTTTTATTGAAAGATGTACAATGATATTATTCTGGATCTGGTTCTGGTACTGGTCCGGGACTGGTCTCAGAGTTTCTGGAGAGATGAGAGTTTGGCTAGCCAAGCTGATGATGTATTGATAGAGAGAAGAATCAAGATGTACCTTGAGGAGATTGTAACAGAACCGTGAGGTGAGATACCGTAGGTCCAGAGTCAACGATGTGGCAGAGAGTTTAAGCAGCAGCAGCGTCTAGTTCCGAGCTAGAAGGTTTCTGGCTTGGGTTTGTTCCTTGCTCTATCCAAGAGCTGAAGAAGGAATCCAAACTGAGACCTTCAGGTTTGGCTTTCATGAGCAGGCAGGCAGGTTTCTAGGTGGAGCTCATCCAGAGCTTCAGGGTTTCCTATGAGCACAAAAGACAAAGGCGATTAGAAGACTAGTTCCTCTCTAGAGTCTACTAGTAAAGTTCAGACGTTCTGAGGCTCAGGTTCACTAACCAAACTAGGTCAACACTCCGGCGTCGAAGGAAGGTCTGGAAGCTGCTTAAGTAGTGTGGACCTCTGATGAGCTGATGATCTCCAGGTGTGTAGAGGAATCAGCTCAGGAGGCCCACAGCGCTCTCTGCTGGAGATCAGGTGGCAGATCTCTGGATCCTGACAGACAGGACAGAAAAGTCTTTTAGTATCGGTGTTAGACATTGTCTTTATGGACAAAGTAAGTTAAATTATTTCATTTTTAATTTTGTTTATTATGGGCAATAATAATAATAATAAATAATAAATTTGAATATTGTTTAATAAACAATAATCAAATTTCATTGCGGAGGGGGAAATAAAATTTATGTTTAAAGATTTGATGATCAACTGAGGATAAAAATGTTTGGGTTTTACTACAATAAAAAAGTTAATTCTGTTAGGAATCCATTTTGTGTGGGTTGTGTTTTTGTGTGTTTTCCCTCCACCACCAGGTGGCGCCTGGTTCTCGTTTGCCCTTTCACACACCTGCGGATGGTTGCCTCATTACTGGAGGAGTCTTAAGCTGCTGACTCCCACTACTTCAACGCCAGAGTGTTTGCCAGTTTTGGGTACTCTAGCCAAGCTGAATTTTGCTAAGTCAAACTGAGTTTTTGTCAACCTTAGCCTAACCTTGTTGTTTTTGTCTTTGCCTCTCGACAGGAAGTCATCCTGCAAACTGCATGTTTTGGACCTTCTCCCCCTGGAAGGATCGTCTGAGCTTCAAACTGAGCTGGGGATGTAAATTGGAGGTTTGGATCTACTTTTCCCCAAAGGATTGTTTGAGCTTCACACTGAGCAGGGGATTCATCTCCACAAGAAACCATTCAAGTACCATAGGAAATCCAAGTGGCAGTCTGCTCCTCCGTTCCTCAAGGAAACACCTCAACCTGGTCAAACCATGTCCGCCCTCCAACAAGCAAGTCAATTACTGGAACAACCCACACCAGCTGGATTCAGAGAATGACACTTTTTCTGGAAACATGAGTCCTGTTGCCTTAATTCCCTTTTGTGAATTGAAGCTCAAATTTTCCACTGAGCATGAACTAACCACAGGAACTTCCCTTCACTTTTCAGTCCCGGTTCGCCAGTGTCCAGAGCAGCACTGGACCCATCCCTACCAGTTCTCAACAAACCTGTTAAACCTTCCACTGGTCTCTCTGTTTGGTTTTCTGTATGTGGGTCAGATCTTAGAATAAAATCATGACAAATTCCTCTTCTTGCTCACATAGACAACATTTATCTACAGTGAATTTAAATTAGGAGCATTAATAATTGGTTGGAAGGATAACTGTCATTTAAAATACATCTTTTTGAAATCAATCTCTTTATATTTAGGCGCAATTGCATATTTAAGATATTTAGTGCTCAATGCATATTCCTGGGATGAGAATTAGGCATTATTTTTATTATTTAAATTATCCAGTGACAATAACTCTCCATCACTTCTCATTGCTTTTCTGGGTGCTAATAACATTTTCGAGGAGCTTCAGCAGCAGTACTGTCATATCAGACATCAGATTTATAGTTCCTACTCTGCGGAGATATTGGAATCTGAGCTTAATATTCAGCCAAACCCATTTACACAGTGACAGATAAAACCTTTCAATAAACCAAACATTACCCACCACATCTCTGACTCAATAACCATTTGAGAAACTATTTTCATTCATATCAGACATAACTATTCTGGCTGGATGTGCTCTCTTCATCCTCTGACATGGGAGCTGGCTCGGAGCTCCTCTGCCTGGCTGTGTGTCTGCTGGACGGGGCCGCCTTTTACAGCTGCTTTTTGTATCTCTGCTCCTGTTTCCTTGAACCCCAGTGGGCCTCAGCAAAAGCCGCTCACACTGAGCCTGGGTCTGCTGGAGGTTTCTTCCTGTTAAAAGGGAGTTTATCCTCTCCACTGTTGCTACAAGCATGCTTGGTGTGAGGGATTGCTGAAGAGTCAATGGGTCGATGCAATCAGCTGGTTTTCCTCAGATAGAAAACTTTGGATCAATCTGACTGGATGAACCAGTGAACTGGAAAGTACATTGAGATGACATGTGTTGTGAATTGGCGCAATAGCAATAAATTGAATTGAATAAGAAATTACATGTAATTTTTTAATGTAAGCATTTGATATAATTTATTTATATAGCACCAATACATGGCACACATCATCTCATGGCACTTTACAGAAACAATTCAATAAGATCATACAATAACATTGGTAAAAAAATTCTACAGAAGGAAAACCAGCTGATTGCTTCGATTGCTTCATTGACTTGAGGAAACACTCCCCATGGTGGAGCATGTGGTATCAGTAAATATTTGCTTGCATTTTGTTGTTGACTTCACAGCAATCCCTCGCACTGAGCATGCATGCATCCACTCTCACTCTAAGCTTTATCAAAAAGGAAAGTTTTAAACCTAGTCTTAAAGGTAGAGGGTGTTCATATGGAGTGATTTTTCTGTACAAAAATGCATGTTGCGCACACACATAAAGCATGTTGCAAATGCATAAAGCATGTTTCACACAAACAAATCTTATAATCCATAATTAAACATGTTGCATTCAAATAAATATTATTGTTCACAAATAAAACTTGTGTTACAAACTTTCATCTAATGTCACACACAAATAAACTTTTTTTCAAACTGTCCTTAAAGGAATAGTACACCCAAAACATGATTAGCCTTCATTTTCTACTCACCCCCATGCTGAACAAAACTCTGGAGTACTTTTTGATATCTCAAATGCATCTGGAGATCTGGGAGGCTTCTTGCTGTCTGCTGACATTCAAATAATGGAGGTCTATGGTGACCGAGACAGAAAGGTCCATAAAAGTCCACAAAAAACGTGTCAATATTCCTCCATACTGGTCGTCCAATGTATTCCAAGAATCCTGAGTGGGTAGCATCCAGAATTTACTCAAAACAAAGTCATTTAGAAGGTTTTTAGAGCATAAACAGTAGTGTATAGGATTTCCTGAAAGCGTGCACATGCGCGATCACGACGCTACGGAAGCCGGCAGACCAAACCAGATGAAAGTGCGCATTCAGCGTCTGCTCTTCCAATAATGCAAGCGTAGAAGAAGAAATGTGCTGTTTACCTGTGCAAAGAAAGAAACAACGAAAGAAAAATGTCTGAGGACTTCAGTGTTGAGGAAGAGCATGAGTTCTTTGCCGAGCTGAATGCGCTGGTTTGGTCTGCCGGCTTCCGTAGCGTCGTGATCGCGCATGTGCGCGCTTTCAGGAAATCCTATTCACTACTGTTTATGCTCTAAAAACATTCTAAATTACTTTGTTTCGAGTAAATTCTGGATGCTACCCACTCAGGAAACTTGGAATACATTGGACGAGCAGTATGGAGGAATATTGAAACGTTTTTTGTGGACTTTTATGGACCTTTCTGCCTCGGGCGCCATAGACCTCCATTATTTGAATGTCAGCAGACAGCAAGAAGCCTCCCAGATCTCCAGATGCATTTGAGATATCAAAAAAGTACTCCAGAGTCTTGTTCAGCATGGGGGTGAGTAGAAAATGAAGGCTAATCATGTTTTGGGTGTACTATTCCTTTAAATGTTGCACACACAAAAAAAAATTTGTTTTACAAACCGGACTCTAACATTGCACTGAAAATATAATTAGTAAATTATCCCCGAGTACCAAACGATCCCTGCTCGCATACAAAACAGCCTCTCCTTGCGTATGAGGCAATTCTTCACACTCCGCGGTAAGTTTCTGCCAAAAGTCAGGTGATAAATCCATCCATCCGGGATGGATGAATGGATGGATGGATGGATGGATGAATGGATGGATGGATGGATGAATGGATGGATGGATGGATCCACTTAATACACATGAAGCTGTCTGTGTTGTTGAAAGTTTATTTTTTTAATTTAATAATTTTTTTTTATTAAGAACATAAAATTATTTAGCTTTACCTTATATAAAGCAGAATTGCTGTTTTTAATGCCTAGGCAAAACACCCCACTAAAGGGATGTGTTTATGATTCAAATCAGATTAGACCCGGCTAAAACCTTGTTAATATAACCTGTGGATAAAACATCAAGACAGCAGTAAGAGATCCTTTTTCCTGTTTTTTATCATTGTGTTATGCATTTACCCTCAAATTTTTTTTTTGCTCCAATCATATTTAGAACTATTTTCCCCTTAGCCAGAGCCACCATGGCAGCAAGCTCATTCAATCTTCCCACAGCCACTCTATACAGGCCTGTCATTCCTTTCCCCCAGTAAAGTGAGTTTTCTATTTCTCTTTGTTTTTCACCGACTATTCTGTTTCAGATTATGCCTTCTCGCTCATACTGTATCACACCCTGCTTTTTCTATAACACTAGTATTTGTTCTTTAGTGAAACTTTTCAAGTCACCGTGCAGGTTTGGTCTGAATTTGGGTCCTACGTAAAGAGCCAAAACCTAAAAGTAAAAAATGCTCTCTATAGTTTACTTTTTGAAATGCGACATGTACCTATGCAGACTCCTCAGTGGCTCCTAAGGTGCTTCAGTTTTAGTCTGACTTTATGTTGTTTAACCAATGACTTATCTTTCTGTGCTTTGTAGTTATTTTGTCTTTTTGTTACTCTCATTTTTCCACTTGTAAAATCATGGCCACCTCTTTTTTGCTGACAACAGAGTGCAATGAGAAATAAAACTTTTATTTTCTTCTATCATTAACTCAGCTCATCTTCCCACCCACTCAGCTCAGTGGAGGTGGTGTAACAGATGGAGATGAGCAGTGCTGTTATTCAGGTGTGGACACATTCGTTTAGGAGATTCAGGAAGAGATGATGCAGCAGCGGTCTGACATTTCAGGTTGGTAGAACTAAATGTTGTCTTTGTGAAATAAGCCAAAATATTTGTTTTCTTTTTTTTAACTTTGTGTTTAATGTTAGGTGTCTGAAGAACCACCATCAGCTGTTGCTTTACTTGATGATACTTTACTGTGGTCATGAAGTATTAGGTATTCATCAAATAAATTCAGATAAAAAATAAACAGAAAATCTAAAACTTGCAATAACTGCTTAATCTGCACTACTGTTAATTTAAAATATAAGTTCATTTTTTTAAGCTGTCCTCTCTAAATTTGACATCAACTGAAAGTTAAAGTTTAGCATCTAAGGTCCGAAGTTCAGAGAGAAAAATCAACTTTTTTATTGCTGAGAGAGATGAAAAGAGTACTAAAATACTAACAGAATGAACTTAAACAACTTTAGTACTTGTGCATTTACGTCCATTGGATATCTTTATTGGATCAGTTGTAAAAAGTACAAAGTCTAGATTATTTAGCTTACAGTAAAAATAGTTCAAATTTAACTCTGCGTATGATCTGGTAGGAGGTACGTACGTACCCTGGACCAAAGCAAGATAATATACCCTACACAGAGAATGTGGATTTCTTCAGACATGGAAATAGACAAACTAAGTATTGCTCATAATAAAAGATTAACAAAAAAAAACATGCTATTAACTCTTAGTTCCTTATCTAACCTTTACTAGGACTACTAAAAAAAGAAGCTCCTTCCTAGGACTAACTCCTTTTTGTTATTTTTTTACAGATCAGGATGCAAGAAAAAATATTCTGCTTTATTTTATCTTTTTTATTGACCAACCTAAAGTTTACCAATTTTTTCAACTTCTTCTGTTGGTCATTATTTCTGCAAAAACAAATAAAGGCAAGGATAAATAAACTGATTGTTACAACTATGTTTACAACATTTTGTTTACTTTTTTCTCTGCCATGTTTCAGAATAAAATTGGATTAAGATAAAAAAAATAAAAATAAAAAAAACAGCTTTGTGTTATCAGCCTCAGGAGAGGCTTTGTCCTTCAACTCTTCTAAACAAAAATTGATGTTTAATTTGTCATTGCTTTCCGTTTAAGACCTAACCTGCTACATTAAATGTTTCTGGGATAACACTGCTGAGTTTATCTTTCTTCCATCTCAGTCTTTTGTTGATAAAAAGAATTATTCTTGAGAAAATCACACAGAAAAAATTGTTAGGGGGAGTATTTAGAAATATGTTTTTTATATAGTTAGTCAAATTAAAAAATCTTAAAAAAAATAATACGAAAAAAGTTGTCTTGATTATATTCTTTAGTGTAATATTAAATGTATAAAAGTCTTACAGTTTTTTTTATGCTTATAGTGTCTCTTTTGTTAGAAAAGGTTTTTTTGTAATTCCTATTAAAAATCTATATTTCAGGTAAAGTCTACTGGTAACTACTGATCTGAAAACATGGCCACGGGAACACATGGTGAGTACAGTTTAGTCTAATAGATCAATCAATTAATCAATTAGTCAATCAAACTCAATTTCTGTTGAACCTTTAATACAACTTCCTTCAAATATACAACTCGAAAAACATGGTGACTAATAACACCTTAGTTCCAATGATCACTTTTTGAGGTTAGTAGAAACATTGATTTGGAAATAAAATGTTTTATTTTTAAGATCTGATGTGAAAAAAGGACACAAAAAGTCATCAAAATAATTTAAACTTCTTTAAGTTTGGAAAGACATTTAACATGTTACAATACATGCTACGATATTAAGATGGGCGCCCTTTGTATAAAAGCAAATGAAGTGAACTAAAGGTGTAAATATTCTCACTTCATTTTTTAACCAATCTTTGACATTACCTGTTCCTTACATACTATACTAAAATACAGCAAAGATTATTCCAAATGTGTTAAAATGAATTTATTTATTGCAGAAGCACTGAATAAATCATCCAGTAAATACTAATCTATGAGGTTGTTGCCGTTTAGAGCTCGTTTGGAGTCAGTGGAAATTATCACACCTGACATGATTTCCTGCAAAGGGGCTTGCAAAGCTCTGACTGACATAGACCCCAGATCTATTTTAGTTGGACTACGTAACAATTCAGGGGCAATTTCATGGGTCTGACAGGAAGGGAGATGCTTTTACAAAGTAAAATCTGTAAACCGTATGGAAAAATATTCGGGTTTGGAGTTGCAGAGCACATATATAGCAGTCGGGGCAGACTTATGATTTAGCAATCAATGACACATAAAAAAAAAAAAAAAAAAAAAATTTACCTATGATAAGAGTTCAGGACAGAAAACAGATTAAGTAAAATAGTTGTCCTCTTCATGCCTCACAGAAAAAAGAGAGAGTGCCGGAAAGTTTACCTTATTACTCTCTCCTCTTTATGAAAAACCATGAGAAGTTTCTCCAATATTTTCTTATAGAGAATTTAATGTCATTACTTAAGCTGCATTCTGGGTGTGTTTATATGGTAGCCTGTGCAATCTTCCTGTAAATGGTTGGTCACATTTTCAGCATTGAACCCTGCATTTTTCAAAATGCATCTGTTCTATATGCTTGGCTGTGATAGAAACGTGGAGGCTGAATATGAATTTAAAAAAAATACAAAATTAAATGCGTTTAGATAATTGGAAGGTGTAAAAATATTTTAATAATTGCTATATTTAGATACTGTGACCATTAAGGTAGAGAGCAGAAATGTCTGGGATTAGGAAAAAGGCATCCAGATAGATCTTGAACTATTTAAAAGAACACATACAACTATATTAAACAAGATCTCAAATTCCCACTATTACCTGTGGGGTCCACCAGGGTTCAAAGTGTTTTCTTAATTAAAAACAAATACTTGGGAATCATGTAAAACTTAAGATCTATATCATATGCTGATAATGCCACATTATTTTACTTTGGGGACAATCTGCTGCAACGTATGGAACCTGTGGAAAGATAACATTAGAGTTAAAGAGCATGGCTGCTGGATGGAAAAGCGTGCGTTTGGTGAGATCCCGAGAATGACCCAGAGCGCCCGTGGTGCTGGCACGGCAATTTCTCCCCTATCCTCTCTGCCTTTATGTGCCTCTGAGGGTCTGAGTCCATCATGACACCAAGATTTTGGTGATGCAGAAGACCTGGTTTCTGAGTTTCAATCAACCTTAAGGTGGTCAATAAATACACTATATTGCCAAAAGTATTTGCTCACCTGCCTTGACTCACATATGAGCTTAAGTGACATCCCGTTCCTAATCCATAGGGTTCAATATGACGTCGGTCCACCCTTTGCAGCTAGAACAGCTTCAACTCTTCTGGGAAGGCTGTCCACAAGGTTTAGGAGTGTGTTTATGGGAATTTTTGACCATTCTTCCAGAAGCGCATTTGTGAGGTCGCACACTGATGTTGGACGAGAAGGCCTGGCTCTCAGTCTCCGCTCTAATTCATCCCAAAGGTGTTCTATCGGGTTGAGGTCAGGACTCTGTGCAGGCCAGTCAAGTTCATCCACACCAGACTCTGTCATCCATGTCTTTATGGACCTTGCTTTGTGCACTGGTGCACAGTCATGTTGGAAGAGGAAGGGGCCAGCTCCAAACTGTTCCCACAAAGTTGGGAGCATGGAATTGTCCAAAATGTCTTGGTATGCTGAAGCATTCAGAGTTCCTTTCACTGGAACTAAGGGGCCAAGCCCAGCTCCTGAAAAACAACCCCACACCATAATCCCCCCTCCACCAAACTTTACACTTGGCACAATGCAGTCAGACAAGTACCGTTCTCCTGGCAACCGCCAAACCCAGACCCGTCCATCAGATTGCCAGATGGAGAAGCGCGATTCGTCACTCCAGAGAACGCGTCTCCACTGCTCTAGAGTCCAGTGGCGGCGTGCTTTACACCACCGCATCCGACGCTTTGCATTGCACTTGGTGATGTATGGCTTGGATGCAGCTGCTCGACCATGGAAACCCATTCCATGAAGCTCTCTGCGCACTGTTCTTGAGCTAATCTGAAGGCCACATGAAGTTTGGAGGTCTGTAGTGATTGACTCTGCAGAAAGTTGGCGACCTCTTCGCACTATGCGCGTCAGCATCCGCTGACCCCGCTCCGTCAGTTTACGTGGCCTACCACTTCGTGGCTGAGTTGCTGTCGTTCCCAAACACTTCCATTTTCTTATAATACAGCTGACAGTTGACTGTGGAATATTTAGGAGCGAGGAAATTTCACGACTGGATTTGTTGCACAGGTGGCATCCTATCACAGTTCCACGCTGGAATTCACTGAGCTCCTGAGAGCGACCCATTCTTTCACAAATGTTTGTAAAAACAGTCTGCATGCCTAGGTGCTTGAATTTATACACCTGTGGCCATGGAAGTGATTGGAACACCTGATTCCAATAATTTGGATGGGTGAGCAAATACTTTTGGCAATATAGTGTATATCAAAATTGGTCATGTTTTTCGTGTGCACTAAACGGGGCAATGCTATACATCAGGGATTTATTTTAAGTGCATTAAGTCAGTGTTGCTGCTTCTTTAACATTTTACTATTGTCTAAAAGATAAAAAAATCATGGTAAACAAGCCATGGGAAACTGCTATTGTTGCAATCACATGAATATGCACATATACAAGTCAAATTCTTGTGCATTACCTTGCAAGGTATATGTATATTTGTTCCCCTCAAACTTCTGAAACCTTATTAAAGACAATTTAAGAAGGATAATAAATGTAAAGCACCTGGTTATGACTTTTAATTTCCTGAGGAACCATATCAGAAATAGCCTCTAAAGGACCACAAATAGCAAAACGGTGGTGGGGTAAGAACTGTAGCTAAAGCAATTAATCAGATTAATAGTAATTAATCGATTTTTGAAAAAGTTGTCAACTAATTTAGTAATCAATTAATCGTTAACTGGAGTATATAGACTATAAAACACGCCTTTAGCTGACAGAGTGACTCACTTAAAGCAGGAATAATACTAAGATTGTAAAAACTATGAACATTTTGCATTTAAGATTGAAAAAATATATATTTTTCGTCCGTCAAAATGCTCTATCTAGCCTCCTCAAGTGGAAAAGTTTTAGTTTAACCTGATTTGTTTTTGTAAAAAGTCCTTTTTAATTAACCTTTGGCTACCCAAATATTAATGGATTAATCAAAAATGTAATTGACAGATTATTCAATTTGCAAAAAATAAATAAATTCAGAAGGTTTACCTTGTAAAGCACTAATCGATGTCCTGCTACCAGCTATCAAGGAGTGTCCCTACTTACATCATCCTAGCATATGGAATCTGAAACCTCATTCAACCAGTGGTGTTTAACATCACCGAAAAAAATTATGCAACCATTTTTGGTAGGTGTGAGAAACTGTTGCATTACATGTTCATTTATTTAAGTAATTCGACAACACATTAAATTTATATTTTCGCACATTGACTAATATTCAGTCTTAGCAGGTGTGTAGGAGTAAGCTCATTTTTGGGGAGTGAACGCTGGCACGACTTGCTGCCGCTGCTCGCCGGTATTTTTGTATTCGTTGCTCACTGCCTTCGCTCACCGGTAACTTTTAAACTTTTTTACTTTCTAACGGACAGTCTAATTGTTTTTACTGGGATTGTTTTTACTGGGAATACGACCACGATTCGTCAGCACTACAGGACTGTATGAGTCCCAACTAGGCTACTACCAGTAGCTCACCTGTCCTGCCTCGTTTTCAGCCTCACCTGGCGTTTTTAATAATGTGGACCGGCAGGACATACACCCTGCTTGTCTGTATCTGGATATTCCTACTGCCCGCTCACCTGCAAGTGGCGGGTTTGCTGCAGTATTCACCCGCTGACCTGCTCCGGCTCCGCTGTCACTCCCTTGGACCTGCGCCCGAGGCTCTCCACCTTCACCCGGACATCACCTTCCAGCCACGTCGGAGATACATCCACCGAGGTTCCCGTCGGATTGTCCACCGCAACGGTTCAAAAGCAATAAAATCCATCTGGTCCAGCTCCCGACGGTGGATTCGTCGCCCTCCATGCTCCACCAGCCGGGCTGTCGACCACAGCGTGTTAGCCCGCCTAGCTCGGTCGGCTAGCACCACCACCAGCTGCGACAACAACGCACTCAACTTTGCTCTGCTCAACATCCGTTCACTGACAAGCAAGGGACATCTCATTCAGGATCTCATCACTGACCGTAAACTGGACTTTCTCTGCTTAACCGAGACCTGGCAACAGCCCCAAGATTACTCTCAGCTCAACGATTCCACTCCTAGTGGGTTTGTTTACATCTCTCAACCCCGTGGTTCCGGTCGCGGAGGAGGTCTCGCGATAATTCATCGCGAGAATTGGAAAGTCTCGCCGGTATCAGCTCCAGTTTCAAGCACGTTTGAATCCACAGTCTGCAAGCTATCTGGTCCAACTCCAACCATCATTGCTGCTGTCTACCGCCCCCCAAAACCGAATAGTGCCTTTTTAACTGAGTTTGCT